TACTCAATGTTATAGTCATATGCTGAAAGGACAAGTGCCCAGCGCTGCATACGGGCAGCTGCAAGTGTGGGTATAGCAGCTTTTGGGCCCAAAATAGCCAACAATGGCTGGTGGTCAGTTACTAAAGTGAACTTTCGTCCATATAGAAACTGATTAAATTTTTTTACCCCGAAAATAATAGACAAGGCCTCCCGTTCAATTTGAGCATAATTTTTCTCACTTGAGCTGAGGGTACGTGACGCATATGCTATTGGCCTTTCTTGACCATCCTCCATTACATGACTAAGCACTGCCCCCAAACCATAACTCGATGCGTCACAAGCTAACTTAAGCTCACGATTTAGATCGTAGTGGACCAACAGCGACTCACTGGTGAGGCCCTCCTTGCATGCCTCAAAAGCTTTCTGGCAGTCATCTGTCCATTCCCATTGAATATTTTTCTGCAAAAGCCTATGCAGAGGTGCTAAGGTTGTAGCCAGCCCTGGCAGAAAGGAATGATAATACTGAACCATGCCCAGGAAGGACCTTAATTCACTCACATTCTTTGGGGCTGGGGCTCTTTTCACTGCACTGATCTTCTCCTCCACCGGTTGCAGGCCTTCGGCACTTATTCTCAGACCTAGATAAACCACTTCAGGTTTCAAAAACTCGCATTTTGCCAGTTTTAAATGCAAATTGTATTGGTGTAGCCTGTCCAACACATCAGCAAGTATCTTGAGATTCTCTTGCCAGTCATTGCCCCCTATCAAGATGTCATCTTGTTTACAAACACATTTTTCAATTCCCTGAAGAATTTGATCCATTTTTGCTTGAAAGATTTTTGGGGATGACTTGACCCCATAGGGCAATTTCTGGTAGGAATAAAGGCCTTTATGAGTGGTAATTGTCAAGTACTCTTGACTTTCTTTGTCAACATTCAGCTGGGCATAGGCATGTGATAGATCAAGCTTACTAAATATCTTAGAGCCAACCAGAGCAGCATACAAATCCTGAGTAGTAGGTAAAACATATTGCTCATCTTCAACTGACTGATTGATAGTGGATTTGTAGTCTCCACATATTCTGACAGTGTTATCAGCCTTTGGCACTACCACAATTGGGCTAGCCCAAAGTGACCTGTCCACTTTCTTAATAACACCATGCTTTTCTAGTTTGTCTAACTCTTTTTCGACTTGCTCTTTTAAAGCGTATGGAACCCTACGCGCTTTCACGAATACAGGTTTTGCATCGCCTCTCATAGTAATATGGGCCTCAAGGCCCGTCATACCTTTGTAACTCTCAGTAAACAATTCGCTATGTTTAGATAGCAACTCATTCAGTTGACTATCAGCACTCCTAGGGTCTCCCTTGGGAATACAAAATATCTCACCCCACTCAAACTTAATGTGCCGCAGCCAGTTTTTACCAAGTAAAGTAGGTTTTGCATCATAATTGGCTACAAGAATGGGTAGAGAGTATTGTTTACCCTTATACACTATGTCACACTGCATTTCCCCTGACACATCAAGTAATTCACCCGTGTATGTCTTAAGTGTTACTTTAGAAGGAGACAGAGGCTTGTCTGCAAACCTCTCTAGATATTCACTTCTACTCATTATTGAGAAATCTGCAGCTGTGTCTAACTCCACCATACACAGTTTACCATTGATTTCCATTTCTACAGTGTACCTATTGCAATTAGGCTTGTTTTGGTCAAGTGAATTCAGAGAATAAATTCCTAATTCCTCATCCTCACACTCATCATTGCCTGATTCTGAAGCCTGTACACTATGAATTTTACCCTTTTTCTTTTCATCCTTACTGCGACAAACAGAAGCTAAATGTCCAATCTTGGAGCACTTGTAGCATTTTGCTGACTTAAATTTACAAGACTGACCTGAATGATTACCCCCACACCTAGGACATGACAACTGTTCAGTGTTCTTCTTTTCAGTGTTTTTACTTCCTTGTTCTGTCAACTTGTTGACTTGAACAGTTTCACTGCGTGAAGGGTGAAATTCTTGGGTGTTCCTGTCTGCCATCTCCATGGTCTTGGCAATACTGCAAGCCTTTTCGAATGTGAGGTCATCTGTGTTCAGTAGTTTGTTTTGTATCTTCGGATTGTTCAGTCCGCATACGAATCGGTCACGTAACGCCCGATTGAGGAATTCACCATAATTACAGTGGACCGCCAATCTCTTCAAAGCCAGCACATAATCGCTAACTGATTCTTCGGATTTTTGATTTCGCGTGCCAAAGTGAAAACTTTGTGCGATTTCCAGGGGCTTCGGGTTGTAGTGTTTCTCCAAGACTTCCACAATGTTAGTGAATGACACGTCCTTCGGTTTAGTGGGCGCCAATAAGTTGCTGAGGGTTGTGTATACCTCCGGCCCCACTTCTGTCAGGAAAATGGCACGTTTCCTGTTCGCTACCACAAGGTTGGTGGCAGCGCTTCCCTCTCCTGTTGTCGTTACAATGTTGTTGGCTGTAAAGAACATTTCCATCCTCTCGACGTAGGCACTAAACGTTTCACGTGCGACGTTGAACTCGCCAACACGTCCAAATAATCCACTCGCACTAGTGCTGGCCATCTTCTATGCCACAACACACACAGCGTTGTCCAAAGACCTTGCACTTTTGAATGACGTGGAAAAACGACCGATCCTCGTCGCCAAAATGTAATATATTGCTAGTGATATAAACCCACGAGGTCAAACAACATGGCCGCTTCAACACAACTTTATTCCAGCAATGTATTCTGGGTACATACACAGTAACCCTAGAGGGTACTTAATATATTACAAGGGCCTGTTTACATAGAGGTGGGGGGCCCCAGGTAGGTGAGGTAACCCGCTTAGCCATGGTCGAAAAATAAAACGCGTTTACATGCAATCTTACCACCCCGGAGTGCTGGGGTGAGGTTTCTTGAGGTTGTTGTTGCGCTTGCACTAAGGAGTTTGAGCAGAGGCGTCCCAAGCTCACATCTCGAAAAAGACGAAGGATTAATTCTCGGACACATATGTATTTATTCATGAATGCGTCACGCGTTGTGTTACGCGGTGTTTGGTTTCGCGAGGAACCATGACTTAATACGTTATACGGAATAGTTTGGGAAACCATAGTTTGGATTACCCCACCTTTACACGTTTAAATGGCAAACTGTCACCCCGGCTGACCGGGTTACCCTACCTGGCAGACCGGGCAACCCGCCTAGGCGGGTCACCCCCACCTATCATGTAAACGTGATCAAAATAAAATAAGAATTTATATGGACAGGCGGGTTACCTCGCCTACCTTGGGTCCCCCACCTCCATGTAAACAGGCCCTGAGTTAGTGTATTTGTGAAAAACAAAGTCCGAAGCCCCGCCTCTACGCGAACAATAGGCATAGCGTAATTACCATATACCAGGTTTTGTTTACCTGGGCTTATTATTTTTAGCAGATACTAAATTTAGCTTTTCTGCGAGTATTAGCAAAGGCCTGATCTCCGCGAGTTACATGTAAGAGATTTTGATGTTCGCAACGACAAAAAAGCTGAGCAGCAGAGTGACGTCTTTTTACTTTTCCCTTCCCCTACCCCCTAAAAAACAACTTTCCATTGTATGATTTGCATTGCGTGACGACTCTCCGTATACAACACTACGTTGACTGCAACATGTGTGTAGTGCCACTTTTAAAAGCATCGATCAGATCTACTGCACCACAAACTGAACAACACTCACAGTCAACTGAACCGCTGGATAAGATGCCACAGTGCAGAAAGATGTCAAACTTTTTACAACGAAGGTTGGTGACAGTTCGCAGATTGACAGGCAGTTTCATCGGACGTTATAAATACGACGACCGACAAGATAACCACAATAAAATGGTCTTTGGATCTTTCTTCTACGGCGAATGAGGTTAGAGCATTTGGAAATGTGTACCCATGTACATTTTTCAGCTTAATATGGGTTGAAACATATTAAAATATGTGTGTGACTTGCGACTGGAATGTTGACCGCGAAAGGTAAAATAACTGCGTTTTAACGGACTTTGAAAAGCTTTTGTATCGCTCTCAATCATTTGCCCAAAGAAATATTTACAGTAATATTGAGAACATCTTTTCGTAGTTCTACCGCCAAAAGCTTAATCCATTTGAAGGTTTAGCACATGCTGAAAATTAACTTTACTCACAAAGTACTTTTACTGAAGAGAAACGTATGCTTTCGAAATTAAATTATTTTATACGTAAAGAGGAACGCAGTGTGTACAAAAATCGTTTTGTGAGGTCTTGTGAGGTTGAAAAAGAAGATTTTAGTGTTAAAAAGACGAGATAGTAATTCGTTTTTGAATGCGAAGCCCTCAAACTTGTGCAACAATTTATTGCTAAAAATGACAATTTTAACGGAATTTTGTTATTTGTATTTTTCTCTGAAATAAAAAGATATTTTGCCAAAAAAAGTATCCAGTGATTTTAGTTATAGTCTAGCCTATCTAATATTAAAATAAGAAAGAAATCGAATTTTTCACCCTTGCCGCGAAATTTAGAATTTGTCTGATTTTTACAGACAAGCGCTCTTAAGACGATGATGACTGGGCTAGATTAACTAAAATGTGGAATCTCTCTTCCAGTCATAAATTCGGCATAGGGGATAACATATAAAGAACTGAGAATGATTGAAAATAAAGGAAAGTAGTTTCCAGATGGTGAAAGGTCCTACGCAGAAGTTAAAAGCAACCGCCGCATAAGCAACCACATACTCGTGGTCCCAGCAATGAAAATTAAACTCACTCGATAAAAAAAAACCTGATCGTCGAAGTAGCGTAACAGCTTCAACCCACACCTCGATAGGATAAAATTTATCGTTGCTTAACAGCAGTAATAGTAATCACTAAATAACCTTAACAAACCACTTTCTTACAGTATGCTAGGTTCAGGGTATACCTCAGTTCTGTAAAGATCTCTTGAGAGAGGCAAACTTGTAACGAATAAATATTTTCTTTTAATTCTAAACATCAAAAGTAAGCAAGAAATACATCAACGAGGCATGTCAACGAATCTCCATTTGTCATATCTGGTCAGTTGGTGATGATAATGAACGAAGCATTTAGACCAAAGATCTAGTCTAAATGAGAAAAACACTCTTTAATTAAAATGAGCAAAAGTATTCCACACGGTAACCCATGAGCTTTTGGTGCCTTAGTTAAAGGCTTATGGCTTCAACGGGTAGTTTTGTTTTTATTTTCGAAGGCAAGTTCTGTATTAGGATAGAGCGCATTAAAACAGGTGGCAAATGCTCGGGCGAGGAGTAGCACAGGAGAATGCTTTAAAACTTATTTATTCATCTTCTTATAAACGACCAACAAATCAAACCTGTAAAATAAATGCAGACGATACCAAAGCTTACAAGTCTGACTCGAATCCAGTATAGTTAGCAAGGGTACCTTAATTAACATAAGCTCAGGGAATGCATGGCTCGAGATCAATGGAATGGTTATTATGTCATACGACTACTGAATTTTCAAGGATTCCCTTGCAAATGATGACAAAGGAAAGAGGACAGATAAAAGAATCTCGAATTTGGTCACTTTGTAAGTCTTGCGTCACGAGTCATGTTATAGAAGTGTCTTCTTTGTTCCAGAAGTTTGCTGGGTGCGTCAAATTCTGCAATTGAACCGTCTTCAAGAACCATAACCCTATGAAAGGAAAAAACTTCCGTTACTATAACATATAATTTTTTTGTGTCACGCCACGTAAATAATGAATAATGTAAATCAGTTTGCTACGCCTTGGTTATTCAAGATAAACGATTCAGTAAAATATTAATCACTGAAGTTTGTACGAAGTCCACTAGACAGACTTTTACCTGTCGTAGTCCATGATGGTGTTTAGCCTGTGGGCGATGGTGAACACTGTACTGTCAGCGAACTCCCGTCGAATCGTTTGTTGAATGAGTTCATCAGTTTCCAGGTCCACCGCGGCCGTTGCTTCGTCCAGAACCAGAATCTTACTTTTACGGAGAAGTGCACGCGCTAAACAAACCAGCTGTCGCTGGCCAACACTACAATAAGGTATAAAAATTCTATAGCGATTAAATGAGTCACGTGAAAGGCATTGGCCATGGAAACCACCCGCCCAAAGCCGCACTAAAACGTCCTTGAACCTTTCAATCGTAAAGGCTACGCAATCTCTGGCTCATAATTGATGAAATCACACAAGCCTTAGGATTATAAAGGTTACATTTCATGAAAAAATTTGAAGTTTCAAATTTTACGTAGAAATGAGAACACCATACAAAAGTAACCATACAAAACGATTACATACTCATAACATAAAAAAAAATAAAACTTTGGATAAGCGAGAACCATAGAGGAGAGAATCAAAACTTCAACATATATAGAAGTTAAAACTGGTCAAGATACTGTCCAAGCCTGAAATGACATTTCATTGTTGGCTGGTAGAGTCTGTACTTTTTACCTCTCATCCCAAAAATGTTTCAATAGGTTCGCAGGATCCTCTTGATTTGAAGGGCTTCTTGACCGGGGGCTTGAAATTTTAATTGAGAGCCTCAACACAAGTCCATGTTTCTTCCTGACCCCTCTAAACCATGCAGTCTCAACACTAACTGACTATGAAATGCATCTCTTAGGTTACAAAAAAAATACAAATACTGAAACGGATTTTGAGAAAAGCGCATTACATTTTTAAAAGTCGTGAACCAAGTTTTAAGTTGAGCATGCATTCTTGTACCTTGCATCAATGAACAGTTCAACATTAACGTATTCACTGTCAGTCCACCCTCTTTCCTACCTGAGATTTTCGCCTCCTTCAGCTATAACGTGCTGAAGTCCTCCACTCAAACTCATCACAAATCTTTTCAAATGACTCACTTCCAAGACTCTCCAAAGCTTTTCATCCACATGTTCATTGAACGGATCCAAGTTTAGACGGAGAGTTCCAGAAAATAACACGGGCTCCTATAGGTAAAGATAAATAAGAATGGAATAAAACCGAAAAACAAAACAAGTAAAAAAAAGCATTTTTTGATTTCATTAAAAACATTGAAACACTTCCCTCCCTTCTGACCAAGTATCCATATTTTTTTTTTATGTATTCAACGGATGACAACGGTCCTCAATCGTTTAAGGTGCTGAAGTAAGAAAGCACATAAATTTCCTTGAAAACCCTAAAATGCGATTTAACAGCCCTAAACCAGGATGAATGAATTTGTAGCTAAAGATGCCTGGGCTTCCTCCCCATTGTCACTAACGAGCGCTTTCCTCCCAAAAAGCAGCATTCAACTGCATCAAAAAAACTTTGTTCTCGCACTATCACTATAAACCTCCCCTTGCTTGTTTGCGTTCCATGTTTCACCTGTGGAATAATGGTAAGCCGCGAACGGAGATCTCTGAGTCCAATGGTGGCAATGTCAACACCATCGATGACAATTTTACCACCTGATCTCTCAAGAATACGAAACAAGGCTAAGGCCAAGGACGATTTCCCTGCTCCTGTTCGACCCACAATGCCAATCTGTCGAGCATTCAACAAAGCTATATTCGTAACTGAGAAAATGATAATAATGATAATGACAACAATAACAACTACGTGAACAACACCTGTACAGTTCAAGGTGAGTAAGATTTTTTACACAGCTGACTGCATTTCAAAAGATCTTCGAGAAACGGAAGTGTCCTTGTTGTATTCAATTCAAACATGGAAATAAAAGGCAAACACCTAGTCACCTTTTGAGTTCGACCGTTAGGGGAAACATGTTTAAGTCTACAAATTTAAGGTTAAGTATTGCTAAGATTGATTAAAGTCATTATTACTAAGAACAAAAATTATTATAACATAATAATGGGATTTAGCTGTGGACATTCCACTAGGGAGCTCTTCTTGTCACTGTTTCCAGGTCGAATCGAAAATTGGAAATGTTGGTTTTTAAGGAGGGAGGAAAACCGGAGGACCCAGAGCAAAACCCTCGGAGTAAGGACGAGCAACAACAACCAACTCAATCTAGAGGTACACGGTCGTTTCGTGCCCACGGTCGTTTCGCACCCAGTCGTTTTGCAGCCAAATGCAGTCGATTTGTACCCAATTTGAGTCGGTTCGCACCCAAACCTAACCGCTTGTCGATCTGTATCCAAACCGCTGACTGATTCATACATTTATTCAAAATACTTCACGCGTTAGCGCATGAACAGATGTAAATCAATGCGTACGACGAGTTAGTAAAGTTACGCGAGTAAAATACAAACAGAAATCTGTTGTGTGTACTTGTGACTTTCTTAATGAAAACAACTTAATTATTTGTTGGCGCAAGCTAAGACTGATATTTTAGATATAAAAGTCTATTGTTTATTATTCATTTACCTTTTCAGCTGGCTTGATTATAAAGGTTATCTTTCTCAAAACCAGTGGAAGTCCTTCTCTGTATCGCAACTGGAAGTTATCAAATAAAACTATTCCCTGCTGTGGCCAAACACGAGACGGCCGGCTATCAGGAATGACTCTTTCTGCCTTGAAATGAAGAAAGAAGTGAATTGAAAGATACATACGCACCATTTAATATTTTAACCACAGAAGTGGCAAATTTGAATACTACCCCGCCTTACATTACCGAGAGTTAGAGAAGAATGGAACTGTGAAGGGATATGATAAGTTTTTCGAGGTTCTTCTCGTAAAAGTATAATACTCATTTTGCGCATCTTGAAATATCTTTGGTAGCGCAATGGTCTTTTGCAAAGCAATTTCCTGAGAACATAAGAACCGCCAACAAAATGTTCATAGACTTTAAATGGAACATTTGTCTTCTAAACAAATAGATTTGTTTCAAATTCGAGAATTGATTTTCAAACCTTAGGTGGTTTAGTTTGCAAAACTGTTTCGACGAAAAATTACGTTTGAATATGTCCAAAGTCGTTCGATGGGAAAAATCAGAAATACCATCGCCCGGATACGTGAAGTCAGTTAGTTACACCCCTGAGGAAACATTCAGCAAAATCTGCTCAATTTGGTAGCCTCGTGTAGTCGTCCTACGATAGGCGTAAAGATCCATTCACCGCTAATTACAAGATCTATTAAATTGTTTTAACACGTTCTTTTTCTTCTTCGTGCGTTTTAAATGGTTAATGATTTTATTTTCACCTACCTCTGTCTGGGCATCAGAATACTCCTTCACCCTCTCAACTGATACTAAGTTGGTTTCCAGTTGACTTGACATTCTAATCATCCAGGCAAGTTTTTGAGTTATCTACAACACCGATTAGAAAAGAGGAAAAAGGAACGTTTTAAAATACGTCAGCAAAGTCAGGTTATTCGAAATTATAGAGTCTGGAATCAGGCTATTCAGACGGAAAAAAGAGGAAAAATGGGTAATTGAATTTGCAAAGCTTCTTACACACTTCTCTTTCCTCCCTCTACCGAGTTAACTTTGTTGACGTTATATTTTTCCTGTCGGGATCAAACTTACTGATTTTAACTGTCAAGCATTTTACTGAAGCAGGTCCATACGAAGACACAAATGTTTGTCGATAAAATTGGATATTTATAAACACCTACTTGTACAAAGCGAGGGTTGAGTTTTTATTTTAAACATTGGGTCTTAAGGAAGTAGAGTCGTTTCGTTTGTTGTTTGTTTTTACCTGAACCGCATAGGTTACAGAGAGTCCTACAAGACCTCCACTGATCTTTTCTCGGCTGATTACTGCAAACAACGCTGCAAAGAGGATCAGGCAATTGCCGATGAATTCCAAACGAAGAGATAACCATCTGTAAAAAAAGGTGTTGTAGAAAAAGCTTTACTCTCTTTGGAATCTGGCCTGAGGAGCTTAAAGCTTTAATCCTTAATCCTATAAAATATTTAAAAAATAATGATCCTTCTAATAGAACAAGCTGTATAATAAATGATGACATTGAAGACATTTCGTTCCCTTACAACAACTATCGGCGCAAATAGCTGCATAGAGTGTTCTTCACAACTCATACCCAAAATCACATTAAAGATGAAAAAACGAAAAAAATAATCGTTATATTTCTGCATCAAAGTCAAAATTAGTTCAGAAAAGACAGATCATCAAAGTTTATGCAGCAAAATTCATCTCTTCACCTGTCAGCAGTAACAGCCAAATAGTGTGCTTCTTGGTTTTCATCTAATTTCCTATAATTATCCCGGATGAAGCGCTGCTGTTGTGAGAAAGCCCGTATGGTGCTGACACCGGTGATTGTTTCTAGGAAGTGACTGTATATCGGTGATCGGCTCACTGACTCGATTCTCCTCAGCTGTCTCGATGTAGCTACGTATACTCTCTGGTAGAATATTCAGTGAATTAATTAAATTAAACTGCGGGAATCAAGATGTATAACATGCATAAAGTGATAAAATCTGCGTTCCAGCTCGGAAAACAGTAATGAATATATGCTATACTTTTAGCTCTTCAATCATCATACAAGTAAACAAGACGTGTTCAGTACTTCAATCGATTCGCACATTCTTAATGAATGTAGCGAGTGAAATAGGTCAATGTGACATTTCCTCTTGAGCGTGGTTAGGAAAACGTCAATTGGGGGGGGGGAGAATTTTGTAATGTCCAGCAACATCAAAACAAGAGAAAAAAGAGAATATTTGCTATGTAAAGACAAATTGAATCCCATCCTTCCCTATAAGGAAAGTGTACAGCGAGAAAAACTCCGACATGTTCGACTTGCAGTAAGCATCTCATTATCCACAATAAACTTCTCCGTCCCTCCTCTAGCTGATCTTACTTTTCTATTGTCGTTGACGTTTGTGTGCTGTACGTTTTTTGAAATATCCTACAATGTATTATACCTTAAGTTTAAACGGAAACAAAAGTCTTTCTCTCACCTGTATGTAAAAATAAAGTGCTCCCAAAGGAGGAACAACGGTCAGGAAGAGTGGTGTGGCGTAACTAACAGCTACCAACATCCCAAGGACATCAAAAAACATCTGTAAGAACGACTTCAGAGATAACGGAATTGTCACATCAATGCAATAAATATCCTTCGACAGCCGGTTCATAATCCGACCAATCGGTGTCGTATCAAAGAACATCATCGGTAACCGCAAGATGTTCACGATTAATTTACGATGGAGTATTCGAGAAGCTCTAATCGCCCCTATAAACAATGCCAAGGAGTACAAAAGGGTAAAGAGGGTCTGACCCGATCCGATGCTTCCATAGATTAATAGATAAAAGTCCCTTTGATGGTTTGTGGTCACGTTTGCTGCGCTCCAGTGGGCTAACCATACTCCTGTAGCCACAGAACACGCTTCCATTACCACGAAAAAGAACAGAGAGAGGACGAACCAGTGTATGCCAGAGGACTTGATGTAAGAAAACAATAAGGAAAATGTTGCCTGTTTAGGGATATAAATAAGACAGACAAGTGCTTAGAAAAAAACCCAAACAAACAAACAAACAAAACCAAACAAAAAAAAAAAACAGATCATTGCTACTGCTTTCCTATCACTTAGAAAAAAGTCCGCGTTTCTGATACATGCCGAGCAGAACCACTTCCAAGGGCATGGGGCGGGTTTTGAGCAATCATAGTGGGTCCAGAATTCGGAACATACGAGAAATCTCAGGGTACCGAAAGTCGAAATTATGCTCGGATAAAGTTGATAAATTACTCCTTACTGAGCAGAACCTTCCCAAAGCATCCATCTATCTCACGCGTTGTAAACATTCCTCAAACGGAAATACATCTAGAGGAAACACCCCTAGGTAAATGGAACTTTACAGTCACTGGAAAAATTGCTCAGATGAGAGACTTCCCCGGCGTTTTTGTTTAATAATATCGAGAAATTGTCTTTACAACAACACTGACAACATCAACACTGTTAGGGAGGGGGACATCTAAGCTGAATTTGCATGAAAAATTATGGCAAATATGAAGAATTCTTTAAATTGCTACAAGAGTAAGATTTCACTCAACACATCTTGATTGCAGCTAAAGAAAATTATATTTAAGAAAGAAGATAATTACTCGAGAAAAATGAACTTTGTTAGAAAAATTGTATCAAAATATAAATTATTTATATTTCGGAATAATATTTTTCGATTGAAAATAAGAAAGCAAATGAAGAGCTAAGCGCTCAGTTAAAAATATTCATTACTTTAGACTGCAAAACTTACCCCTCCAGTCTTTGATATTTCCTCTGTTATCGTTTTTCCAGCATTACTATTATTACTCCCTTGATTATGCTCGTGACCTTTCAACGAAGGTAGTGTTTCTTTTCTGTTGAAAACATTATCAGTGCTTTCTTGAAGCGCTTCGTCGATTTCGTTCTCATCATGAACATCAGTTTCTGTTTAGTAATAGTACATTCAATTATTACCACAACATTATCGGTAAAGCGCATGATAAATTTTCACACAGTTTTGCATGACTACAACGAGTGCTGCGTTAGAAGCGTACAACAATTTACGAAATAGAAATTTTATAGTAAAAAAATTGTATATTGTATTTGATACAGACCACAGTTCTCCTCTGATCTGTAAGCTTGTAAGAAATCGGCAAAGGCACTTGAGTTTTCCAGAAGTTCAGTGTACGTGCCTTCCTAAAAATAATTCAAACAAAAGAAAATCAAAGAAAACCTTTATCAAAATAATCCACTTTAAGATAATTTATACAGCCTGATGGAAATTTTACATACCTCTGAGACGAAACCGTCCTGAAGAACGATGATGTGGTCCACTTGAGGTAAAAAGTTGATGCCATGGGTAACAAAGATTCGAGTCTGGTGGGTAATGACACATGACAATAAAAATTTAAAGTTGCACTTTGGAAAGTTGGACCATAGCAAGAAAAGATAGACCTTGCTTAGTGGTCATCCAAAATGGTATGAAAGTTCGTCACGTTTTTTAAATTTCCAAGAAAACGAGCCATCATTATAGATACCCTGGAAAGGATCGAGTCAAGGGACTGACTATAAAAGAATAACTCTCCCGTCGTTTTTGAGCTCATGTTGGTTTGCTTCCGGGGAAAAGGGTGAGATGTACCTCGCGTGTTTAGTGAGTGGTGTGGTAGAAAACAAATACAAACAGCATGGGATGTCCACGTGAGCAAAATTCGCGACACAAGATTGTTTACTCATAGATCGTTCTTCCGCGATGAAGACGTCGATTAAATAATTTGGCTAGAATTTTGCTATTGGCCGAATGTGTTTAGTGTCTCCTACAGTGCCACAGTTCAACTTCACCCATAATGAGTTCCAAATGGAAAATTAAATAATTTTCCGTTTGGGTTTTCTTTCTCAAATCACACAAGTTTTGGTTATTTTGTAGATGTTGAAACGACGGTGAAGAAATGTCCAAACTTTAAGAACGCACGCGCTCAGCTATTTTTTCTCCAATCATAGATATTTTGTTCGGCCACGTCCTCGTTGTTGTCGCTGTCGTGCAAGGTCCTTAACATCCTTGTGTCTACGACATTACGAAACATTGAGATGATCCCTGTCCCACCTCACCTTATCTTTAAGCATTCCATTAGGTCCAATGACATTCAGAAATAACTTTCGTCCAACATGAGCGTCCACAGCACTGAGCGGATCATCCAGTAAGTAGATATCAGCGTTGAAATAAACTGCACGTGCTAGACTTACTCGTTGTTTTTGTCCACCACTAAGGTTGATACCCTGTATGATTTAAAGGAATTTTGTCCATGGACGATAACAATTACTTAAAAATAACTTGAAGTATTTATCAGTGGCGTCATTATTCACATCTCTCGGTGTTATGGACGACTACAGTATCATACGGAAAACTGAACCACATATCTGCCCGGTCGTCAGCGAAGTGAAATGATGGAAAAGAAAAACCGCTGTGATCAAGAAGTTGCTAAAAGCCCAAAGCGTATTCGTTCAATGGGACGCCAAAAAAGTCGAGCATGGCTTTTGAAATTACAAGGGATTTGAATTATAATAAAAATGATAAAAATGTTGTCCACCTTTAATCAAAATTATCAACATCCATGTCTAACTTGTCTCTTTAGTGAATAGCGAAGATCTTAACCAGTTGCACTCCTTTTTGTTTGGTGATAAAAAGGTAGAACAATCTTCCCAAAATTCCTTCTCACCCGTTCTCCTATTTCCGTGGAGTCACCAGCTGGAAGAATTTTCAAATCACTTCTCAAGGCGCATGAGTCAATAACCTGCTCATAACGAGCTGGATTCATGGCCTTATTAAACAGGATATTGTCTCGTATAGTGGCGTTCTGTATCCAGGCCTGCTGGGAAACATACGCCACAGATCCCTGTAAGACAAAATATCGACCACTTTCATTTCCATCGAGCGACTTTTTATCGTCGAGTCCACAAATCAGTCAAAAGGTAAACTCATCAATTACCACTCAGACAAATCAATGTTCTTTTCATCTGTACTCACTATATCATATTTAACACTGCACAGAACATAATGAAGGGATATCACAAGTGAGCTAAAAAGGAATTATTCATATTGTATACGCTATCTCAGATAGTTTGATTTAGGGGCCTTGAAATCAGCAAACCCAAATTAACTATGGATTTTAAGATGGCTAAATTTGAAGGAGGTCATCATTCACTAGAGAAATAATACATTACGTACGTCAACATAAATGGTGCCATTCAACTTCTCTGTTTCACCAAGAAGAGAGGAAAGCAAAGTAGATTTTCCGCAACCAACCTGACCAACGACTGCAACCAGGGAGCCCTTTGGAATGTTTAGGTTGATACTGAAACAGTAAAATGCGACAGTAAAATATATGTTTTAAAACAATATATACAGCACAATAAATTGCCCATGAGGGGATGTATTTTGTCATTTAAATTTAGTGTTACTCGAAAAGAATGCATATTATGATAAATGTGCAATATGCAGTTGAGCCCTTCAAGAATTATCGTTCGTATCCGGCAAATCATTTTCAATTAAATATTTAACTTATTAGCCCTTCGTTTGCGCTCAGTGGGAAATCCACACGATCTATTGCTAAGGAAACACTACAATATTCAGAGAACGTCCGACTTAAAGAGGGCCATGTATAAGCAATTTATACTACTACCGACGTCGTAAAAAATCAGACTTCAAGTGAAACAGACTGGTTTCCTGACAGACAGACAGACAGACGGACAGACGGACGGACGGACAGACAGACAGACAGAAAGACGGACAGACAGACAGACAGAAAGAAATCAAAACAAAACAAACAAAACAAAGAAGCATAACATAAGACCAGTTGACAGACGACATTTAAAGGCCAGCTCAAAGTACCTACACCATAAATTTTAGTTACCAACATTCTTTCAAATTTGTGGCAATTGAAAAACTCATTGTAACTCGTTTAAAATTTCTACGTCCTTACCCGGTTATTGCTCCTTTTCTTTTTTGTGAGCCTCTTGATGTTTCTTGCCTTACTTAGGAATAAAACCTTTTCGGCTAATTACATTCTTGATTTAGCCTTTTTTTCAATTCTCTCTTACCCATGAATTTTAGGTGCATCCTTTCTGTTCCATCCAAATACACCACTTTTGACGCCAATCATTTCCGAAGTAAGCTGTGTTGCTAAGGGAGAAAAATAAGAAGAGTCCGCATTTGCTCTTTTACTCGGTGCTTTACATTAAAGGTTAACCTCCTCCACTTCGGATTACAGTCACTGAACATGGAAATCTTGTATGCATTAGGAATAATGAAAATGTTTTAAGTCCAAGAAAATTGTTTACTGGCGCGTATTCTTGGTATACGTCGATGCACTTAGGCTCACTGCGGTACTGGTAAATTGAGCCTTAATTCTAGTTCAAGATGGAAATGAAATAGACAAATGAAAAATAAATAACGCCGTAAACGTTCACACGTTTTCATACATTCTCTGCCTAAGAAAACACTGTACTCAAACGTGTACATGGTGGCTTAAAATTATCAGTCAGTATATTCGTCTCCCCAAATTACTGGGTGAGTCATCTGTGTGGCCTACTGGCTGACGCATCAATCACTGCAACTAGTGCTCAGTCTTTGCAAGTCACGGAAATACCCACTACATTACGTTGCTCTTACGTGACGTCCTTAGAACATTGTTTGGGTCCAGTTCTTCTAAATCCAAGAACTTTTCTATACGCTTGACCGAGACCCGTGCCTTACGAAAAAAAAAAAAAAAAAAAAAAAAAAGCAAGGACGGAGGGAAAATGACATTAATCTACATTAAAAAATAGTACAACTTTACAACAAATATAGCGGCAAAAACTATATACCTGTACGATTACACGTTACCTGGCGCCTTTAAAGCTTTGTGTGACCATTCAAACGTCTCAAATGAATCTTGGCGAAAACCCTAGCATAAGCGTGCGAACCTAACTTTCATTCATCCTTACTCAAGGAACAACGTGAGGAAGGCCAGAACAATAGAAAAAACTGGAGTAACTTGAAATTTCAAGCTTAAACCTTATATAGGAGCATTGACAACGACCTTCCATTTTTTTCGACTTACTTGTATGCAAGTTGCAATCACATCTGGAAAGAAACCAAGAGGAAAACGCAAAATTCCAAAGAGCGACAAGGCCACAAACGCTTTGGATGCGGTCAGACTGTTTCCTATGAGAACGTAAACAGCAAACGTTGTAACAGCAACCTGTTTGGAGGAAAGTCGATTGAGACTGTGTTATTGTCTTTTGCATTATTGTGTTACTACATAGATGAAACATTTCAGTGTGTTAATGTAGAATCACAAAGAGACATCGAGGGAAGAGCAAAAGCAAGTCATTTAATGACTAGAAACATATCGAAGAGAACAGACAGTCTAGGGATGGGATAAAAGACGCTGGACTCAAAATGATTCAAAATGAAATGAAATGGAGCGACAAAAAGGATACAAATGGTACGAAAGTGAATGGAAAAGTGAACGCAAAAAATTTACTTTACTGTCTTGTGAGGATGATTTTCACTATAGGAATGTTAGGCATTTTGCTACAGGTTAATGTATGGGGCAGTAAGTGCTTTAATTGCTCTTATTTTGTGTTTCTTGTTCGCATTGTTAATGTAAAATTCACCATTGATGTCACGAACTTAGTTGTCACTGTGAACTTACCATGATAGGCAAACTGTTGTAAACAAAATTCAAGAAAACTTTCCAGATTTGAGACTTCAGAAGAAATGAGAGTTCCTTGCGTCGCTTGTTGTTAATTATTGACAAGAAAGATTCTTCCCACGCATAGAGCTTTAGAACCTGGAAAAGAAAAATTTAAATCAAATAAGAGTCCAAATGGCTTATAACTTGGCTCTAAGTTAGGAAATGAAAGTAAACAGCACAAGGTTAACAACCAAACTGCTCAAGCTCAACATGAATATTATCATCATTTCCTTTTTACCTGCCTTCTCCTGATTGATCAAATCACAAGTTCAGCTTCCTTTTCTACTCTGTACATGTCCTGTTCAATATACATTTACCTTAATTCCATTGAGAACTTCATTAATTATCTTTATCCGTCCATCCTTCTCCAACATTTGCTTCACCTGATCATAAAAGAGAAGTGTTTATTCATTGGAATTTCGTTGAATAGTGACAATACTTGAACACTGTCTTGTTAACAGGATGACCTAAAGGAGAAACTATCCAACAACTCCGGGCAACCAAAATGACTATTTCCTTGTTTTCAGGAATCTCCGTTATTTGTTTCTGCACTAAAACTACACGGATATCGCAAAACTAAAACTAAAACTAGACTAACTACTCCACGCGCACAAACCAAGACGTTGAATACCTGCAACTTGTTCACCATTTTGCCGATCAAGAAATTAATTGGAGTGAAAATCACCATCACACCTAAGCCAGCATAAATCGGCCAGCCCATGGTTTGATGAAGAAAATACAATGACACTCCGACTTGGAAGGGCCCAGACCATATCATGTTTAGATATGTCATCACATCCATCAGCCTTTGCGCGTCCACTGACATCAGGTTCACAATTTCTCCAGCGGTTGATTTCGACCGTGATTCATTGCACAATACCAGAGCCTGATCAAATGATGTTAGTGGCAAGTTTAGTGTTAATAAGACGAGCAATAGAAAGATGTTGTGAGGTTTCACAAACAACTGCAAAGTTCATTGAAAACTGGTAAGCCTTGTTATTTAACAAATAGAGAAGCCTTGACTGTGCTTTGTTCTGTAGTAAAACACGCAGGAAGCGGCTTGAGCACGAAAGAATTGTAGGAGGAAACACGAGACGTAGTCTGAAATTTCACTTGTGCTATATCTAAACTTTATTACAATAATATTTATACATGGGACTATTATCAGTGAATAATTGCTCTTAAACAGAGAAATATTTGGAAAAATAACGCTGAGACTCGAGATAAGCTCATACATTTAGGTTGTTGTTTATCAAGAAATTCAAGCATGCATTTCTTACGTCTTTCTTTTTCCATTCTAACTCTGCATATACAAACAAAATAGCAGCCAAATGTACAAAAAAAACTGATTTTCGACTTAGCAGCTCACCTTTTCATATATAAGACCAGTAACAGCTGAACGAATTTTCATACCAAGTGTGACCATTATATGGAAATACTGTTGAAGGACGAGGGACTGCAATGTTGCTGACACAAACATGGACCCGGCGTAAACATAGCCCATCCACATTTTCTCAGAGGAGGACTTGTCTTCTATGTATTCAATAAGCATTCTAAAGAAAGAAACGAACACAGAATTGTTTCTTCCAACGCGAAGAGATGGTACTCCTCTTGCACTATAGATTGTCAGGCATAATCATGCGTGGGAAGTCTCTATTTCGAACAAATTACGAAGGGTAGATTTCGATCTAAAGATTAATGGCCACATCATATGATCGACAAAACAGCGCGCCAAACTTCAAAAACATGGTAGCATTAAGTTAACCATTTTTATTTGTACTTTGAAGGCCGATTAGCGCTAACCCAAGGTTAAATTTTAGTCCTGGTTCTTTATACCTTTGTTCAAAAGCCTCTTTTGGGATAATTTTCGCTATTCTTTTTAGAGTACTTAATCATCAAATTGCAGACAAAAATAATTATCAAGAATTTTATTTAAGCTTTCAGATCTGAATTAAGATTTCACCTTAACCCTGGGTTATCGTAACCAAGCTTTGAACAACCCGGCCAAGGACATTATCTTTGCTCTGGTAAAGTGATTATAACCTTAACCCTCTAGCCCCAAAGGGCGAGTGGAATTTAATTTCTCATTAGGGTATCACAGCTGAATCGAACATCAGGCTTTTGTGAATTCAGGAAATGATCGTAATTTTCCTTTTCAGTGCCATAGGAAATGTATACAGAACGTAAAGGTATTATTATTTTGTGTGCTTATTATATATATTTATGTTCTAGGGTGTAACGGGTGAAAGCAACGAATAGCATCGTAACGGAATTTCAAAGTATTCAACTGGTGAAACAAACATCAATCATTAGCGGGCTTTCGAATTGGCCCATGCAAAATTTTATCTAAGTTTTTCGCAACTTATGAACGCTTACCTTAATAACTGCGGCTGTACAAACAAAAAGCAGTCGTGGAACAGTTTAAAGATAGCGGCTAGTAGAAATTTCCATCCGTACATCTTGACTAAAACCTTCAAAAGTGAAGGTTTTCTTTTGTTGCTCGGTGATTTTTTCTCCTTTTTATTTGTACCAAGTAACGAATCAGTTTCACTTGGCTCAAAGCCACAAGCATCTTCAACCAGAACTCCTTTCTTCCTGTAAAGAATTGTAAATAAATGAGATCTATGTTAAGGTTTTTGTATCTAATGCACTAAACAAACTTGCTGACGGACCTACCTGTTGCATTTTTTTTGTTCGAGATTCCAAATAGATCTCACTTTAGGAACAATGTATGAAGCTCTGCTCTTCCTATTCAGTGCCCAGAGATCCTTGTCCTCCAGTGGTCTCTTGTATCCGGTAAAAATTATCCTAAGAAAAGAGAGTAGAAGATGGCTTCCAAGCAACTAGAATATGTCTTGGTCTCCCTCGCCTTGCTGATGCTTACAACCTTAGTACAATAATTTTTTCCTCATGTCAGTTTGTTAAGTAGAGCCGAGGTGGCACCCTTCCACTGCTTCCCATGATGTTCCCATGATGTTCCCGTGATTCTAAATCTGTGGTTGGATACGTTGGTTATTTGCCTAAACCCGTAAAACACTAGGCAGCCAAGGTGAAAAAAAAAAATAATAAAAAACCTACATGAGAATTGAGTATCTTCTAAAAAACAACAGCAAGTGTACTTCGGGGCAGCCGGGATGCAAGTTTCAGGCAAATTCAGCATTCTGCCGCAAACGATGCAGATTGCTGCAACGATTGCTTCCAACAAGGACAGTGCCAGAAAATTCGGTTTCCTTTCGATCATTTCGCCTGATGTCAGTTTATTGCAGAAAAATGTCTATGTTAGGGTTTTTACTACACTTCCGTGCTAGATTTCCTCGACGGGTATATTACTTGAATCGTGACACCACAAATGTCTCAGTATGTAAAGGTAAGTTAGTAATGTAGGTTACCAGTTCAACCACCAGAACGTGATTCTTGAAAAGCATGTTGCTTTATCTTCGGGACAAGAAATCTGAAACGAGAGAAGGAAAGCAGTTAAACAAGATCAAATATTTCTGCAGGAAATTCTGTGGTGACATAAGAGCCATAAATCCCCCTTTTTGCTACTCTTAGTACAATTTATACAAAACGTATATTTAAAACGCCAGCCAAATTTAGATAAATTTATGTGGTGTCTTGCAAGATTTAATGGTAAATCAGTTTTCATTGAAGCGTCGAAAAACCAAAACCAAAGGGATCACAAATACCAATCCGAGCAAAGTGATTGTGTAATCTGATCGTCCGAGTGAGCGTAGTCCTGAGAAGGACTGCTGTCGGTAGTGGTGACCGACGTTTCGACAGCCTGAGCGGAGGTCATCATCAGAGTCCACTCACATACTGCCCCCAGGTTCAAACCAAAGAACAGAACAAAAGTTTACATCGCTGTCAACCAATTCTCAAAGTAAAAACAAGCAACCTGCTTGAGAACACGTGAGTGACCCAGTGGGGTTTGGTTTTAGTTTTGCATTTGATCGTTGAAATCTGCCCCCAGGTAAAGAATGATTCAATTAACTTCCTCACCCTCTTTCTTCTCTCGTTTGTTTGTTCTGGTTCCCAGTTAACACTGAAGTTGGTTTCATAATTCGAGCCAGACGATTTTTCAGTCATTCCGCCTATAGATGTGAAAGGAGGTATTAATTTAACGTAATCTAAACATTACTTAGTGATCAGTACATATAACATTGTAAGGGGTATCTCTATCTCTCTTACAGTATTTCAAGTTGAAATTCTCTTGAGTATGCTCAAATAAAGTTCGTTGCGCCCAGTTTACAACTATCTGGTACCAAAATGGTTTAGTTTTGTTCCTGATTGCACAATTACTGTACACTGTTGAAATGCTGAAATAAAAGTATTCCTTAAAAAGACAGAGGAGAATGTTGATGTCGCAATATTGGAATCCTTTAAAAGGTATTGTGTTATAAAATTGAGATGGAAATTTTCAGAGTGCCATTTCAAATCCAAAACGTGCCCCAAACTACTCTTCCACTGATCTCCAGGTCAAATACGATTTATGACTTCTTCTCTGTTCGCCACCGAGCAGCTGGCTTTCCCTATTTGATACCTACATCACAATTTCGTAAGAATAGAAAACATTAACTTCTCCAAAAAACCCTTTCCTTAAGACTGCCCTTTTCCATTAGTGAAATTTTACACAACCCAAGCTTACTTAAAAGCCCTTTCATGTTGATCTGTGAAGACTGTCTATCAATGGTCCTACGACTGTTGTGTCACGCCTCGAAACGTCACGTAAGGCGTTATGTCACGGGTCAATCGTAATGTTTACGTTAAGTTCCTACAACACGACGATTTTGATGATACAACATTGACGGCAAAGCGTGAAACTTGAATTATGTACTACTGCATCAAACTTCAATAAATCGGGAAAATCATTTTTCAGCGAAAAATACCGCCATATTGTCTTAAAGTGGTCTTAAAAATTTCTCTCTTCTCGACCGCTAAGAAGCTTCCACACGCTTGAAGTGGATAGTAAATTTTCTCCCGCGATTTTTGCTAATGTTTTTCTTTATGTAGCTTTAGCTTTTGCTACCAATGAATATGATTTTATTTGAACAGATGAAGAGAACTGTTGGAAGCGAATTTACAACACACAATTACATCATTCGACCGCCTTCTTACGTAGCTTAAGTAGACCGTACCTCGCATTCGTGATTAAAATCTCAACACCAGGTTTCCAGGCTTATCTGTCACAGACATTTTCTCCTGATAGTCCTGTCTGAAATCGGAATAATTCAAGAGAACACCCCGTTTTCGGTTATCGTGACGAAGACCCAGGCATTATGTTTTGTCAGTACTAATGAATATTCAATCGAAGCAAGCGGCTAAGTATTGTCCACCATAAAGCCGAACTCAGTGCGATGCTGCAGGACGCTGGTTTGTCTCTTTCACTTTGTTATCATTTATATGAATCATGACTTCCGTTTTCCAAAACTTCTGAAAGAACAGCTCGATGCTAGTTGTCAGTTCTGTTACCGATGTTTTGCGGCCGACATATTGTTTAATGCATGTGCCACCGAAAGCGGGTTCCCATAATCCCAATGGTCTAAACTCGTTTGTCACGCTATTACTGCGCATTCAATCAGGGATTAAGATAATTTTGTTCCAGTTGCTCTGTCATAAAAAACACGAACAAAAGCAAGACTCTGTGATATGCTCAAGTAAATTATCACTCTGCTTAGGACCCAAGATTAATTCCTTTTTTACGGTTGTTTTTTATGTGTGCAACAAAAATATCAAATACTAGAAAATCTAGCAAATAGATCCCAGAGGTCTAAACTGACTTAGCAGTGAAATTCTGGCGAATTGACCAACATATAGAAAGCCATCAAAGATAGTTCATTATTTGTGTCAAATAAACCTACCCATACTGCGTATAGTTATATGAAAATCAAAATAAGAAAAAATCAGGGAACATTTTGCGGTGAATACACAGTAGTTCAAATCTCTCTTAGCGTGATAACTTGAAACTCTGATCTGGAGATAGCCTAACGTGTGCGATGATATGATGATTGGTAATTGATAGAAAGTATTGAGGTGAAGTTCCTGTTTGATGATTTGGTCAGCACCCACTTGGTTTCAGTGACAAAAATCTCGAAACTAAAGCCGCTTACCTTGAGTGTTGAAAGAAGCATTCTCGAGTAAGGTTGTTATTGACACAGAGTAAGGGTTATATTTGCTTGTCTTATCTTAAGCATAATACGGGTGACTACAACGAAAGTACTGATATAGTTCCGTTTCCTGAAAGGTTCAGGAAAATGTGTCGATGAGGTGTTAAATAATCCAAGCGAAATGTCACACCTCTTGATGGTTCTACACAACAATGTAGATAATTGGCTTCCAAAGTCTGCTCAGACCTTCCTGGCCAATCAATTCATGCCTTTACTTTTATTTCACTTAATTACGTTCAGAGTCAGCAGGTAGAGCAAAGCCTGTGAATTAATTGGAAGTGATGAACTCATATTGATCGCTGAAAATTTTTTAGCAAAAATAGCCTTTTAAATATAACCGCGTGAACTAATATAATTAACGTATAAGTGGTGAATGTAGATAGTACAAAAGACTTCAGGTCAATGTCACAACGAGTTGGTGAAATGATTGTTCGTATTTTCTAAAGAACATACGTAGAGTAATTACACGTGTAATACATGTCAACCAATATTTAAGACTTCACGAAATAATAATGTGGGAAAAATACGTAAGCAGCGGTGCAGATGTGTTAAAAATTTTACTTCGTGCTAAATTATTAGGAGCATTCGTCTCACGATATAAAGATTTTTACTGGCAATAAAGCTTTTAATACTTTTTTACTTTTAATTTTTAATCGCATTCTCTCATCCGTTAGGAGCTAAAGGTAAATTTAGATCTTATCCTCGTTTACATCTTGACAGAAAAGCAGTGACAGTATTTTGAAAAGTATACCACAATTCCGAGTTGGCAACTCTAAGAACTACCTCGTGTTGATCAGGTCTTTATCTATAAGAATCAAGTGTCAGACCTTTCCTGAGGTGATGGTTGAACGAAACTTGTTTTTTTCGATATCTGCTCCCAGAGTGAGACCAGTTGTAACTGTCAGCAGGTGCCAGCAAGTAGAATTGAACAAAAAAAATTTGTCCGATTTTCCCCGAATTGTGCGTTTCTGACGCGATTTGAGGCTTATCATGCAAAATTGCATCATCGCGTATTATGTTAAAGTCTTTTACTTTATGGTATTTGGCAGAAAAAAAGAAATAGAAAGAAGAAAAAACAAATTTTCGAAGCAAAATAATTAAATCGAAGTATGTCACCGTAAGGTGTCGAACAAGCGACCTCAACTTTCGCGCCAACTTTCTAGTGACTGGCGTGGTTCGTGAGGTATTACTTGAAAAGGTCTTACCTAGTTGATTTATATGTCCGTTAACATTGAGCTTTACTAGCCATATGCCAGAGTTGATTTTTGACAATCGAAAAGTTTGTCAATTATCAACTCCTAGGTGTAACTAAAAGTGATCTTACTTCGTTACTGACAAACCCGTTGACATCGAGTTTCACAAACTATATGCCAGAGTAGATAATTGACACAAAAAACAACAAACCAGTCATTCTTGGTCAGTAAAGCTCAGAGAGTAAGGGAATGAGAGAAACGTACTTGTGACTGGTCCTTAATAAGTACAGGAAGCAGCTCATAACCAGTGCTTGTTATTTTATTAATTTTCTAGCTACATCCACGACAGTGCAAATTGAATCTGAATAAATACTTTGGAAATAGAGGCCATAATATATTCCAGAACAAAGCTAACCAATAAACAAATCACGAGTCAACTGCAGGTTAAAAAACTATCTATATGATCTAGCTTTCATTGACCCCCTCAAAGAATTATCAACCCGTTGAGAGATTTTAACCGTATGCATCAAAATGTGAAAGCTTTTGGAACATATAGAGAAAACATTGTAAAGAGAGAGTTGGTTATGAACTATGAGAAAGAAGAACGTTATCTTTTCTTTTCAAAAATAAGAGTAGGAATTTGGAATAAAAATGGATGGTCTTTGTACAATATTTCAGGAGTGGAGATAACCTCGAGACCTTTTACTGATGACTGGTGAACGGGTGTTCTCTATCAGAACAGCAAAAGAAACTTTAAACATAAAATTATGCATAAGCGGACGCTCTTTTTTTGAATCAAGTACAAAATGGCTTAAGCTTCCTTAAAAACGATTGGCAGAAGATCTGAAGCTTGCAGGATCTCTTAGCTTGCAACGTGCAGAAAAACTATTACGGTAAAAAATGCATCGAGGCTAGCTATAACAAGCTTAACTTAAAGGCTAACTGATCATACCTCGCAGTACATTTTGTAGCCTTTACGTTCCCTTGTGGCAGCGTTTGCCCAAATCTAGATTGCAATGTTACATGTTTAAAAGCGAACTAAAAAACCAAAAGCGAGGCTTTAAGGCGAGGAGCAAAATGCTTAAGAAAAATCTCTTGGGCGAACTTCGAAAGGTTGGGCTTCTCTATGGTTCCCCTTGTTACTTGAGGCTTGCTTTGAAACCGATCCTGTCGCCTATCACATTTACTGCAACTAACTACTCATAAGAAGGCTTAAAATAAGAAAATTAAGCTAATCCAGCGTCTTGTGCCATGGAATAAAATACCCCCCTCTGGTTCAAGAGGTTCTCAGGACTGTCGAACTCCACCACGAAACCTTTGTCCAGAACCATGATCCTAGAAAGAAAGAGACGAGCACTAATTAGGGGTCATCACCTTTATGTACTGTAGAAAACGCGAAACCTTTACTAAGAGGCAGGACACATAAAAGGATCTTCTTGTGTTTGGCGCATCACTATAGGCCCCCAAGCTAACATTAATGTCCCAGTGAAAGTGTAGTCTGATCTTCGGGCGAGTGAAGTCCTGAGAAGGACTGTTGTCGGTAATAGTGACTGGCGTTTCGACAACCTGAGCGGAAGTCATCATCAGAGTCATTTGAATGGTTGAGGATACTTGAAATTGAAAACATTGAAAAAGAGGTATTATGATTTTATCGATGGCTGATCCTTTTTAACAGGGCTTGTATCAATGCTTTGGCTTTGTTGTACAAAAGTATAATTTCATTCAGCTGATTCGTACGTCTTAAACTCAACTGACGCTAACTGAACATTGAAAAAGCTTCCTACGAAATTGTGCAAGAGCATGCGAATTTTGCTCTTTATATTATTAACAAGTAATCCCATGTTTCCTCATAAACTTTAGGATCAATATCAGTTGCATTTTCAGAAGTTACAGAAATTGCCCTCGTGCCGGAATTTTTACAACTTCTGAAAACACAAGTGATAATAACCCTTAATTTTACGAGGCCCTATGCGATTACGTATTCTTTAAGTGTTCATTACCCAAAACAACAATAGGAACAAAAATGAAAAACATGGCAAACGACAACTAAGGAAACAATGGAATGGAATTCTCTTTTCAAAATTAATCTAATCTGCCTGTTAACTTATGAGTATTACAAACCTGGTATAGTCCATAATGGTGTTGAGCCTATGAGCAATGGTGAACACTGTGCGGTCAGCGAACTCACGCCTAATTGTTTGCTGAATGAGTTCATCAGTTTCCAAGTCCACCGCAGCCGTGGCTTCGTCCAAGACCAGAACCTTACTTTTACGAAGAAGCGCACGCGCTAAACACACCAACTGCCGCTGACCAACACTATCAAAAGCATCAAAAGGTAAAGCTGTAAATTATAATTAAGTGACATCAAAGGACCAAAGCTGAGAGCCCCGACACAAACGTGAACGAAACATGTAAGCCTTTATACGGGCCTAAGTGGCCCATGGGGTCGGTGCTTAACTCCGGTTTTCTGAGCATGAAGCGGCTAGGAGTATTGCTACTCCCCCCTGGATGGGGTGCTAGTCCATCTCAAGGTTACCCCCAGCACATTTGCTGGTACCCATTTGTACACCTGGGTGAAGAGAAGCACTGTGTCAAATGTCTTGCCTAAGAACACAACACAATGACCCCGGCCAGGGCTCGAACCCGGACCACCCGATCCGGAGTCGAGCGCACTAATCATGAGGCCACCGCGCCTCCACGTGCTGACCTACATCTCCTTCGTTAAACCCACATTTACACCACTAAGTGTCCCTTAGCAAGTATGCTTGTCATGCAAAATTGTTCGCCGTATATATTAACAATAAAAAATTGTCGACGACTTTTGTCAAAACATAGCGTGCGAGCAACCCCTTCATTATTAGTGCTGCGACATAAGCGTCTCTCAACCCGCGAAAAACTCTGAGTCCTTGAGTGAAGTGAGCCGGCATAAGGTCTGTTAGGGGTCTGGCACTAATAATCATTTGTACCAGACCCCAGCAAACCTCTCCCCGTCTCGTCTCAAATCTCCCAGCGGGTGGAAAAACGCGCATCCTGCGCCAAAAATGAGGATCAGCTCGCAGACTAGTCAGGGCAACCACAGAATCAAATTTTACCCGACGTGCGTCTATCTGTTCGAAAAGTTGGAAAGAGCTGACATGTTTTACTCCATCTGTATTCCCTCAGGAAACCTGATCAAGGTCATGCTGGTGTAACTTAATACTTCCAATACCTTAGGTTACTTCCTTCTTCACTGACAGGATAGAGAAGCCCTTCTTCCAAGCCTGAGACGAAGTTCTTCAAATGGCTCAGTTCGAGGATTTTCCAGAGTTCTTCATCCTTGTGGCGGTCAAATGGATCCAGGTTTAGACGAAGAGTCCCGGAAAACAACACGGGATCCTTGGCACAAAACGAAAGAAGTCAGTGCCACTGGTGATAATTCTTAGTAATACAGATACACAAATATAAATTTTAAACTGAAATCTATCTTTCTTGTTCCCCTTAGCTTAATACTCTCGAGGGCTGCTTTTGGCCAGTAGGAGAGAATCAAAGAGCATGTGGTTTTTGCAGCTAAATAGAATTAAAGAGGTTGAGTTAAATGAGAGTTAAATAGATCTCATATTTAAAAATTTTTTTTTTTTGGCAGGTAATATGTGAAAGTGACCAAACATCGACTGTAAACTCAGCTCTCATGCTGTCCCAAAAATACGAACGGAATGACTTTAAATTAAACTTCGGATTCGTTATGTTGTAGGTTAGGACAAGAGCACCATAAATATTGATCATTTCAAGCTCTCTTCAATTTTCAATTCTTCAGATGGGCTTCATTACCTGGGGAATGATGGTGAGTCGTGACCGCAGATCCTGCAGTCCAATCTTGGAGATATCAACTCCATCAATAAGAATCCGTCCACCAGCTCTCTCGAGAATACGAAACAATGCTAAGGTAAGAGTTGACTTGCCAGCTCCCGTGCGACCCACGATACCAATCTAAAAGAGATTCATTGATAAAAGGAGCAAGTTTCTTAAGAAACTGTGGTGCTGCGTCGGTGGAGAGAGGGGAGAAAGGAAGGTATTGCAAGATTGATTGATTTTATCAACTGAATTGATAATGTAAATCGGCCACCGTAAAGAGTTTCTAAAGCTGAGGTTTTGAGCACAGCCCCTCGTCGAAGCGAATAGAGGGAATGTGGGTTGCGTGTATTGGAACTACGCGATTAGTGGGAACATAGTAACGTGGAAAACAATAATAAATTAGTACCATGGAAACGTTCGTTGTGACAGCAGTGAATAAGATTGCCGATTTGAAAGATAAAAGTAATTCTAAAGTTAAGTAGCTTCATGAAATGCCAAGATGTACGGGGAGACCACAGAATGGCCAGTTTAAATTATCAACCAAGTTGATAAAACCAAGTTATCCAAAAAGGAATTCACCAACGGTGCATAAAGAAAAACTTTGCTCATTCTTCTTCAACCCTAAGGGTGATTAGCAATTAATTTCTCCTTATCTTATCACCCCTTATTCAAACATTCAGGTCACAACAAAACAAGAAATGATCACCAACTTGAGAAGCTTTTGATTGCTAAACATATTCTCTTTGTCAGCACCTTGGGAAACGTATAAAGAACAGTGTGGAGAACATGCATACTGATGCTGGATTGGAAAGGGTTAAGTAAAGAATACGGAGACTTAATTACCTTTTCTCCCGGTTGAATATCGCAGTTGATTTGTTTCAATACCAGAGGTAATCCTTCTCTGTATTTTAAGTCAAAGTCCTCAATGACAATGTTTCCAGCATCAGGCCAGTTATCTGGGGGCCGGTTGTCTGGGATAATCCACTCAGCCTGCAATAAATGCCCATAGATGTTAAGTTTACATAAGCATGCTTCCCAGTAACATACTTATAAGTAACCATGACGTGTGAGAGAACAAGGAATCCACATTTCTTTTCTAAGCAAACATCAGAAGAGGAAAGGAAAGGAAAAACAAAAAAACTCTCAACTTGGAAGACATGAAATGTTTATTTTTTATTTAATCAGTTAATTGGGGTTTATCTCTTTATATGCTAGAGTTGTACGAAGATTAGTGTTACTGACGACGCAGGTTTGTTATCCTCACTTTTCTTCATCAGATCATTAAAACAATTCAGAAATATAGGAGCAAAAATTCACAAAACAGGCAATGCACAAGAAGATCGGTTCACATCATTATGAAGATTTCATCATGTTATCTCAACTTATCATTATTTGTTTTACCATACCTCAGTTGGTGCTTCTGAATATTCCTTGACCCGCTCAACAGACACAATATTAGTTTCAAGCTCACTGCTCATTCGCACCATCCAGTTCAGGGTGTTAGTAATCTTAAATAACAAACCCGCAAAATTAGTTCAAGTAAACCCCTAAGAGTGGTCTGTTTTTTACGTATCTTAACTTTTTATCACAAAAACGTAATTCAGTGTAACCGCACACTGGTTCACTGGCACCTCTCCCCCCCCGCCCGCCCAACCCTCCCCCCTCAAAAAAAAACAGAACAAGAAAGAAATTATAAAATGAAACCAAAACAAAACAAAATTAAAACGCAAAAGGAAAAAAACAAAACAAAACCAGAACATAAATAAAAAAATAAAACAAAATCAAAACACAAACGAGAAATAAAACAAAATCGAACCACAAATGAAAAACAAAACAAAAACAGAAAGAAACAAAACAAACAAGATGACAAAAAAAAAGCAAAAGAAACAAAACCCGGCCTCCTTTAGCCTCCTCTTACGTATCTTCGACGAGAAAAACTAAAGCAAAATCGCCGTACCTCACGTTAAAATTCTCCATCAATATTCTCACCCAGTATTTGTTCTCAACTATGCTTGTTTCTCGATCGTATTCGACTTTATGATGATTCCCAGTAACACTGTGGCGTTTCAAAAGAAGACGCCAAAAATAAAGACAGGAAGAAAGAAAAAAAAAAACAAACCTGCAAAGCATAGGTGATGGACAATCCCACAAGGCCACTTTCGATCGAGTCACGACTAATAACAGCAAACAGCCCGGCAAAGAGGATGATCAGATTGCCGAGAAACTCCAGACGCAGGGCAAGCCACCTGAATGAACATACAGTATTACTTTGAGTTGATGATGTAAATTGGACACCATAAAGAGTTCCTACGACTGACGTTTCGAGCGTTAGCCCTTTGTCAGAGCGTAGAACTGACGAAGGGTTAACGCTCGAAATATGAGCTTTAGAAACCCCTCGTTCATGAATGGATATATTGTCGAGTGGGAAAAAAAAAACGTAAGATCTCGTACGGGGAATAGAGAATTTACCTATTGGCTGTAGTTCCCGGATAGTAAGCCACATGATTTTCGTCAACTCTATGGTAGTTTTCCCGGATTAAGCGCTGTTGTTGGGCAAATGCTCGGATGGTGCTAGCTCCGTTGATCGACTCAAAGAAGTTATTGAAGATTGGTGATCGAGTCACGGACTCGATTCTCTTAAGCTGTCGTGAAGTGGCCACATATATTCTCTGTAAAGTAAAAGGATAACATATATCAAAAAAAGGTTGTATAGAAATGTGTATCCCAAATTATTAGACATAATATCGATCAAATTCTAGAGGCCGAGTTGAAAATGGTTATAGTCAAGACCAATACTGCTTGCATTAAATATTTGGATTATACACTCAGCTCGGCTATGGATTGAAAACCAAAGCTATAGATATAATTACAAAAGTGGCTGATTTCCACTAAAGCGTGAAAAGTCTTTTCGAATCTCTAGTCTGAAGATGGTAAGGTGAAAACTCTCTTAAAATTGCTAAGCGTAATTTTAAGGTGACGGTATCGACCTTGGACAGCAAAGTTTAACTTCTGAAATATTCATATCTATATACGTGTCACCAGACATATTAATCATTATTACACAAGTTAGCACGATCAGCACAAAAAAAAAGAAAAACTTAATTTGAGGCTCCGATTCCTGAGAGCCTCACCTGAATTCAACTAAAAAATGTTTATTAATATGTCTACCTTATTTAATACCAAAGTGAGGTCTGCAATCATACCCTTTTGTCTCGGAAGTTCATAAATACCCTTTACGAAGGAGCTCCTCTAGGCTTCCCGAAGGTTATTTCTGTTACATTAGTACGACGAAAAGTTCTCCTGTATTGATATTTTCCCCAAAGAAATATGGGACACTCTTAACTCTTGCAATAATCCATATATCAGTTATTGTGACTAGGTAATTTAAATCATTGTAATTTCGTTCCTATTGTCATTTTTTTCGTTATTATTTGTTTATGGCATTTAAGATTTGTGATATCAAATTACAGACGTAGACAAATTTTCTACTGAGAAATGAAAGTTTACTTCGCTCTGTGATTGGTCCAGAAAACGCGCACCATTCATCTCAACCAGTCAAATGCAAAACTAAAACTAATCATATTTTCGTTTTTTTGATCGGCATGTGTGATTACCTTAGTTTTGGTTTTTACAACACTCAATTGAAAAGCGCTACGTAAGTAGAGTTAATTCATTCTTTCAACTAAAAACTTTTTACCTGAATGAAAATGTAGACAAAACCAAGGGGCAGGATTACGACCAGAAAAATTGGAGTCGCGAAGCTAATGGCAGCGATGGTTCCCAGAACGCCACAGAACGTTCGCAAGAACATAATCAGAGTCATGGGAACCTTATCATCGATTGTGCTGATATCCTTAGAGAAGCGGTTCACGATCCTCCCCAGAGGAGTGGTCTCAAAAAATGACATGGGGGAGTGCAAGACATTCTCAAGAAGAGTATGATGCAGATTGCGTGACGCAATTTTCGATCCAACAGCCAGGCACAAGGATGAAATGAGTGTGCTGGCAGCTTGTAAAAAGCCAAGACCGCCATAAACTCCCAGGTACATGTCACGCTCTTTGTCTGAAGTGACATTGCTTGAACTCCAGCGGGCGAGCCAAATTCCTGAAGAAACTGAACTAGCTTCTGCTAGGACTACAAACAATAGTATGCTGAATGCCAAGTAGACTTTGACTGACTTTGCGTAGGCCCAGAACACTGCAAATTTGACCTGCAATCATGAAAGATTTATAACTTATTCTAATACCTCATAATACAGCTTGTTCGCTGGGTAAAGAAAGCTGCAGATCGAGAGAAGTAAAAGTAGCTTTCTAAGACAGAAACTATTTCTATAGTTCGACCATCTACGTTTGTACGTTCGCTTTTGGTTTTTGTTATTTTTTCAACTGTTTTCTTTTGTTTCAGCCACGTTTTGCTTGTTGTTTCTCTAAGAGTGGGGAGGACGAAACAGTACTATCACCTCCTCTTTTTTGGCGTTTTCTACATGGCATCTGTTTTTTGGGTCAATCCTTTACGGTGTAAACGGATAACATGTCACCTTCATTGTAAACATTGTAAATTCTTCGGGAAACTCAGTTGTTTGGAAATCAGAGACTTCTTTTTTTAATTGCGCATCGTGCGTTTCTGTCGTAGATCACGGTTAATAAAAACAAAAAAGCTAATAATAATTTGAAACGTACCCGTCCAGTTGCGGATTTCTCTTCTTCGATAATCCTGTCTTCTACGTCCTCATCGGGTCTCGTGAATGTACAATCCAAATCGGCCGTGTCAACCGTGACAACAGACACGCTATCCGCTCGCTTCCTCCGGAAAACTGGGCCTTCCATTTGACTGTCCATTCGCTCCAGTCGACTATCCTGCCTCTCTAAACGACTATCTGAGCGTTGAAACCTGACATCTATCTCATCTACACCTTCTGCTTCTTCTTTTATCGTGGGTTCCGTTCTGGGTTGTGTCTCTGCCACTATAAGGAGTTATAAAGAATTCTACAGGCAACCACATAATCAATTTTCAAGCAGTTTCTCGTGGATGGCTTCTGTATGATACTACTCGTCACGTCAGGATTTAAAAATAATATTTAGGATTTAAGCTCTTGACCTCCAAAAGCTGCTTTCCGACTTAACTGACAATGAAAGTGCCTCGTTACTCCATGAAAAAGTCGTTGCACCCATACCCAGAAAGATATCATAAAAGATATCCTGAAAGGTCGTTGCACCCATACCCTTAAGATATCGACCACTACCTACCATCCTCCTCCACATTCTGTTCCGCGGCGAATGTCTTGAGAAACTCAGAAAAGGCTCCCTCGTTTGCAAGAAGTTCTGAATACGTTCCAACCTGATCAAAAGAGAATCTGTCTGAATCGGTAGAGAACACTTGATGTGCGAAATTTTCTGCACTGGGCCTGTATTGCTTTCCATGGGACACCATAGCCTTAGAAGTAATTTGGCTTTGACGTCACCGTACGTCCGAGCGTCAGTCCATCCGTACGTACGAGAAGCATCAAGCCAAAAAAATTTGGCTGTAACGTCACCGTACCTCCAAACGTAGGTACGACTTCAAGTGTTACAAAGTGTATCAAAAATCTTACATTCGTACACAACTTGAATAAACAAAAGGTTAGATAATTAGGTTTTATTTTACGTTCCTTTTCGATTGAGATGACATTTCGAAGATTCATAAGGAAAGAAAAACATGCCAACAACAAACTTCGAAATATATAGCGCACTTCTAATTCAAACTTCAGTCTACCGTCAAGTTGCCACATGAAATTTTAAAATTGAAGTCTGCTTTAAAGCCTAAGAAAACGTAGCTCAGATATTCGCCAGATGACGTTTTGAAACTTCATACAAAAAGAAAAACACCTTAACAACAAACTTCGTAATTCATAGTGCGTCTTCAATTCAAACTTCAGTCTTTACCGTTAAGTTGCTACATTAAACAATAAAATTGAAGTCTACTTTAAAGCTTAAGAAAAGGTACCTCAGATATTCTTCCATCTTGCAAAACAATGATCTGATCCACTTGAGGAAGGAAGCCAACTCCATGGGTAACAAAGACGCGAGTCTGAGGAAAGCAAAATTTTACCTTACCTTTACATTCAGAGTCGATATTTGGAAAAGCTCTAGCAGTTAAAACTTTAGAAATGCTCTCGAACTGTACCTTCTTTCTGAGTTTTCCCCTTGGTCCGATAACTTTATCAAATATGTGTTTTCCAACATGTGAGTCCACAGCACTGAGTGGATCGTCCAACAAGTAAACATCAGCATCAAAGTACACAGAACGCGCAAGACTTATACGTTGTTTTTGCCCTCCACTCAGATTTATACCCTAGAAAAAATAGAGCGTGAATTTCCGAAAGTAATGAAACTCCACGATTTTCAGTGGCAAAAGTGTTCTCTCATGTAGAGCGTGTAACGAGTGGGTCTGATGCAGATTCTGTGACTTGAACAAGCAATTCACCGTTTCTAAGTCTGGCTCCGTTTTGCCTAAATGGTAGATGAAGCTAACCAACGGAAAAATTGCCATTCAGCGGATGAGTGCCAACAAAACTAAGGAGATCTGTCGAGTGGATAGCGCTGTCCATCTTTCGAACAAGCAAGGCCTGGTTACTTTCGGCATAAGGCGTGATAAATTTTGCGGCAAGTCGGTTCATGCATTGTATTACGCTATATTCTCGGACCTTTAGTCCATTAGCCCGCGCGGCCCTCGTCACTTAATTCCATAAAGTTGTGCAAAACAATCAGCACAACTGCAAAACATAAAAGACTGCTACAGGCAAGCAATGTACCTTTTCCCCAATCTCTGTCATGTCTCCCCCGGGTAAAATATCCAGGTCGGTCCTCAAAGCACAAGTGCTGATGGTCTTGCAATAGCGTTTAGGATCAAAACTTCGTCCAAAAAGGATATTGTCCCTCAGTGTTGCATTTTGTATCCAGGCCTGCTGGGGAACATATGCCACAGAGCCCTGAAAACAAATTAGCACAGCATTAAACTATTATTAATTCTTGTGTTGTCATAATGAACAGGTAGTTTAGCGATGAGTCAGTGAGCTCCCATACTAAGCACGCACAATGCTGGTTGCTCTTTTCCTTCCGACCGTGTCCAACTTTTAAGCCACATTTCCCATACTTGGCAAGTGTATCGCTGGTTGCTCTTTTTCTTTCGACTAACGTCACGTTTTAAGACAAGTATTTGTTTTACCACTGCCCATCGATTTTTGCATGAGAAAAATGAAGGTTTTTCACGCATTCGCCCGGAATGCTAAAACAGGATCAGTACACTGAGTTGAGAAAGAACACAACATACACGAAATCAACGACAATGACAACGGCAACCAAAAAAAACAAACAAACAAACAAACAGTCCTAAACAAATTAAAAGCAAACAAAACAAACAAAACAAAACAAAACAAATTAAAAAACAAAAACAAAACAAATAAAAAAATCCAAGATTGCAAATACTTACTTTGACATACACTTTTCCGGATAACTTTTCTGTCTCACCAAGAAGAGCGGAGAGCAAGGTAGTTTTACCACATCCCACGTGACCAACAACAGCCACGAGTGAACCACTGGGAATATTGATATTGATGCTAGGTAGGAGGAATAAAGAAAGTTAAGGAGTCAAATGTAACTACATATATATGGAAATATTTTTCACAGTTTATTGGCTGGGAAGTAATGCTGTTAGTTCAGCATCTCTTCGAGAACGGTTTTGCTCAAAATGCTTTTGGAGATGCTCGTATTTCAGACCTTAGTGCTGCAGCTGCGCAGCAAATACTGATAACTATGCAATGAATGGTGTCACTTTTCACCCAGACAGTATCTGTCTTCATTTTGTTTACTTACTTTGATAAGAAAGGAGTTTCCTCTTTATCCCAACCGAAACTGCCTTCTTCGACATGAATCGCTTGTGAACTGACTATAACGCAGAGACAATGGAAAAGGTTGTATTTGGTGAAAATTTATTTTAAGCCCTGTGTGGAAAAGTTCAGAGAGAGAGAGAGAGGTGACTCCTAAAGATAAATTATTAGAAAAACAAGCAATTGAAACAAAACAACACAAAGCAAAGCAAAGCAAAAAAAAAAACAACAACAAAAAACAAATCAAAACACACAACAAAACTATTGAGAAAAGTTTTAAAAGGTATCGAGAATCTACATGTTAAGATGGAGGCGTTGTTTTAGGAATCCGTGGTACAAATGCCTTTTTTCGTTCACATAGAAAGTTGTGATTTGATCCCAGATAAGAATACACTCAAACCAAATAAAACGTAGGAGAGAAAAGTCCTAATTGCGATCAAAGTCGACTCACTATGCTCAGGCATTGTCTTTTCTACGTTGGTTGTATCCAGCTCTTCCAGATTTAGAAAGTGTGTTAGCCTGTCAACAGACACCTTTCCCTACGAAGAACAAGAGATATTAATCATTAAATCAAAAACGTTAAAAAACACTTATAAGAAAAAAAAAGTCGCGAATGCAACAAGGGACCATCTTCTAGAAAACAAAGCATATGTTATTAGAGCCTGTAAGCGCGGAAGTACTTCAACGAGCGAGCGTTTAATTAGCATTTTTTTCGTGAAAAGTTTGGCTGTCGACTTGTCAATGTATACTTAATTGATGTATGTTTTACCTAAATGACCGTTCTCATATTGGGGTTTTTCAAGTCCAATGAGAATGCATAAATAAATGAATGAATGAATAAATAAACAAATGAACGAATAAACGGGCAGACAGACGGACGGACAGACGGCGGACGGACGAACGAACGAAAAATTATTAAACATAGGGTTTAAAAATCTCAACTGGCAGGAGGCAGACCAGTTAGCAATATAGAAAGCGCAGCCAAGTAGCAGGGTGGAGGACTTAACCCTTTAACTCCCGTGAGTGATCAAGACAGAATTTCTCCTTACAATATCAATGCAATATCAACCAGATAAGTGATGAGAATAAAGACAAATATCAATTAGGGGATTATAAGTTGATCCAATACTAAATTCTACAAACTAACATCACAAGAACTGTATGGCAGAAAAAAGGAGAATTACTGATGAGATCTTGGGAGTTAAATGGTTAAAACCCGCAACCACCATATTACAAGTCCCGCGCCTTTACCACTCGGCCGCACTGCTCCTGTAAACCTGGATGTTTAAAGCAGAGGAAGATCGAGGGAGGAAGATAGTCGAGCAGATCGACGAAAGTCTTTCCAAGTCCCCTTGGAAGACCACAAATCAAACATTAAGGCTCAGTGAACGATCGCGAACTCATCACATTGGCCCGCCTTCTCTGATAAAACACTCACATAATACCTATTGATGGCGTCACTGAATTGGGAACTTGGCGATTTTTATTGAGTCATATCGGACACTTACTCACCTGTATCGTGCTGATAATGACATTCGGGAACATTGTAATGGGATATCTTAGAATATTGAATAGTGACAGAGCAACAAATGCCTTGTTGGCTGTCAACTCGTTTCCCGTGAGGACATAGATGGCGAATGTCGCAAGAGCAACCTGGAGTAGAAGTAGAGGGTATTAATTAGTTTGCATTTTTGTTCAACAAATAAACACATTTTCTCGTAAAGCAAAAACGCACATTGAGATACTCCATCTTAGGGCACTCCTTAAGAGAAGTGTTCAGTCTCCGTCAACCGTTTTTCACGCGAGCACCAACAGGCAGCAGAAAAGTTTTGTTTAAAACGCAAACTATAACAATTTGGTCGCCGAAAAATCCAACATGTTCGCCTCGAAGCAAAATACAAAAACGTAAAGTTCTTTTTTTTCGTTTCTTTGCTGATAAGATATCCCTCGACAATCACTTCCACCGACAACACTTCCTTTCAGGACTACTCACACCACCTACCATTGTTTATTACGATCTACTGTTTTAAATATTAAGGAATTGAAACCATTTTCCTCTCAGACATTTATCAACAAACTAATATGTATGTAACTAACCATAAATGGAGCACATGTGAAGGTGAAAGCAAACGTTGCATTCAAGTAAGCAGCATTCTTTAGTTGTTTCAACTCCTTCTTACGAATGTTGAAAACTTTGCTCATGAACGATTTTTCCCAGGCATACAACTTTAGAACCTGAAAAGGGAAAAGGAAAATTAAGCCTTCACTCAGTCTTGCCTCCCCATTTGTTAGCGTCAAGAGAAGATTACAGTCTTAAACATGCATGCCACGTGAGTGAGATCTATCAGTAGGGTGTGCGGTCAACCTTTTCTGCGGGGCAAATAGATTACCCTGCCGGAATTATAGAATTTCATGTCCCTTTGCCCCATGGGTAAAGTTTCAGACAAGCTACCTTCCAATGCAAGCAAAACGACAAGTTGGAGTTTACATTACAGCCGCAATAGATAAAAGTGGAGGGGGTGGGGCAAAGATTTCGTCAAGCTACAGCGGGTAACCACGAAAACCCTGTGAATGGTATCCACTGACCAAGGCGACGTCACTCGTCCAATCGGTGTGAAGGGATGCGATAGGGAAGAAGCTGATTAGCGAGCGCGAATAATGTGACGCAAAATGAGTAAAAAAAAAAAAAAACTCAACAATCCTTGCGAGCTTTGTCGACTTCCCCCGATACATGGAAAATAGAAACTGTTTGGCCCAACTTTTTCGCGACATGGATAATTTTCTAATGATAAAATTGAAGTAATGAACTCTACCTTGACTCCTGCTATGATTTCATTAATGATCTTGATACGCGAGTCTTTGGCTTCCATTTGCTTCACCTACAAAAAAATCACAGTACTTCACGTAATGAAGGCGTGATTAAAGGGGGTCTCTTACTTTTTTACAGGGAGACGTTCGAAAGGAAATTAAGGAACAAAGAGAAGAAGGAGAGTACAAATAGCGCACAAAGAGCAACGAACCAATTGTTAACTCGGCGAAATGCGAGCCAACAACGCGCGCACATGACGTGTTCTGTCCACTTGCACAGGCATGACGTGTTAACTGTCCCTTTGACTGTCCTATTACACTGTCCTGTTACAAGCATGACACATACACTGTCCTATTACTGCTTAAATCGGGCTAGTGATAACCACAGTTATAGTTTACAGAACTTCATGTCGTCCAATTCGGTCAGTAATCATACGTCGAGTGATTAACAAAATTGAACGACCGCGAAGCGACTAGGACTCCACCCAGTCCTATTACCATTATTAATCCGCAAGATCGAGTAGCAGTGCAAAATTACGAAGATTTTCAGAGAAAATATAGTCCCTAAGACTCCTCTCCTACCAGCTGCCATCCACTCAAATGGTTCTATCGGTAAACATCAGATCATGATTTTTAACGAAAATAATTTTATTCGACCTGCGAATGTAAGAATCAAGGTCAAACCTCTACAAGACAACAAATTAAAAGGCAAATAAAATCTTCAAACCTGAAGTTTTCGGGCGATCTTGGTCACAACGAGATTAAACGGCACTAACAGGATCAACACTCCTACACCCGCCAGAGTGGAAGGGCCCATCACGTCAAACAAAAAATACATCGCTATCACAATCACAAGAGGTGACGACCACAGAACATTCAAATAAGTTACTAGGTCCATCAGGCGCTGGGCATCAACCGACATCAGATTTACCATCTCACCAGCAGTAGACTCCATTCGTGCCTTGCTGTTCAGTGCTAGTGCCTTTTAAAAAAAAGTGACAGCGTTTCATGAATAATTATGCACGCGTTAACATTAACGGGTTGAACGCAGCCTTACTGATCTTTGTTAAATCTTGGGTGATTTTTAAAAGTTTTGGTCAGCTTGCATCGACATACCGGTGGTAATTACGTATATAAAAAAAATAAAAACAAACAAAACAAAACAAAAAAAACCAAGCAAAACATAACCAAAATGAACAGAGGATTAACAAGAAACACATTTCAGCGCTCCAAATTACGATCGCTTCGGTTGCCATGGCAGACGGTTTGATGATTTATTTCGCCAAATTGCTACTTTAAGAAAAGACGAGCTTGAAGTTTTGCTTTTGATTTGCTCAATCCAAATGCTAAGTCAGTATACCCTTTCAATAGTCTTTAACTTTGTTTTGTTTCGCTCTGTTTACATTTTGTTCGTTTGTTTGCTACAGTTCATCTCGTTTTGTTCCTCTAATTTTTTTCATCGCATTTTTTAGGAACATCCTCGAATCTCATAGCTTGAATGGACGCACATTACTCAAAGTTGCAGGGAGACTTACACTTTGTCTGTTTGTTTCTCGTTTCGTTCCCCTTCTTTTTTTCATTTCATTCTTTTTAGCTTTTCTTCAATGCCTAGAAACATCCACTCACCCCTCATACCAACCCCTGCACAGTGCGAGTCGCATGAGGAAAGAGTTCTCGCCTTTGCACTACCCTTGCTATCCCATACTTTACAAAAAATATATTTTTGCTTAAACAGTTCTCGTTGAACAGGGAGTACGCCCCGAAAAAAACCAGGCGGCGAAATATTCAGGCTGCCATAAAGAACTGAGGCCACAACTGGACCAACCACACTCGAAAAGTAAACCCAGAAAAGGACGAGCTATAGGACGACCTATGTGGAAGCTAAGCTTATAAACAAGCAAGTTGAATGGTTCTTTAAACTTATTTACCTTTGCGTACACCATTCCTATGATTGCAGTTCGTATCCTCATACCGAGGACAAAAACAATTTGCCAATACTGATGGATGATAAGAGACATGACAGCTGACACAAGGAACATGGAAAAAGCATAAATGTAACCCTTCCACTTTTCATTGCTAGGAATGGTTTTATCTGCCACATAAGAGACCAATAAGCTGAAAAGCAAAATAAAACCCCATTAACAGTCACCTTTCTGGGTCTTAATTTATATGATAAGTTGAATTATACACGCTTCATGATTAATTCCTACTTGTGTTCTATAGGAGGACAGACGCATTGACACAGTCAACATTAAAAACGTTTACTTTTTTATCATAAAAAAAAAAAAAAACAAAAAGATTCTAGGTTGCAGTGGGTCTCTACTATAATAGATCACAGAAGACGTGAAAATTGGTAAGAAATTAGTGACACACTCGGCTGCACCTCGTATGTAACTATGAATTTTTTTTCTTACTAAATATTGACATCATCTAGGATCTATTACTAAACAGACGCTTTGTTAAGTAGACAATGCAGAAAGCCATTGGTAAAATGAAAGCAGAAGGTTGTAAGAAATTAAAGAAATGCTCTGGATTTATCCACTAATGTTGGCGAGGGCCGACAGTTTGTTGACTGTTCACCGACTTGATCTACAGTTGGCCAACAGTAGCTGTTAGTTGGCCAACAGTAGCTGTTAGTTGGCCAACAGTTGATTAGCACAGAACTTTTTATCAAAACTGGAAATCGTCAGGGAGAGCAGGTGGTTGAGAAAATGTCAGTGAAAGGGGATGCAACAACAACAGCAACAGCAATGTCAAAAGAAACAAACACACAACAAAAAAAACATAAAAATTCCCTCCAAACGCCACTTGGCTCATTCCCATGTCCTACCAAGCATTCTCTCAGAGAGATAGTTTTCAGTAAGCTCATGTCACTCAGCCAGTGGGAAATAACACATAGAGAATATATTTAACCAAAAGGTGTAAATCAGCCAACTGTGAGCATGGCTAAAAGTAAACATGAGCAAAAATGATGTAAGTTTCCATAGAAACTATGGTGCTGTGTTGGTGGGGAGGATAATTTAGAGGATAGTTTGGTATTATCAACCCAGTTTAAATTTAAATGTGCAACAGTACAGGGTTTCTAAGGCTGGTGTTAGCCCTTTGTCATTCACTTTTATAAGTGGGCTATATAAGTATTAAATTTGTTATTTATTACTTTGACAAAGGCCTTAACAGCTGGAAAGGTCTGCCTTAAAAACTCCCTACCGTGGCTAATTTATATTTCAACTCAGCTGATAAAACCAAATTATCCCACATGCAAATATGATTATACTTATAATTTTCACATATCTACTTTACACTGCTAGATTATACTCACTTTACAAGCTGTGGTTGAATAAACTGAATAACATCATAGATAAGTTTGAGAATCATTCCAATCAGAAACTGAGGTCCAAATTGATAAACCATGGCTCTGATCAATGAAGGTCTCTTTTTGTCAGTTTTCTTATCCTTTGACTGCTCCTCGTCATTCTTAGGAACAAACTCAACTTTAGTTTCATCATTTTCCTCATTCAACTTAGCCTTCTCCTGCTCCTGCTGTTCTTCTAATGGACATCTTTTCCCACTGAAAAGTTTCATATATACATTGTTCTGTCACAAAAAGTATTTCCAACATGCTACATGTACATGGTATTCACAGGTTATTAAATGCCTTAGAGGTATGATTATAATTTATATTTGACAAAATCAAAATTGAAAACAACAAAATTCAATAAAAGCTTTGGTCTGATACATTTCTATATGGGCAGTGAGTGAAATGAAAGTGTTGAATATTTGTTGCTGAATCTAATAATAACTCATGTTAATTAGTATATATCACACATGTGAATAGCATCTTTTACATGCCCTGGTTGGCTAGTTTGGAAGCCATCAGCAAGTACTATTCATGTCCAAGCAGCAGCTGAGACAAATTTGTGTGTCAAGAGTTTAATCTCTGACAATTTTGGTATATTTTCAAAAATAAATTGTTGTCTTTGGTTTTGAATAGTATAAACTAAATAAATTATTCAACTCAGTGGATGTGGTGGATATTTACATCGCTGCTTTGCGGCTTGGTAAATATCCACCACCGTTCACCTTCACTTCAGTGAATCATTCTTATTATCAAATTTCAACTTCAAATTGTGCGCTTCTAGTGTCCTGTTGGTTCGCTCAACTCTGGTTATCAGCTCATGTTCCAAGTCACCCTATATGGAAATGCGTTGTGGTAACTGTTGCCAAGCTTAACACTATTTAAACAATTATCGACTCATTGGCCATTTACTATGATGTCATTGGCCATTTACCATGTCATATTCATCCTACACTCATGGAATAATTGTTAAATATATGTTCAGCAAGGATTCAGCTACATGTACATACATTGCACATCGCTTCTCTTCCTTGGCCCACTTCTCCATAAACTTAGGCACAATGTTCACAGACTTGTTCCTTTTGCTTAATGCCCATAAATCATCATTGACCAGAGGCCTCTTAAACCCTTGATAGATCAACCTGGAAGAAAATAAGATGAATTAAACTCTCAGGAATCAAAATTGCATGATGATGGAATTTCAATGTCCATCGCTTCACAATACATCACTCACTGTATCACCACATTTTTATTAACAAGAGTGATCGATCTCCATTTTCATACACAATATTATATCAGAGTTGCAACAGTCTCCTTGGGAACCTTAGGTGTTTTGTTCTCTTTGTCCTCTACCCTTTTCTGATGTTTTTCACAGCAAAATTGAGAGATCTTGAGAGTAGATGACAAGCTGAGTCCCTCCCTTTAGGCAAAGTCTGGCACATGATTAAAAAGTTATTTTAAAAAATTATTTAAAAGAATTGATGCTAGTGTGCCCTGCTGAAATCTGGGAGAAGCTCCTCTTTCTGCAAGGCATGCTAACATCAATTTTTCTTCAATTACTTTTGCTTGACACATGTGACAGATTATAGGAAAAAGCATCTTGAGTGGGGTGCAGGAGATAGCAGGAGCCTAATGAAAGATTGCTGAAGTGGATATTTTAGCTCTCTTTCTACTCAATAATTTCAATTCTGATATTAGATGTCTTTGATATTATTTTTTTTCCCTTTTTTATAATAATACATGAAGTCAGTTCTCTCAAGAAATAGACTGAAATATAATTTTTTTCTGTCCATTGCATTCAGTTGTGACAATCAATAATGTGCATGATTATTCTTGGCAAAGCTTGTAGGTACATAAAAGTACATACAATGCATGATTTCTTACAAAACAAAATTAATGTAAGATTGATTAACATTTAAGTCAATTTGTGTTAAAAATTAAAGCAAAAATATGACATAATTCCTTCCAAATGATTTGAATAGAGCAAATTTCATCCCACATGCTGCAGATTACACATCTTACCATCCATATAGCTAAAAATGACCTTCAGGTCAAAATTATGTCAACACATCTAATTCAAACTTTTCAAAATTTCTCGTAGATTGAACCTTTTTACAGTACTTGGGTAGTGGCAAAAATATGTAATTATACTGCCTCATTAAGGCCATTAGCAAGAATGTTATAAACTCTACCCTCTGATCAACATATCCAATACAAATAATCTGAACAATCAAATCATCACTTTCATAATATTATGTAGGACTCACCCATTGAGCCACCAAAATGTAAGTTTTGAAAATATGTTTGCATTTTTCTCTGGACAAACACCCTAAGAGGAGAGAAAAAAATTATCATATTCTAGCACTGGTGGTAATCAAGTATTAGTAGGGTGCATTTGATCCAGCTAAGGAATGGGTATTTTAGTTTCAGCCCAACAAACGCTTGTGTATAATTAACCCCATGCATATCAAAAGATGATGTACTGGCTCATTGTCCTGATTTGTAGTTACTCATGGTAGCAATTTATTGACAAATCCTCCCATGGCATCCAGAATGAAGTGAGTCAACCTGCAGGACTTCACTTATCTAGAGTATGAAATAGTCCATTTTACAGTTGTGTGCTCAGTTGCAAAGCCTTTGAATAGGAGTGAGGCTAAGGTTGACCTTGTTATGGTACAAACCTTGCTGCTTTTCAAATGTAAATTACTTTGCTATCTGGATACTGGTCTCTATCACATCAAAGTCACTCAGCCTCACTCCAAATCAAAGGCTTGGCAACTTAGTACACACCTGTAAAATGGCCTATTGAGGCCATGAGTGTCAGTCCGTTCTAGATAGCATCAAAAAGCTGTAATAATCTGGTTTTGGATTGATACCCACTGGATAATATAAAACAAACAGGACTGAAAAACAACATGAATAGTATGCATTCTCCTAAAAGTATACCTCGAACTCAACTATTTTGCACACTTTTAGAAAGAAGATCATGAATTAATGATTATGGTTCATCTTCAGCTGTATTTAAGATAGAAATACCTACCCTGTTTGTAACATCTTTGTCAACAGGAGCAGCTGGAAAAAACTTCAAATCAACCTCTGGATTGATCAAGTCTGCAGTTAGTTCAACATTGTGGCTGAGCTCTTCTTCCCTAAAACATGTATAACATTCTCAGCTATGATTTAGTTATCATAAAGAAAACATTGTGGTTGTTTGATCAATAGAGACCTCAAGCATCTGGAAAGCAATGCCAAGGAAGATGTTGATTAAAAAAGAATCTATATTTTTAGTCTTAATTTCACAAATGGCTAGATATATGTCTACCATCTCTGACAGCCTTACACCTCAACTTCAGTATACAGTTGTAAGTCCTTAAAATTGTGACCTTAACACTTTATTATTCAAGTTTTTAGTTAAATAAATGCAAAAATTTAACAGTGTAATGAAACTGAAGAATATTCTCCTAGTCTAAAGAAAAAATTAGGCATGCTATCAAAAATTTATTCAGAGAATTTGGGAAAAGGTCAGAGAATTCTACTACCTTGGATGCCTCATAAATATTTTACCTTTTCCCATAAAAGTTAAGAGCAATATTTGAAATGTCCCTATAAGAGAACAGTCCTTCTACATGAGAAAACTAATTCCATTCTTTATTGCCTTGCAGCTGTGTGAAAAAGGTTTTACTGTGTAATCCATCGCAGAGCATTACCTATTCAGAGGGAGGGTATGGGGGTATGCTGTAAATAAGACATGCATTCATTTATTCTGAATGTGTTTGGAGAGTTCATTTTAATGATCTATGGTGAACATGTGAGCACATGCAATAGTCAATAAAACTGATTGGTGCAACAAGTGGCTTTACACATGCAGAATTTCCACTGTTGAGAAGTGTTTGAGGCTTGTACAAGGGAACAAGGAGTAAATTAGATCTTGAAAAATAATTCATATTGTAGGTATTTAACTAAAGCAGCAGTTTGCTATTTCAAATCGACAGTTTCAAGCAGAAATCTTTCATTCACAAACAAAAAATCATATCAGTGTGAGAGTGTAAGATTGAATTTGTTCAATCATGCTAAGTGCATGAGACTTGAGAGTTCAGCTAGAAAGTAACTGTAAATATTAATTCAACTTACTCTTCATGGGTTAAATCATCCTTTAGTGGTACAACGCAAGTGCTTGGAATGTAACCTTTTTCTTCATTGTCAACACGTCGTACATACAACCACCAACCCACATTCCTTCCAAGAACTTCAAATTTCTCCTTTCTCTTGACTGACAGCTGTACTGAGACATCAGGAGCAGTGTCCACTGCCTCTTGTGCATTAAGGTCATCATCCTGATTGGGATCATGTGCAGTCACTGCTATAACAAGAAGATCCTTTTTTGTCCCTTTTTCCATTGTTACATTCAGCTCAGTCCGCACATTCACTATAATATCAGCACTGTCAATATAGAGGTCAATATGACAATATGAGTGGAAATGTCAAACGACAAAAACGAAACACCAAAACCCATAGAAATAAATATTTAAGACATAGGCAATCACTTAAAAAGAATTATGAAGTCATACATGAGGAGAAGATGATGACATGATTTAAATTCTCATGAAGTCAAAGTCAGTTATATCTAGAAAGATACCCTAAAAGACTGCATGAACTAAAAAGAGCTAACACAGGTGTGGCTGGAAGACAACCTAAAACAAAAAGATGTATTTTTACATTGTACTCCCTGTAGCAAGGCCTGTGATTGCAGGCTAAATTTGGATTTTTTCCCTTAGGAGGAGCTGTTATCATAAGGTGCGAAAACACCCTTAGTAAATAAGAGAATTCAGTCACAGCGTAATTAACATGCTTTGTGTATTCCACACCTTATATAACGTCGTTTTGAGAATTTTGAAGAAGGGAAACCTGCATATCATGCCTTTAAATGACATATACATATATATATGCGACAAGATGGCGGTTGAGTGCAAATAGGACTTCTGCGTAAGGTGTGTGTAAGTAAAAGAGGTCGGAATCTGTGAATGAAACTCGTATAGGCCTGGAAATGTTTACTTCTTTGAAAGCAGCTGTGAACCATTGCAGAATTATAAACGACCACGAAAATAGTTTCAAGCTTCTACCTACGCGTTGTTGTATCACAGGTGCATCTAGTACATCAAAAATCAAACCAAAAGAAAAAAGAAAAAAAGAAAAAAACAGAAAGAAAGACTAAACATAACAGTCGTGACTCGACAAAAATCCGGCTCGGTCGAAATTAACTATGGCTCTTGCTCTTCACTTGTGATACAATGTAACTCGACTTAAATCAATGAGTCCAATCTCAAGTTCAGTTATAGAACTATCATGTGGTCTATAGCGAACGCGGTTGCAAAGTGAAATTCCAAGGTGTTAAATCGATGAGTCACGCTGTTAGCTACTCGACGGTTAGAAGGTCATGCAAATCAACTTTTCCTACGGTGGTATTTTTTCCACTTCCACTGATTACCATAGTATGGTTCTATCTTGCCTAAACAACATTCACTATCACTGTGCAATCGGCGGCATGGAAATGATTTGCAAAGAGATCTGACAAACGAAAAATCGATGCGTGCACGAGAACATCATAGGATCTAAGCAGGGAGCTTCCAAATCCGCTCCCTAGTTTGTTTACTTTGAAGCTCGCCTTATTTAATTTAATTTGGGGTGAGAGCGATGGTTCACACATAATCATCAAAGTGGTCAAGAAATACTCTCACGCTGGCACTCAAAGTTGCCATCTGCTTCATGATTTTATTGAAAGTGGATAAATGCACACCAAGCGAATGATTTCAATTTCACTACAGCGAGTGTAAATGTGCAAACAAGCCTCTTCCTCTAGCCCTCGAGTAGATTATTTTCTAACACCTTAAATATCGTAAAATTAAATGCATTGCAGATTGTAGCGGTGTACTAACCTAATCTCTCCTTGCTGTTCAGTCTCTAGCTCTAACACTGATCAACGGCGACGTTTAAGTGGTCGGGCGAAGGAGTGTATTGTTTTGACCGCGACCTTTTGAATGAGAGATAAAATGTGAAGACTGGGTTCTAGAATTTGGCGGGAATATGCTTACTAAGTGAGCGAGGGGGAGGGGAGGATGGGGTAAAAATTGCATATGCTAGTACATTGATCAGTTACAAAACAAAACACAATTTAAAGGGTTATTTAAGAGACAGAAATTCGTTTTAATTTTGAACGCTTTTTAGAACAAAACAAACAGACAAAAACAAATAAAGCACATGCATTACACAACACAAAATTAACCTTGCCACCCCGACCCTAAGTCACACTTTATTCCTTTTCTAAATCATGTTTTTTTGAAATAATTTTATTTTATCCGGAGGTCGTTAAACAACGGTAAATTTTTTTATCTTTTAATCACGACGGAAAGAAAGTGTGAGAAATTGTCGTATTCTCCTACCTCTAGCCGTTTAGTGACCAAAACTTTAACCGTTAGCAGGAGCCATTATCGGGCTCCTGCCGTTGGCTGTAAGAGCCATTTTCCTATTGAGACCCTCCTGGTCAGATCAGTTCTTATTCGAGATTGACAGTCTCAGAGAATTTTGCTCTTAAACGTTAGCGATAGAAATGATCTCTTTTATGCAAATCAAAACATTTGCCGGCTACACACGAACGATAACATATTTTCTTCAAATGAACACAAAGGTGTCCATTTTTAGGAAGATGACGGGATTAAGGTGGAGGGCAGGATGGAGAGAAAGTAGAAGCAGTTGCAATGGTATAAAATGGTCTGAAATCAAGAGCCCCTGACCCATTTCAAGAACGCGTGCGAGTGGCTCATCAGGATTTCCAGACACGGGAGGATAGATGAAAGCATGAAGCCGAAGGTCGAGTGCGTTTATTATTTTCGATCGATTTCACCGCGCACCTCAGATACAAAGAAAAACGGAAATATTCGCGACATTTTCACATCTTATTCGAATGCGTGTTATTAATAATCAAATTAAGAAACTAGTTCATTCGAGTTTGATGCTTCATTAAACTCAAAGGGTTTGGTATTGCATGAAAGTCATGGGTAACCCCTCATTCCTGCGTTTCAAACCACATGCACGTGGCGAAATCAACCTCTCTTTGACCAGTTGGATGATTACCCTAGCTAGGAGTAATTAACGAGTTTGAGAAATACCATCATTATCATCATTCCAGGTTGGGGCATGAAGCCTTGATCTTTGTTACACATTTAAGAGAGCTGCGAGGAGCCAAAAAAAAAAATTGCAAAACTAGGAAAAAAATTACCGTAGGAAACAAACCATTCAAGTTTTTTTTTACTCCAATGAACTGGCATTGCTCAAGTGAAACAAAGTCCAGCAGGAAAATCATAAATACAAAAAGACAAATATCTGAATTATTCAATGGCTTTCATCACTTTTAGATATAACTTTTGTAACTCTTCGTTAATTTTATGCAAACTAATAAATCATAGAAACTATAAATACAAAGGAAGTCTCCAACAGTTACATATTCGCATTTTCATTGTACACTGTCACTCCGTCTAATACTCCTGACTTTGACTGGAGTTACTCGATTTTGAGCCGCCAGACTTGGACGCAGTTTTCTTAGGAAGCAGCACAGCCTGGATATTAGGCAGCACTCCACTATCAGCGAAGGTCACGTTGCTCAAAAGTTGGTTTAGTTCTTCATCGTTTCGTACCGCAAGCAGCAAATGGCGTGGGATGATACGGGATTTCTTGTTGTCGCGGGCGGCATTACCCGCAAGTTCCAACACTTCTGCAGTAAGATATTCCAAAACGGCTGCAAGATAAACCGGCGCTCCTGCTCCAATCCGTTCTGCATAATTTCCTAGACAAAAATTGACAAACCACTGGGTAAAATTTCCGCGCAGCCCCATACCATTGTAAAACAATCTGTTTTCCCAATGGCAATGTATTGTTTTTGTCATTGTTTTCTCTATCCAAGAACTGAATGCATAATGTGGTATGGGGCTGTGCGGAAATTTTACCAACCACCGAAAACACCGGATCTATCAAATTAAATGACTAGGAAAAGCACTACGCTTGATAATTTTTTTCGCTCGAGAGAAAAAAATAATTAAAAAAAAGGATGTCGGCGAGTATTAGGAAATTGTTATAATTCAAGTTACAGATACAGTGTCTCACACTGTAAAAGAAATCTCAAACAGTTATCATTTCCTCGTAATGTATATTATCTTCACAAACCTTTACGAAGGAACCGATGAATTCTTCCCACAGGGAACTGCAAACCAGCTCGAGCAGACCTTGTTTTGCTTGTACTTTTTCCTGCTTTTGCTCCTTTACCTCGTCCGGACATCTTGCACGAGGGCTCTAGAAAGTTGAAGATAGTGTATGCAAATTCATCATGACGCGTGTTCTTATATAGCTGTCACGCGCACACGTGCAATCATCGCATGACAGCACTCGATTGACTCAATATGGTAAATGCAGGTCTTATGAGACACGGGACGTGGGACATTTAAATCATCCCGGACTTCCACAACTACTCCTTGATTAGGTGAAAGTCAAATTGTTTTCATTTTCCGTTGAGGTGCAATGATTTTAATTCTATTGAGGAGAGGAGAACAGGGGAACAGGGGGCGGCTGGGCGGGAGAGGATCTATATGACCGCGGTGAGCGAGAGCAGAAATTGAAAAGAAAATCCTTTGTTGTATATTTTTTCTCATCATCCAGTCAAAAACACCTTGGCCAGCAAAGTTTTTTGACTTCATTTAACGTCCACCGAGGCTAAAAAGACAATTTTATGCGCGAGAAAACGTAATTTTGTACTCAGCAAGTGAAATAATATGTTACTAATTATATAAAAGCGCAAATGAAGAATGGAATGAGGAATCACAGCATGAAAACAAAGATTTACGAAAAAGTAAAGTTGGCTTAAATCTCCTTAAAGTAGGTTATCTAACTTTACGCCATGAATTAAATCGCCTTAAAGCTGTATAAAGGTTACATTTACGTAAAGGTAATGTAAAGTAGACGTAAAGGTATTTGACCAACTTTACGCCATGGATTAAATTTTCTTAAAGGTAAGTAAAGGTTGCATATACGCTGCCTTGTGGAAAGGGTATGTAAAGTTAGCATAAAGGAAGTCGAACAAGTTTACGCTGCAGCGTAAAGTTGCATTAAAGTTGTGCTTTAAGCCGTGAAGCAGAATAAGAAGTAAACCTGTCTGAGCTATTTGAACAGATTTATGTTTAATTTTCGAACGAGCTAGTAAATTTGAAAGATTCGTAATTGTTTTTACGCAAATGATGGCTTATTTGCATTTATTTCTATTGAAAATTCCCTAAATATATAATACTGTAGGTACGGTAAACTTCATCCACGCCAACATTTTGAAAACAGCAATTACTATACTGAAAGCGTGTTGGAAATTAAGAAGTTATTTTTGATGAATCGTTGGTTTTGTTGTTCCACATTTCCTCTCCCTGCTCCTATTTTTTAATTACTTTATCTTATCACCTTCACGTCAAAGGAGTTACTGGAAATGTTTTTCGTTGGGGTGTTTTTTTTTTTTCGGGGGGGGAGGATGGGGAGTGGGGTTGGGTGGGGGGAGAGTGATATATTCCAGGTGTTTTTCAACCCCAAACCTTAATGGCAAACTCAACCACGCTTGAGGAATACAATCTATAGATCGATACAAATAAAGCCTAATAGGAAAACTGTTTGTAATTATTACATCCCCTGCCAACAATAAAAATCTTGACCCATGTTTTCCATTTTGTTTAAAATTCATCTTTTTAATTTGCTGTAATCCTTGACAGAGATAAGTACAAAAAGTGTTTTTTTAAATTTTAAACAAAACTTATTTTCAAGCACAAACTATAAATTATAGTTGAAATGATTAACAATAGTGAAAATATAGATATCCTCATGCATTCACTGTCACATAATTGGACAATAAAGCTGAATTTTCCTCGCGATTAAAAGAGTCACCGAATCCATATTTAATGATTAAAAACACTATGACTCCTAAGTGCTTCAAAAATGCCAAAACAGCGCTTGCTCCCTCCACTGTTTTCTGTGACAAAAAATTAATACCAGTGGAACTGAGAAGAGATACATGGACTACATATATATGCTCAGTATTTTCCTACTTAATAAAACAATCTCGGAACTGGGCTTACAATTAATTTTTTGCGTCCATCCATTGTTGCTGAACAGGAAGCATACCTTTGTGTAATTCGCTGCACAGGCATAAAGAGAGCTGGTCATCAGGGATGATAGACATCCAGCTTCCAGACCTGGATAGGTTTGCCAAAGTTCTCTTGATCTTCATCAAATTTATGCCACCATACGACAGAAAACACATGCTGATTAAATTCGCCACTAATCTTAACACCATGAACAAGGTAAAAGCTAACTATGCCTGGTCTAGCAGCTCCAGAAGTATCAATTGTGCTATCAGAGGTACTCCAAGAAGTTATTATTTGTGCTGATCGCAGATTACAACAGTCCATCTTTGAACCAAACTTTTCAGTTCCAAGCATGATGTTTGAATACTTGTGGGCAACACTGGATAAAAGGGTTCTGGAAGAGGTTCATCATTATGGGGAAGTGGGGAAGGGGAGGCCTCACTTGTAAGTGAGACAAAAGTATTGAAAAAGCATTGATGGCAGCTACCATACATGTACAGTGTACATGTACCTTTGCCTGACTTAGCCCAGGACTTTTACTATGAACAAAATAGGGTGCCTTCCAGTAAAATCTTTCTATGCATGCTACTTAAAAAAAAAAAAAAAAAAAAAAAACCACATAAATATAAGCATCACTGTAGAGCTAATATAATGTAGATTCTGAAAAATAACAATACTTTTAGCCAATGTTGCTTTGGTTGACATGCACAAGCCATGAAACAGAAATAAAAACTAACAGTGTCTGTTTTCCCAAATTACCATCTGTCATGTTACCACAGATGCAAATAAAGTGGACTTCATGAGAGGCTTCTTTGAAATTCTCATTGGTTTTTTGAGAAACCACATTGTTAAGTTGGACAGTAGGAAATTTCTCAATTTGAATCATGTGCCAGGACATCAGAAGAAAAATATTTTGAATTTTGTTTAAGTCTCACACTCTTTGGTATGTTAATACCTGAGGAACATTCTGGCCAATTGTCTTTAAAATCCCATAAACTTACATACCCAAACAATTCCTTTGAAGACAAGTAACTTGTGCAAAAACAAACCTCGAGTTTTTGGCTTCCAACGAAATTCACAGTTTTTGCACCTCATTCAGGTGGCTGTCAAATATATTCATACCTTCAACCAATGAAACACAAGCCCCCTAGCAAGTCTAGTGACACAGAAGTCTATTGAATTTTGTGGAAAAGGACATTTAATGACCTCTCTGAAGAAAAACCATTTCAAATTATGGGGTAATTGAAGCCAAGTTAAGAAAATTCATCAGCAAAACAGAGCACACAGAAAAATGAGAAGAGCGGGCAAAAATCAAAGGAATGGAAATGAAACTGGAAATTGACCTGAAACCAGCAGCAGTTTCAGCCATCAATGGAAACAGATAAGACTTTTCTTGAAAACACAGTTCATTACTTTTCCATCTATTGCTGTTTCATTATAACTGCAGAAATGCCAAGCATCCTAGCTTGCAACCATGAATGTGTGATGTAAACAACATTAACAATATTTTTGCAAATCAACAGTAATTTGAGATCTGGGATGTAGTTTAGTGCTTGAAAAGTGTCGACACTGTTGAAGGCCATCAGATTGTAACACCTTTCACTATTTATTACCAGGTCCCTCAGAAAGCTCTTTTTATCACCACTCATGTTTCTTTTAAGATTTTGCATTTTTTTCCATGAAGTAACTTAAGTGTTTCCCGTAAAAGTTTGTCAAAAAAAGCGAAATTTTAAAAATTTGGGCCAGATTTTGTTGACAGTCACCTTAAGACTGATCATGAATGGGGATGTTTGACTATCTGAGATAACTGAAGCCTTAAATATGGCACTTTAATAAGCTTGACCTTAATCTCAGTTTGTATGTCCTGGCAGGTGTAAAACTTTCTTTTGCATGAAACAATCCTTTTTAAGCAAGATGTGATACATTGTAATACCAGCTCAGAAAACACGAATATAAAGCAATTAAAGAACAAGACTAAAGAGCAAAATGACAACTAAACTTATTCATGTTTAACCGTAATCTTCTATTTTATTGATTCATAACTTCATGACCAAAAGGTATTTTCGAGCCAGGTTGAGGAAGTCGTCCCAAAACTTCTACAGTGTATTGTACGAGTTAACTGTTCCTTCCATACCTTCATTATTTATTGCTTCCCCAAGTGTCTCATCCTCCGAAGAAGGACATGTAGATGTCCATTCCTCTGCATCGCTAGCAGCATTTATTACGTCTTTGTCCGGGTCGCTTGACTGATACCTTGCCTTCTTTGCCGGTTTTTCCACTGGCGTTATCTTGAGTCATCCACGGTGTTTCCAGAAAGCTGCTTTTGACATTATTCGCTACAGCGGCCACAGAAGAGTCTTTTCTGTTTTTTCAAGCGCGATCGACCTTTTGAAAACACTTTGTAAACATAAGATTCGAATAATTCACTTTGTAATTCGCACTTTCTCTGAAGATCGCAGAGCCTGCGAGTTTCCGTTCAGCGGTGTATCGCGCGTAACTGGCCAATCATAAGCTTGTAAATTGTAACAAGCCAATCACAAGGTGAGAGAAACATTGGCGCTATTTTTCCACATCGCTTACATGAAGTTCTTCGGCTAGAGGTGTCATTTAAATCCCTCCTTTCGCGTGTGCAGTAATTCGGTTGGATTAATAGCTGTAAACTTGACTTTTCATGCTGTGAATGGGAATGGAGAACGAGGAATGGAGAATAAAGAATGAGGAATGGAGAACGAGGAATGGGGAATGAAGAGCGAGGAATAGGGAATTGAAAATGGAGAATGATGAACGAGGAATGGGAAACGAGGAATCGGGAATGGGGAATAGGAAATGGTGAGAGGAGAATGGAGAAAGGGGAATGGGGAATGAAAAAATAAAATTGAAAATTACATTTAAAAAAATAATTTTTTTTGTGGAAATTTTTTGTTTATTATACCACCAGTATATTTTCATGAACTAACAGGAGTAATGGGCTCTTGAAACTTACCTTTGCAAATAATTCTTAGAGGAACTGAAACTTGGTCATGACTACAGTACCAAAATTCTTCACTGTGGAATTTCAATGGATTTTCTTTCTTTCCGAGCCGATTGTGCGTTTTGTGTGCCTCTGGATCCAATGGTGTTATTTCAACTCTTCTTACTTTTAAATGTATTTACTTACTTGTGATACGAACTGAAAGTAAGATATCGATCCAAAGCAATCTCCATGCAAGTGTTGTGAATCGAACCTAGATGTTACTTTTTTTTCTTTTCACACATCTGGGAGTTAAAAGAGTGGTAACCATAGTTATATGAAATGGACATCACCGTTCTTTCCGAGGTGCTGTCATTGAGTCACGTTCATTTTTCATATAATTGGATCATATTCTGCCATTAGCTCTAAAGCAGAGGGAGGAGACCTTTTAAAGAAATGATTACCAAATTTTTTTATTTTATTGCAGCCTTAACCCCTTTATCCTAACGTTAGATTTCAATATTCTCCACACCGTTCTCTTTACATTTTTTAGTGGAACTGACAAGGAGAATTTGGTTGACAATCAAGAGCATCTTTAATTGGCGATCATCTCCTGTATTCTCACGAACTTTATATTTGATTCAAGGATGGTACCGTAAGGAGAAATTAGTAGTCAGTCACTCTTAGGTGTTATATGCCAGGAGAGTGTCGATCAAATCTATATCCAGAAATTCGCCAGAGCGTGCATTAAGATTATAAGAAACATTCAAATCAGTTAAAAACGTGGTCATATAATAAATTTGAGGACGACAGGAAACCGATAATTTGAGGTTCGGTTGTTGACAGAAAGATCGAGGAAGGAGGGATAAAGATCGTCTGTCAACAATTGAAAGGGTGATTCACTTATGCTCAAGAACCGCATGACCAACTGTAAAAGACCAAAACATTATAGAGACCCAATTAATAATAAAATAAGCGAACACAAGAAATAATGCTATTCTTTCATAACAGGAGCCCATCACTCGAGTGTTTATTCATGTATCTTCTGGCAACCTCTTTAGTTTGGTTCGTATAACACTAGTTAGATAGAGGGTTACGCAATAGCGATCCAAGAAGAAGGCTCGGTTACCTATTAGCTCCTTTACCTGAATAGCCAATGTAAATTATTTGTAATTATTCAATGTATTTGTTAAGTGTCTAACGCCAAAAGGCAGAGGAAAGTTACACGAAATCGTAGAAGTTATCACAGTCACGTTTTAAATGTATTATTTGCTTTTAATCTGTTAAGCTTTGACCCTGTGGAACATGACTTGAACCGGAAGGAAATACTGCTCGTATTCGTTCGATGGTTTGCAGATTGATTTCCGTTGACATTTTTTTTTTTCGGGAAACGGTCACGCATCTCATAAACGCGACTCAAATATTTATATGTTTATTGAGATGATTGGATCCTGCAAGGAAATCTTGGTAAGTGATGAATCTTACAACATGTTACGTTATCTGAATACTGAACTTTGTGGGAGAGTGTTAGATCGCATCGCCGAATGGATTTTGAATATCGCCAGTGTCCAACACGTTTAGAAGCCTTGTTAAACGTCTTCAATTTTTGGTAGTCCAACAACTTAACATCACGTTTCTTGGGATGTTTCAATCGCAAAGTGGAACTACTGGATAATAATTTATCATCAAAGTAAAATTGCGACGCGCTAGACGTGCATTCAATGTAAAATATTAAATCGACTGCCATCCAATAGCTAACCTGTATTTTAAAATGTACTTATTGTGATAGAAGAGATTTAATAAATGAATGTGCTTCTCTTAGCGACTTTCAGGAACTCTCCGTAGAGCTTCCAAACCAATGAAATTCATTTTTTAGTTAATTCTAGCCTGTGGAAAATTTTCATGAATTTTAATGTCAAAGAGATGTAAACAAAGCAAAAAAATAATCATGAGTAATCAGTAATGTCGATGATATGTGACAATTGGGACCCTCTGTGGGAATACGTGTACCAAGGTGTGTGCATGAGCTTGTGTGCCATGATATGCTAGGCCAGGCATGTCACAAATTTGCGGATATGTAGATATTTACAAAGCACAGAACAAAGACATACAGACACTTTGTTTTAAGCAGTGAGCTCTTTAAAAAAATTGACTTGCAATATGACATGCATGCAAAAGGCATGCATGCTGTATGATATGCATGCAAAAAACTAGTCTGCAATGTGTCATGCATGCAGTAAGACATAGCTCTCAGAACATGCATACTGTGTATGACCAAAATGTACCTATTTCAAATATATGCACTCATCAAGCAATCATAGGGTAAGTGTGAGCATGATATCATGAAGTATTAATGTCAAGGTTTGAGTTATCTGCTAAAGCCAAAGGCAGATAACTCAGACAGGTGGCTTGATAATTCATGATATCATGGGAAAACCAAATTCAGTAATTGTTTTATTATATATTTTTAAACAATCTGCAAAAGAAAACACTGCTCTCCAGGTTTGCAAAAATTTTTGAACAATACATGGATGAGGGGCTGGGAAACTAGGCAAAATTTTAACCTGACATGACAACCCAATATCTGTTGAAGATATTGGGTAATCACATCAAATTCATGGGCTATTGTATGATGACTTTATGTTCTTGACCAATCAGAGTTTTCATAGTATGTCTAGTGTATAATTATAATATTATATATTGTGCACGCCTGAAATGCAATCAGAACCTCTTTCGCTGGTTGATTCCCCATGATGATAAAAAATTTCCTTTTTATTTGATATTGTTATGTTATAACTTGTTTTCAGATGTGCCCAAATACTATGCTCCGGGCAGTTTAATTGGTATACATGTAATTAGTATACCTGTCTGCAGGGCATGGCAGCATCAGTAACCACAGCAAAGAAAGTAAGGGTGGTAGCCATTCATGACTTTGACCCACTGCAAGCTGATGCTATTTTAACACAAGACTGCCTCAAGAATCCACCCAACATACAGGCTCAGTTACCACTATCCAGAGGTCAATGTCTTGAGATTCTGACCAAGAATGTAAAATCTTGGTGGCTCTATGTAAGATGTGTTTTCAGTGAAAAGGAAGGATTCATACCAAGCATTTGTGTTGTTCCTTTGAGGGAGGATGTGGATGATGAGAAGTTAGTACAGTGTACAAAATTTGATGGTATTGTCTTTGCATTAGATAACTTTACAGGCCTGTGCTTGCCCAATCCCATCTATTGATAAGTGGAGTAATCATTCAGGTTTCCCTTGCATTTCTTTCTTGCTTGCCTGATGTTTTCCTTTCACCCCCAAACTGACTGAATACATCTTGCTGGAGGGTAATAACTTCAACAAGCCAGTGGTTAACCCTTAAACCCCTAAGAGTGAATACTATCTAATTCCTCCTTACAATATCACCCCTGAATCAAAAATTAAGGTTACAAGAATAAAGAAAATGACCATCAAATTAAGAAGCTCTTGATTATTAAACAAATTCTCCTTGTCAGCACCTTAGAGAGATTGTAGAGAACAGAATGGAGAATATGCAAACTGATGTTAGGGTGTAAATGGTTAAGTATCTATCTGGGAACCAAAGAACAAGTGTAGGTGAATTTTTGGATTAGCTGAGATAAATTTTTTTTTTTAAGGGGGCTTTAGGAACATTTGTAAGAAGCAAACTTTAAGAAACATTATAAGTCTGGTTGCCAACACTCGATGTTCAGTTACATGGGTGATTTTAGCTGGTCCAAGCTTGAAGGAAGAAGGTCTTTGATGTTATTTCTTTGATGATCAAACATAACTTGTGTTTCAGGCCAGCGAAATATTCTGGATTGTAAATAATGTGTTTAACCTTAAATTATGGCAATGTATTTTTTTATTGCAGGCTTCATAATCTTGTTAATGGTGGCCAGCTGTCATCCTCTCTGGTCAATAGACAGGTGGAATCAAAGTTCTTTCCAAATATCCTGAATGTTACTAATATATCCAGCAAAAAGATTGAATCAAGGAGGGTGAGTACACTCTTTTTCTTTCAATTTTCCTGTTGTTACTTGCAGTAAGCGTGTAAGTGTAACACACAGTGGCCTGATGGTTAGTGTGCTAATGAATGTGGGATGAGAGGTCTGGGTTTGAGACCTGGCCAGGTCAATGTGATGGACCAGCTTCCCATTTTGAGGGGGGTAATGATTCCCTATTCCCTTCTTGTGAAGAAAACTAGGGATAACCTTTTGCTGGATCAGGGAATTGAGTACAGACTAATGACTACTTGTATTTACTTTGTTAAACCTAAACAGTAAGGTTTGATTTAGTGAAACTCATTTCAATTTTGTGGTGGGATCTACTGAAAGTCATTGGACACTGACTCACAACAATTAGTTAGGATTTTTTTTTTCAGATTTGTAATTGGCTCAATTTGTGATCATCAACAGCCAGATACAAAGTGCCCATAAAGTTAATATTAAATAGCATTGACACATAGGTAATGCATGTGGGTGCCATTAGCATGATTTCCATTCATTTCTTCATTTGGATGTGTATTCTTCAAGTTTCCAATGTCTCTCAAATATAGTCACTTGAATGTCTAATATATTTGTTACTTAATGATAGTAATTATCAGAAATAGAGTACATTTTCATGTTAGTTTAAGTTCCATAAAACTATTTCTTTTAGAAGCCATGCCCTGAGGAGAAAGCTAATATATTTTCACGCTTGTCATTTTGGTGGCTAAACAGGTAACTACTCATTCCCCTTGAAATTTTGATTTCTCTTATCATGGTTGTAGATAATTTTCAGCAAAAATTTTTACAATTGTGGTAAGCTAATACTCAGTCAGGTGATTAGACAGTAAAAATGTCTATTGAGGTGAAAATTCAGTTGACATAAAATGTGGTAAATTTTGAGTATAGTTTGTTAATGAAAAATTTTCTTATGGAGCTTGTTTTTATCATAACCATTGCTCATTGATATGAGGCAAAATTTATATGTTTAACTTAGTCTTCATCTTATCAACGTTGCACTTCCATTAACATAAAGTGCTGTGAAAACCATTTCCTGAAGTAAGTACGTAGTGATAATTCTACATACATAACATGTTTTTGCAGTCTGATTTTAACTGGCTTTAAAAGAGCACTGCTGGACAGTGATTTATGGGCACTGGAGGAGGGAAGTTTGTCTCACAGTATTGTGCCAAGACTTCAGAGTGAATGGGAGAAAGAAATAAGGAAGTGTCATGGGTCAGTGAACAATGTTTGTAGGAATAATTTTTATTACTATAATTTTTATTATAAGATTATTTTAATTATTTTTACTATTGCCACCATAGGACTACAAACACTGTACTTGATAGTTTAGACAGAAATGGCAAGGAAGCCCAAAGAGACCATGGTGCTTATAAAGTACAGTCTTCCTTAACTGGTATCATTTTATTTGCAAAAATGGAGAGATAGTGCAGTCTGCAATCAAACAGAAAGTCAGATTATTGCCTCTGTTATCTCAGCAGAAACAGAGCACCACGTTCTAATGACGAGGACTTTGAAAAGAATCATCTTCAGAGTGCCAGTGATGTTGCATTTGTTGGAAAATGCAGAGAGCCCTCTCTAATCAAAGCCATGATACAAGTATTTGCTCCTTACTTTGTGATTGGCGTTTTCTTCAAGTTGCTGAATGACATTCTGTTGTTCGTTCAGCCGTACCTTTTAGGGTGGGTGATTACTTTTTGTATTGGAGCAATTTTCAATTGAATCTCTATAGTAATGCAGGATAGCATTGGTTTTGCTTTACCTAGCTCTGTGTGATTGGTCCAGAAAAAATTGCACCACTCATCTCAACCAATCAGATGCAAAGCTTGAAACTAATCACGACTTGGTCGCCCACGTTTTCCCGCGCTTTGAGCAGTTGGGTTGTCTAACTTGGGTTCTTATTGGTTCTTAAAGTTATTTTCCTTTCCTATGATTCCCAGTGTGATTACTTTGCCTTTGCTTCTAAGACATTCAATCGAAAAGCGCCCTAAAAGTGCTGAAAAAAATTGATTGAAAAGGCCTTCGGCTCGATGAATTTTTGAGGCCTTTTTTTCACAAGAGCTGAGTGCTAAAATGTCACTTAATTTTTAAGTATGCATGTGACACACTTTTGAGTATGTTTTTTTTTCTTTTGGGTTTTGTGTCTCAATTTGAAAAATAACTGCATAACAGATACTTCAAGTTCTAGAGTGACACAATTGATGTTTGATCTAGAAATAAAAATGAAGTAATGAATGGTTTGGCCAGGCGACAGAATAAACTGAGTGAATGAGGTCATAATATCGTGAACTTTTTTTTGTCAAATCCTTGGAATTAATATGCTACCCTAACAAGATACCTTAAATTATGCTATATATTGTTTTTGTATAGTCTACGAGCCAGCTTCGATATCACGGCTGCAAGACACGTGTTTATCCGTCCCTGGGAAGGTTTGAGACGAGGTGGGGATAGGTTTGCCGGAGGTCTGTCGGCATTACTCATCAACAGTGCTAGGCCCGTTGAAGACCTCTCACTGACTCGAGTTGCTTGAGGCTAGATACTTTCCCGCGGGCGAAGAAACACTCGTGCTGAAGCACTTTTAATTAGGGTTTTCTCGCAAGCTAGATTTAGCTGAGTGCACGTTTCTTGTGTAAGACGAAAGAAAAATCGTGCAAATTTCCCAGGCTATTGCAAGTACGTTGCTTAAATTCTTAAAAGATACAGCAACAAGGTAGTTTACTTTCACGAGCTTACTCCCAATTGGTCTTTTTCAGACTCCTAATAGACTATACAGAAGATAAGGGTAACGATGCAGACAGATGGAAAGGCTATGTGTATGTTGTCGTCCTTGTTATTGTGGCAATCCTCCAGCTGACGGCAGTGCAGCATGCACTGCACATTGCATTCAAATCAGCAATGAGAGTTCATACAAGTATTGTTGGTGTTGTTTATGCCAAGGTGAGAGCATTTGTCACCCGTAACTGTCTCTTGTACACCCAAGTATTGGCATGTGTTGTTCAGATCATCAAACGAGTCACGTCTTTCCCACGTAAGACTCAAGATTAGATCGCGCGGGCAAGGGTTATTTTGAACACATTAAACATTGTTATGTGCAAAACTGCACTGAAGTTCTTGCGGTTTTAAAATCTCACTAGATGTACAGTGGAACATTTTATTCCAATTCACGCCTCTGTGGTTTCTCATAGAGTGGTTGCTGATTTCCTTTTTATAGGTAAACCGTGATATTTTTTGTTCTTCATTCTTTCGTCGCAAAGTGCAAGGATAATGACTCATAAAGTGGAGGAAGTTGTGAAATATGAGCTTCGTAATTAATAGGTGGAACAATGTGTTGAATAGAACGAAGAGGATAAACTAGCAACCAATGAGGATAACTTTGGATAAAGATGATCCACATGGATTTCAAACTGAAAAATCCAGGCAAAATGAGTCGACTCGCAAAAAATCATTACGCAGCATCTCTATGTATTTTTTTTTTTTTAATTTTTCTGTTAATTCACCAGGCTTTGACACTAAACAGCCTCTCAAAAAGGATAACCACAACCGGTGAAACAGTCAACCTCATGGCTGTGGACGCTCAGCGTGTCATGCGTCTGGTTGAAACCCTCAATCAACTGTGGTCAGCGCCCTTTCAAATTTGTGTTGCCATCTACTTTTTATATGTCACCATGGGAGTGGCAGTCATGGCTGGACTGGGCACGCTGCTACTATTAGTGCCGCTGAATCTTCTCATAACGCGTTTAGTCAGAAAGATGCAGGTAACATGAAAGAAGCGACCTTCCGAAAAAACGTGGAGGAAAAAAATATCGATCGTCATCAAAATCCCTAAGAGGTTGTTTCTCGAAATGAAGGTGTCAACCCCCCCTGAAATTGCATCTTTAACGTAGTTTCCGTGTGCTGTAAGAAGCGACGGAATCAGTGGATGTTACATACTATCTCTTTTTATCTCCTAGCACCCTTAATTATGGTCACATGAATATTGTAAGTAGGAAAGCAGAGCTTAATTCGGCTACTTTCCAAAGCATTTTCCTCATTATTCGTGATAACAATTCTGTGTGTTTTCATACCTATCTTTCTCAATTTTAAATTTGAATTGCGACATCACTGAGTCTAAGCACCGGGTTTAATATTTAATATGCGTTTTGTTTCACAGGTGAAGCAGATGGCAAATACAGACGAACGCATCAGAGTGATGAATGAGGTTCTTAGTGGAATCAAGGTACGATCCGGCTTTGTGTTCTAGATAGGAGAATTGCTAGTAGTTGATTGATTTTTGTAATGTAATCGTAAAGACTGAGTCCCTAACCAATGGTGAATTTAGTTTTATCTACTGAGTTGATAATGTCAGGTGGCTACCGTAATTGAGCTGACATTTCGAGTCTTAGCCCTTTCGTCATCGCCCTGACGTAAGACTAACGCTCGAAAAGTCAGCTTTACTGTGGCCGACTCACATTATTAACACAGATGATGAAATTAAATTATCTTGTTATACACCAAACACAGCTTCTTTAGAAAATTACCCCCTTTTACCCATTAGTTTGGTTAGTTTGGCAATGGTTTTTTGTGTTGAATGCTAGCCACAGCGTTGTTTCGGGCAATATTTTAACTGCATCAAGCCTTCATTCATGCATGTGTTTCTACACTCTTCTCCTGTCATATTTGCTTTCATTACTTATTGACCGTTTTTGTTTTAATCCATCTCTACTCATCAGGTTCTGAAGCTGTATGCTTGGGAAGAATCCTTCATGAATAAGGTCATTTCTGTCAGAAATAAGGAACTGCATCATCTGACCAACAGCATGTACTTAGGCGCAGCTGTTTCATTCACTTTCATTTGCGCTCCTTTTTTGGTAAGAAAACTCAAACTGCATTATTTCAGAATTTACCCTTTGGGTTGTCGTTGCCTTGGCCTCGAGAGGCTTTTCATGAATGGTTCGACTTGTTGGGGTCAGATTCCGTCGGAAAAATCTGATGGTATTCAGGGCAGGGCTGCAGAACGCTTTAAGCCCTAGCATCTGAGAGACAGTGACTCCTTTTGGCTACCAAACGATTAGTCAACCGTATAGATTTTAAATGAAGTTGTACAAGGACAGGAAAAGTTTTCTTTGTTCTAATTTCTCTGCTGTGCTCTTTAACAGGTGTCTCTGGCCACATTTGCGGTATACGTCCTTCTTGGTAATGAGCTGACTGCTAAGAAAGCTTTTGTAGCAATTTCTCTGTTCAACATTCTTCGCTTCCCTCTTATGATGTTACCACGAGTAATAGTGAATGTTATTCAGGTGAGTTCTGATTTTGTACAAACAGATCCGTTTTCCTATCACACCTAACTTTGTACGAAAACGATGTGCGAATTCTGTTACGGGTAAAATTGCCTTTAAGTCGTGTAGAACTGTGACAGTTACATGTACGTCTTAGAACTCAACGTTGAAGTCTCGTTAGCGCTTTGTTCTTACAATTGTTTCCATTGTGTTAGGCTCAAGTTTCCTTTCATCGATTGGAGCAATTCCTTGGACTTGAAGAATTGCAACACGAAAATGTCCAACGCAATATGCCGTCACACTGTAAGTTTGAACGACCGGACGCACTTTCCACGTAACGTTCGTTTTAGATGAAGACACATTTTAGCGCTAAAATGCTGAAACCTTTCACCCCCGTAAAGCGATGGGTGTCATCATTGGTCATCGGGGGCATTATGGGGCATGACCAATCACATCTCAGAATATTGATCTACGTGGTAAAAACTAACCGATTATTTGGCTGAACTGGCATTCAAGATGGCGATTTGATTTTTAACACAATCATACGATTGGTAAATTTCATTCCCTCTAGAAAAAGGAGAAGTACTCCAACTCTCATCTATGCGAGTTAGTATCCAGTGCATACCCATTAAGTAATTTTTTTTTTTGCCAGCTTTGATCAAGTCAATCTTTTTCTCCCTGTAGGTTCTAACCTAGCAATTTTTGTGAAAAATGGTTCATTTTGTTGGGACAGAACCGATGATATTCCTGCTTTGAGAAAGTAAGTAAGCTTCAGATTTCCAGTGTCTTGTTTCAATTAAACAGATCCATGCATAGTTTTTGTTTGATCAAAGTTAACGTAGAATTTAAAGCGATTCTCGTTCATCATATCCTAATATCATGATTAACTGGCGAGATTTTGGTTATCTATTCTGGGCCTCTTCTTGGTCTACATGCGTAGAGTAGATCCCGAATCCAAAAGATTCTGATCGCTTCAGCCTTCTCGTAATGATACAACATTTTGGAACGCTACCCATCTGTATGAAAGTGTTCTGCACTCCGCCTCCTCACATTTCAAGGAAACGATTACACTTCCCTAGATATCTGTGTCGTAGCTTTACTGGAAGTATTCATCAACGAATTTTTCCTGCAAAATCGCGTAGCTTCGATCACATGCTGTTGGGATTTTCGTCTTTTTCCTCAAGAGGACCATAATGACAATTTTACTGACCTTTTTAAATGAAACAGATCTTTCTTGCAAAATCGCGTAGCTTCGATCGCGCGCTGTGGGGATTATCGTCTTTTTTATTGACCTCTCTAAATGAAACAGATTTTTCCTGCAAAATCGCGTAGCTTCGATCACACGCTGTTGGGATAATCGTATTTTTCCTCAAGAGGACCATGATGCCAATTTGACTGTCCTTTTTCCTTTTTTCTTCAAAGCATCAATTTAAGCATTGCCACTGGCTCACTTGTGGCTGTGGTCGGTCAGGTTGGTTGTGGAAAGTCAACTCTGTTGTCAGCTCTCCTCGGAGAAACAAATAAAAGCGATGGAAAAGTTTTTGTGCAGGTTTGTTTCTACACATTTCAAGGTCACCACATTTGTCCACTGTTTGTGATAGGTTGATCACAGGAGCTCATACTGGTAACCCACTTATACGTCTTGTGATGGATAAGTTGAAAAGTTGCCCTTTAACTTTGAAAAGCAATTAACTTGGAACCTAACATGCAGTTTCAGTTCGTTAAACAACAAACAGGTCTAGAGACTAAACGTATGTTTATCAACAATTAGGTGTTTTATCGATCCACACCAATTTTCTATTTTTAAGTCTACTAGAAAATGTATATGACATGGAAAGGAGAAATATAAAAGCTAATAATCCGACCTTGGGAGTTGAGGGGTTACATAAGTAAAGACTTTACTTAGCACCACGGCTAATGGCCTTTCCTCTGTCCTCCGTCAAAAAATCGGTTTCCCTTTTTTCCTTTTTTTGAAATATTAGGGAACGACTGCTTATGTTCCGCAGCAAGCTTGGATCCAGAATGCAACACTTCAGGAAAACGTGCTGTTTGGTAATCCACGTGACTCAGCACGCTATAAACAAGTGATTAGCGCCTGTGCCTTGGAACCTGATATTCAGGTTTTACCAGCAGGAGACATGACGGAGATTGGTGAAAAGGTACAAAATGACCTCATTAGAAATAACAACAACAACCGATAACAACAAAAACAACAACAATTGACAACAACAAAAACTACAACAGTGACCGCACTTAATTTATTCTTCGTTTAACCTGAGTTGGTGACATATGGGGTTTAAGTGGTTACGTTTGAGTCTAATCTTGATCCAACCATTCCTTGCAGAATGTTTCCAATGAAACTTAGCCTATCATACCGATTGCGTATATGAATATCGAGAGCAAATGTCACGCGGGATCGGGAGGTGGTCTTTTCTTAAACTTCCTTGTGACTGGCTAAAGGTTGCGTCCTCTCATGCTTACTCTTGTGGCAACGGTCACTGAAAATGTGTTGCACTTTGGTTGAATGCAGAAGGTGGAAAGCTCCATGTAGCGCCTTTCCTTCCTCAACGTACTTATCACCTTTAACCCTTATTTATATTTTTTGACATTTAGCTAGGACCTCCCTGAAAATCATGTTTGTACGAGCGGAGCATCCTCATTAAAGATCCCTTCTCACTCTTAACTTCCAGAAGCGATTAACATGTAACCTCTCCTTCTAATATCCATACATTGTCCATCAAACAAGTAATAAGAATACTAAAACTTGTCTAGGAGAAGTTGTTATCTTGATCTTACACCAAATTCTTGTAACCAAAATACTAGGAAGTGTGTGGCAGCTAGAGGGGATAATTAACAGTTAGATCTTGGGAGTTAAAGGGTTAAATGTGTATTTATTTATTTATTTTTAAAGGGTATAAACCTCAGTGGTGGGCAGAAACAGCGTGTAAGCTTGGCTCGTGCTGTGTATTTCAATACTGATATATACCTGTTGGACGATCCACTCAGTGCTGTGGATTCGCATGTTGGAAAACATATATTTGACAAAGTTATTGGACCTCAGGGACTGTTGAAGGAAAAGGTAAAAGCATAACTGTATTAAAATATTTTTCTGTAACGAGAGGGTGTGCTTGTGTTTGGCCAAAAGGACAAGAATACTTCGGGCCAATCTTCAACAGACTGCACGTCGAGGTTTGCGGCAATATTTTTCTACAGGTTTTATGTTTATGTCTTCAAAATGACTGCTATTAAACTGAATAGTTAAGTTTTCTGAAGGAAAACGTATGAGGTTCACTGTATCAGTTTTTATTGTATAGTTCTAGTCAAAAGAGCTGAGTCGCTAAAAGAGAATTAAAATTTCAATTTTAATTAGTTATCTCAGAATTTCAGGCAACTCGCACTCAGAGCTCGTGCACGTAGCTTGCGCAGTATCACATTTAAAGGGCCCACAATGTTGCCACCGAAAATTTGCGCAAATGTCTTAGACACGTGTGAAACGTGTTAGTGAAATTGACATTTTTATCCCGTAGACACGTGTTCTAGTGACACATGGTATTCAGTTCTTACCATTTGTGGACCAAATAATTGTCCTTCGAGATGGTGAGGTTTGTGAGGTAAGATTTAGGTTTTTTTTTTCCTTTTGTCCATGTTTTTCCCATTCTTAAACTTCTTGTGGGCTTTGAAACGACAAGGAATTTAAACGGTAAAAGAGATGTGAGATGCTTCTCAGTATATTCTATTGTCTCTGTAGGGGTGGAACACATATTCGCGTGAAAAGATTTCTTCCCCCATGTTATAACCATGATTTGATACCCAGTCTCAATAGAGTTCACCAGTCGTACCACTGGTACCTAATAACCCTTATGTTTGTGAAAATGACGAGCGTGGTACTTGCCCCTATTGCGCCCCCTTAATGTTTGACTGAAGCTAGAATGTATACTACAGAATTAGAATTCTGCAGAAGGACTGGGATTCACGCCTACAAGTTGCATTGCTTTATGAATTATAAACTAACAGTGGGCGGATAAAGCTGGAATTAATCCCTGTCAAAACCAGATTAGTGCTAACTTCAAGCAAATTACGACCTCTACTTTTCCTGAGCGAGGGATGCGCCGGTTTAACTCGCACGTTCTCGTGAGTTTTGTATTGCGGGAACTTTGCGACGTTAATAAATTATTTTCGTTGTAGTTTCACGGTTAATCACGGGATCCTCCTGAAAACCACCTGCGGTGAGTGAGGCAATTCCTCTTTCGAACGCTCGGTTAAGTGAACATACGTCTTTCGAACGCTCGTTTAAATGAACATACGTCTTAAAAACGAAGGGAAAGTAGAAAAACTATGGGTAGAAGATTGGCAACCAAGTAAAACTTCTGTTTGAACCTCTGAAATTCAAAGTGGTGCATGTTTATTAGAGCATATGAGACAGCGATAATTGTAAGAAATGCACAACTATAGCTAGTTGCAACGTTTTCTTAAGTAGTGATTAGGAAATGAAAGTATATTGATTAAAACCTATTTTCACGTTTGTCTCATTAATTTCTCGTTACTCTAAATTATCAACTTTCAACCTTTCACGTGTATGGTGCAATGACTCTCTAACATGCTAAACGAGACCTGCAATGACATACCGAATAGTTGATAATTTTCACAAGTCTTTAGGGAATTGTATCAACAAATTTATCTACTAGTTGGCTAAAAAACACAGACGTAGTATATACCTATGACAAACTGATATATCGATTATTTCTACCCATCTTATTCAGGATGTTTGAAATTCCTTCACATGTGAAAATGTTTGTTGTAGGTTGGTACCTATACAGAGCTTAAATCATCTCAAGGGTGGTTTGCTGAATTTTTGGATATCTACGCAGGAGAGAACAGCGGCGCACAGAGTAAGTTAAGCATAATGTCGATTCGTAATGCTCTAGTATTTTAACTTCTTATGGCGAGGGCGTTGACGATTTATTTTTTAAAGAAAGTTTCGCGAGCTGGCCTCTCCACCCTTACTCAAAGTTGAGATCCAAGGCTGTTTTAAAGTTGACTGGATGACTAATTATGATGACTAACCAGCATCGCTGAACCTCTTAGATCCTTTAATTGCGTATGTGCTTGAACTGATGCATGTGAATCAAATTAGTACATTCTTTATAAGAATAGGGAATTTCCAATAGTTGAACTGGTGTATCCCTCTCTGGTGTATCCTTTATTTGTAAATTATTTTATACTTTACAGTGGGTAAAGAAAACATTGGAGAGGTTTCAAGTCAAGGAAAATCTTTACATAAAGGGAGAAATTCTAGAAATGTGGCCTACAATCGATCTGTCAGCTGTCATCACCTAGGAAACGAGCTTCATCCTCGTCACCATTCAGCAAAATCGCAGAGTGAAGTTAACTTAGCAAGGCTTATCGTTGACAAACAATCTGGAAACCGATCTCCACTGAAAAAGTTGCTAGATCTTGAAAATCGCCACAGCCTTGTTAGTATGCACTCGTTGAACAGTCTGTTATCTGGCTGTGAAGGTTTGGACGCCAATTATGAAGTGGAAGATGAGCCCTTATTTGATACTGCAAATGATGAAGACGAAACAGTGTCGTCTTTAGATGTTCCACGAAATTTCCAACATCAGCGAAGTGTTGTTAGTGGCGCCTCGGTGAATAGTTTATTATCGCTGGTAGAAGAAGAAGAAGGCACTAAAGACCGCGTTGAAAAACCACCAGTGATTTGTATTAACGAACCTGAAGACAGCCCTGGCGTGAGAGGAAAGGAAAATGAAAGTTTACTCGCAAACGAAGGAACCGGGGAAAGAGAGATAGTCGTCGAGAAAAGAGAGAAGAAAGAAAAAACAGGCAGGACAACCTCTGATGAAAGGTCGCAGACGGGAAGGGTAGGTCTCTACTGAGTCATTCGGTACCTTAAACGTTCGATTTTGATGTCTACAGGCCTTTTTTCATTCTTGAGTCATTAGCTTCTTGGGTCATAAATGGGGAACAGGTACGATACGGTGGTGGAAACATCCACCTTGCACCGCGGTGGTCTGGTTCGATTCTGGAACCAGTTCTCACGCGTTGGTCAATTTTTAACTAGTTCTCATCCTTACTCCACGGGTTTTTTTCTTTGGGTTCTCCAGTTTTCCTGTCTTCAAAAAAGCCGACACCTTGAAATCAACTTGGCAGGATGTAGTGAATAAATTAAGCCGCCTCATAGGTACCATTTGCCAAATCCAATTTGGCGTTTATTAATCCTGTTTATTTTACCTTCCATTCAGGCTTCATCAGATAAGAATTAATCACTTTTTTTCTCATTTTTATTAACAGGTGAAGTTCTCCGTCATATGGGCGTATGCAGGCAGTCTAGGCATTCTCTGTTCTTTTCTAATTCTCTTCAGCGGTTTTGGAGCTGAATCAGCGATCATTATGTCACGCATATGGCTTGCCAAATGGAGCTCTACCAATGTCACGACATCACAGCAGCGTGACGCATTCCTTGGAGTTTATGGTGCATTGGGGTTTGGGCAAGTCCTTCTTGTTAGTGCAATGTCTCTTGTTCTAACGTACAGTGCAATGAAAGCCGCCAGAAACTTACATCATGGACTACTTGTTAACATTATGCATTTACCGATGCAATTTTTCGAAACTACACCGCTGGGAAGAATTGTAAACCGCTTTTCCAGAGACATAAACTCCGTTGACGATAAAATTCCACGCGCCTTGGGGATGTTTCTCAGAACTTTCCTGACCACTCTTGGAACAATTGTCATTATTAGTTATTCTACACCTCTGTTTCTAACTTGTGTTTTACCACTCGGTGCCCTGTACGTATTTATTCAGGTAAGAGGTATTCAACAATAACAACATAAGCAACAAAAATAACAACAGAAATTGTACGCCAAAACGCTCACAAAATAGAGAAAGCTTTGAAGATTTCAAGACATTATACAATAAAACAAAAAAAAAACCAAAAAACATAAGAAAAAACAGGAAACAGACAAAACAAAAACAATTGAAATTAAGGAAGAGTGTGAACAACTGTTACGAATTTGGAAAGGTGATGTTTCGTAGGTCAATTCTTAGTCGGATCAATTGCTTAGTTTATTTGTATATTTTTTATTCCATGTCGGTTTGTTTATTTTCTTTCATTTTCCTTTATTTTACAATAGAGAGCGTTCGTAGCAACCTCTCGTCAGCTCAGAAGAATAGAATCTGTCAGCCGTTCTCCAATCTATAATCATTTCTTTGAAACCATCAACGGTACAAGCACCATTCGCGCGTATTCTCAGCAACAGAGGTTTATTTCAGAGAGCTATCGTAGAATAGACGAGTCTCAAGTGGCACATTATCCAGCTATTTCAGCAAACAGGTATTTCTACTTATTTGGGTTAATTGGCCAAAGATTTCTATTGGCAGATGATTTTCACCAAAGTTTATAGATTATGAGCTGTTTTCCTTGACAAATTGAGGGCCACGAGTTTATCAGTATTTCATACTGTCAAGTGTCATTCTCGAAAAATAAAGTTGATTATTATTGTTCTTAAATATTTATTGTTTTCTTCATAAGGTGGTTGGCACTACGCTTGGAATTCATTGGAGCTGCCATTCTGTTTTTTGCTTCGTTGTTTGCTGTAATAGCAAGAGAGACCATAGCCCCTGGCCTTGTTGGGCTGTCTGTGGCATACGCATTACAGGTAACCAAAGACGAAAGATCGCATCGTTCCGCCCAGTGCGAGAGCTGTAGTGACTTTTAAGACGGATTAATAATGGTGATAGGATCGAGTAGAGTCCAATTCGGTCAGTAAAGATACAAGTGATTGACAAAATCGGACGACCCGAGAGCGGGAATCCGATTTGTTAATTACGAGAATGATTACTGACAGAATTGGACGACACAAAGTCTTGCTACCAATTAGTCAAAACTATGACAAAATTTGAGAAAGAAACCAGACATCGGTCATACGTTTTCATTTAAAAAACAACATTTAACTCGGCGAAAAGCGAGGCAGCAGCGCGCGCACATGACGCGTTCTGTTCACTTCCATGGGCATGGTGTTTTAACTGCCCTATTACACTGTCCAGTTAGAAGCATGACGCGCACACCGTCCTATTAGTGCTTAAATCGGGCTGGTGATAACAAATCACGTGCGAGAAATTTGTTGTAGTGTTGATAATGTCTTTAGTTAAATATTCCTCCATTTTGGAAGTTGCCTTGTTTTTCTTTGGATAAGTGGTTGTTGCTATGGTTATTGTGATCAATTCTGTGATTGGTGGATTAAGCTGAGAGGTCTTAGTATGATTGGCTGCCTCAACTGTCCGATTACAGGTGCCTGATTACAGCCAACTGTGCGATTACAACTGTACAGAATGATTCGTGAAAATTGAAGCAGCTGATGCACCAATTACATTTGAGGAAATTGTAATGGTTATGATTAATTATTGTTATACAGCAACTGCTTCTCATAATTGGGCTGGACGTTTAACCCTATTTCCAAAATGGCCTTTTCACGTTACTTCACATTAAACGAGTAGGCCTGCAAAAATAAGAATTTTGGTGATTACATAATGTTTGTGTTGTAATTTAGAAATTTAGGAAAACTAAGGAATAAGATTATCCAGTTAACTGCATGTAAGGCGCCTCGAAATTTTCTGTGTTCCTTTAGAGAATTCTTCATAAAATTTTGAACACTCTGCGTTCTCTACAGATCACAGGTTCACTAAATTGGATGGTGCGCCAGAGTAGCGAATTGGAAACTAACATTGTTGCGGTAGAGCGAATTAAAGAGTATTCAGCAGTTACTAGAGAGGTGAGTTCTCCGTTCTGCTTTATGTAATTCTTGCAAATATAGCGCACTTTCGATTGCGTTTCACAAACCGGCCTAAACCCAAAGTAATGAAAACACTGGTTACCATTCCCGACCAGGGCACTCTTTTGGGTCTGCAGCATAAATTGCATTTAAACACGATCGACCTAGTAGCCATCGATTTTGGTAATGATTGGCCAGTTACTATTAACACTTTAGTGAAAGTTCTTTAATGGCACTCGCTTAAAGGAATGAAAAACTGCATATCGTAACATGGCCCTCTAAATCTTGAAACTCGATTAAATGAAATGTGGTGATTTATGTTTTACAGGCCGATTGGATAATTCCCTCTCACCGTCCTCCTAGTGAGTGGCCTCACCAGGGTAAGGTAGAAATAGAACACTTTGACTTGCGTTACAGAGAACAGTTACCTCTCGTGCTCAAAGACATCAATTGCACCATTGGAGCAAGAGAGAAGGTGAGTTTTCTGTTACAGTATTCCAGATTACCCAGTTGAAAACGTAACGTTTACCTACCCCCAACAACATACCCAACTCTTCTTGCGGAAGAAGTAAATAGATACATAGGCGAGCGACGGCCTTACAGAATTCTTGATTCAAGCTCTCGATAGGTTTATTGTGCTATGCTATTGGAGAAAACATTTTCCGGCTCCCACAATTCCTCTCTCCATCCAGGATGGTTTACCAACGTACATAGTAGATGGGTTTATTCTCAAGGGGGTCTTAATAAATGCTGAATTGTGCTTTCGATTGGTTATCCCATTCAAGAGGAGTATCAAGTCACTACATGTTTAGTATACCGGGTTAAGCTTTGGCAAGATTGAGCCGCCAGTCTGGTAAAAATGAACGTAAGCCTTTTGTATGATTTATCATTATCATAATGTTTTCACAATCCTTCCTTTTTTTCTGGCAAAACAGGTCGGTATTGTGGGTCGCACGGGAGCTGGCAAGTCAACTCTTACCTTAGCCTTGTTTCGTATTCTGGAGAGAGCTGGTGGACGGATTCTTATTGATGGTTTTGATATCGCTGCGATCGGACTGCAAGATCTGCGGTCACGACTCACCATCATTCCACAAGTAAGTGAGACTAATTTGATTGAGAGTAGAAAAAAAATACAGGTCTACAAAAGACCTGCAAGAGTCTTGATATCCTGAATATATCATCGTAATAATTTTTTAATCATTTTAATATTATTTTAGCCATTTTAAATATCATTAACATCATCATATCATTATTTTTATTTGTTTTTTTTTAATTATTATTTTTTCCCTTTTTACAAGAAAACATTGAACAACCTGATATACCAACTGTATCTTACTTGTTTATTAACGGTCTACGTTTAGAAATCGGTTTTTTTGTTTCTTGTCATCAGCGTGATGTGTGTGCTAAGTATGTTCTCCAGAAAACGAAAGTGATATACACCGCCTAAAAAAAAGTTGTCATATAACTCCCCGGTCTTCCCAAAAGGACCACCCATCTCTCTGCAACGGTCACTTTCCTCTGTCCCTAACGTGGCCTTTATGGAGAGTTCAAAATGATGGAGGTGTATCTGGTCCTTATTTGGTCAAGCTTGGAGAACCTCCATGATCAGTTTAGTACATACAGTTATTTCAATTTTTGTTTTATTTGTTTAACTATTTGCTTATTTTGAATATTCTCTTCGCAGGATCCCATGTTATTTTCAGGAAGTCTCAGGCTAAACTTAGACCCTTTTAATAAATACTCAGATGAAGAGCTGTGGAATGCTCTTGAAGTGGCCCACCTGAAGAGTTTCGTGTCGGGTCTTGATAAAGGACTTGAATTTGTCATTCAAGACGGAGGCGAGAATCTGAGGTAGAATTTTTTTTCCATTTGTTATCATTTGGACTCTAAATGAATGTATGCCTTCGTTCAAGGATCTGTGTTTAAGTTGTAGAATTTAAACCACTCAATGGCAACTCCTAAAAAATGTAAGGCGGGGGTGTTCTATTAGCAGGCCGTGGCAAGCTGTTGCGCTATCTGCTTTGGTTGATATGACGATTCTTTGCGAAAATCCATTCTTTTTACTTCTTTATAGTGTTGGCCAACGGCAGTTGGTGTGTTTAGGACGTGCACTGCTCCGAAAGAGCAAAATTCTAGTTCTTGACGAGGCTACAGCTGCTGTGGACCTGGAAACTGATGAACTAATTCAAAAGACGATTCGGCGAGAGTTCGCTGACCGGACAGTGTTCACGATCGCACACAGGCTCAACACTATCATGGACTACGAAAGGTATCACTCGTTTTCCTGACCTTTTTGAAATAAGATAAAACTTAAATGATGATATGTACATGTAATGTTACGCTAATTGAAAAGTTACTAATCCAAACTTGCGAGTATTATTATTATAAGTATTGTAAAAGCAATCTGTTGTTACCCTTTTTTGAGAAATTCCAGGTACCAGTAGTCCTAAAAAGACTCCAATCGATTTAAGTGACTAAATCTCATCTCAGAGGTCCAGCACACTTACCTTCGCGTTTCTCAATAGAGCAGTAGAGGTTGACTCAATCCTGAGTTTGAGCTGAAATGGTCCTTTTCTTTTCTCGTCAGGGTTATGGTCCTAACAGACGGTTCAGTAGCGGAGTTTGACTCGCCCTCAAACTTGCTGTCAAGAAGAGGAATGTTCTACAGCATGGCTCGTGATGCGGGTTTGGCTTGACAAAATTTTCTCATATTTTTGTAAGGGCTGATACGCATTAGCCCAGAGCAGGAAAGAGGTTTGGGGAAAACTCCTGTAGAGCTCAAATTGCCATTACCCACCCCCTTTTCTCCTTTTCAATCAACTCAGATAGGTCTGTCTTGGAATTACGATTGCGTTATAATCAATTCACTACGTCTTTGATTTTAAGATTTAAGCGCAATTTTTTGACAATGTAACTTTATGGCAATGTATATTATTAAGACAAAGTTAATATAATTATAAAAAAAGACCAAATTGAAAAACAAATAGGGAAAGGAAACCTTTTTTAAAATCAATAGAGAGAACGTAACTTGTTATCAGTCGTTGATGTTTATAGATTTTATTGCATTCCTAATCTCAAAACTTCATAGGCAAAGCTAGGATACAGACTTATAGGAAGCATACAAATATGAAATCGTGTTTGGGGAACTTGATTCTCTTAGTTAAAAAAAAAGAAGAACAAAATGTAAAAGATTTAAGTTTAATAAAATTTATGTTTTTATACTTTTGTGATGATGGTAACAGATGAATTTAACAACAGCACACTTAACCTTGGAACAGAAAAAAATCGAGTCATCCACATATTTCAAAACGTTTTCCAGTAATATTATGTTTTTGTAGAATTTTTGACTTACAGTATGATATGAAAAATGGAAAAGTCAGAAAGGGTATGGTAAAAGGCCAAACTGAAGTTAATTAATGAACCTTTTATCATTTGTCTGATCATGACTATAGATTTTCATTGTACTGACCGCGGCGTTACGACTGCTCTATTGTTAGTTGTCGTCAGCCGACGTGGTTGAATCTGTACGTGTCGCTCTCTATAGCACCTTGGCTTGCTATTGTTGGTGTTTTTTGAAGTGCTGTCTTTGGTGCATTTCGATCCTTAATACTCATTCCGACAGTTGTTGTGTTGTTCTCTCATAGGCCCCATTTGGCATAACTTGGCTGTAGAGGCTTTTTATTGTAGGCATCCAGGCTTCAGTTTCGATTACGCTGCCTCTATAGACCTCATAAGAATGAGGTCTTCTGTGGATGGCCTTTTTCACCCAAAGGGTGTACCAGTGAGGGTCATGATCAGTAGCTTTAACCTTGTACAAAACACATACGTGTCCTGTTCTTTAGTGTGTTCTGAAACAGCTGAGTTCTGAACTCGAGCAAGACGTATGTCTCTTCTTCTCTGAACACTGGCCATCTTTCTTTGATTACGACACTATCAATGACATTTTGGTAAACGTTGAGGGCATGGAGAGTTTCATTCTGAGGACTTGAATTGAATCTGTTAAGTCCCTTTTTTTTAATTTCTTCCATGTTGAATATTTACAAGCTGTTTTGTGACTTTTCAGATGTAAATTATCCAGAGAATCATGACGAAACTTCTTGCTTTGCCGACAATATTAATAAATTTTAAAAGTCTGTTACTTTTATCATTTATGGATGGATTACGTATTGATCACTAGACAGCGCGTCGGTGCTGAATAGGATTGGGAACAGTAAGTTGTCTCGGGACCAAACCGGGGGTTTGGTGAGAACAGAGCAGTTGCCTCTCTTTAATCCGAGAGGAGGAAATAAAAGAAATAATTTAATTTTACAGATTTTTAGCGGACAAAAACTTTCCAGAAATCCTCAAGAAATATTGGGCCTTTCCAATCATCGCAATCCCATCTTGTTGTATACGGCCACAGATTCAAATGGTACAGAGCTACTTCAAAAGCAGACTGATCATACAATCTGTTTTGATCACGGCTATGTCCCCATTTATCAACGTTGTAGAAAACTTTTACTTTTCTCCAACTGGAACAAACTCCCGCCCAAAACGAGCTATCATCAACAAATTGAATCCTCTCAAATGAGCCGCAGGCTTTGGGCTGAGCATCCGTCTCGCCACTTGCAGTCTGAATTACAGCTCCATCGTCCTTGTTGTTTACTGCAATGGAATCTAAAGTTGATTAAAAGACATGCATTTTTTTCTTTAACTCTGTCGTGGCTTTTCGTGAGACACATCTTGTTTGGGTAAGTACTGAGCCTATGAAATGTTGTTTCCACTTAAAAATTATAGTAACCGTCGAAGACCAAGTTTCAAACACGAAGCCAGCCTCCTGAGATTGTTAAGGATCAGCATTAAAATAAGTAAAACAAATTGTTTAAGAGAAAACTAAAACTGCATCAAATTATGTTTTGACTAAAACTTTGTCACCGCTTTTGAATTTTTCAGTTGGATGTTTTCTCGGTAAAACTTTCTAAGAAAGGATTTAATCCTTTTTTTTCTACCAAGCCTCTTGCACTGACAATCAAAAATTCATTACGGCGTTAGACGGTTACTCTCACAAAAAAGGGGGTAAGTTTCTTAAGAAACAGTGGTGCTGCATCGGTGGGAGAGAATAACAGGGTAATTTGACATTTATTAGCAACTGGGTTGATAATATCTGCTTTCGTTCTGACGAAGGGCTAACGCTGAAAACGTCGGCTTTGATTTTATTTACGGTAGCCAATTTACGTTGTCAGCTCAGTTGATAATACCAAATTACCTTGTTGTATTCTTACAGTACGCATAATCTTATGCCTGTGTAACCGCTGGTTCGTTTCATCAGCAGAATAAGATAGATGGTATAAAACCTAAAACCTTTTCACTCTCAAAATCTCATCATTAGTCCTTATCACCTTTTCTGCGTATTTCTCATGGCGAAAGTTTTGATAAATTACTGCTCAATAGTGCAATGTCTATATCTTCTTTATCAGCTCACACATTACCCGTCTGTTTTCGTGATACTGTGAGGAGAAATAACCTATTCGTCTCTCATGGGAATGAAAGGCTGTTACTCCTTGCTGTGTGCTGAGTTTTAATTAATGACCTAAACATTTTCACGATTGTTCGAGTAATTTCGAGAAACATCTGCATCTAAAGGTGGTAATATGGTACTTGGAAAAAAAAGAAAAAAGGAATTCCTATACAATACAAGTCAAGACTTGTTTAGTTGTAGTATTTAGAGCAGGTAATTTAGTGTTAACAACTGGGTTGAAAACGTAAATTAGCCACCGTAAAGAGTAAAGAAGCTGACGTTTCGAGCGTTAGCCCTTCATCAGACGAAAATTTACGTTTTCAACCCAGTTGTTAACACTAAATTACCTGCTATACTCTCCCACCGACGCAGCACCACAGTTTCTTTAGAAACTTACCCCTTTATTCATTATGTAGTATTTAGAGGTTTACTCTATTAACTTTGTTATCATAATTTTAAAATTCCATATCTGAATAAAGCTATTTTGTTTTAGTATTTGTGTTAGTTTTCGGCGACGCTCTCTGTTTCAATTGCTAATTGCCAACGGGTTTCCAAAACAAGAAATATTTGAAATTTAACTCTCTCAGAAAAATATTTATCTAATCACCTCTGGTCTCAAAACTTTAATAACATAACCTTGTTGGAGATATTTCTGATGTTTGATAATCTTGAAAGAAGCCGACAACTTTTTCTATAATAAAAATATATCCTTTGTACTCAAACACAAAGACGTGATGAATGATTAAACTCATTATGTTATAGTATACTATACAATACATTGTTAGTATTTAATGAATCTTCTCGAAGTTTGTATCCTTGTTTTCTCGAAACGTATAAATTTGTTTTTGATAGGCTATTCACGTCGAGCGTATATTGAACTGTCTTCAATGCAGAAGAATTTCGTTCAATTTTGGGTATATTGTGGAAATTTAATCTGAACTTAATGGCCTGGCAAACTTCATATATCACAGTAATGATTATAATTTCACGAGTGTTTTACATTACTAGCCATGAGTGCGGAACCGATATTTATTCCTTTTATCAAATGATGCTCAAAGGCCACACTTTTAAGTCATTCCCAATTCGACCAGGTTCGCTGGATTGCAGAGAAGCTTGCCTCGCTGACAGCAGATGCCAAAGTTATAACGTAGTGTTCAAAGGCATTTGTGAGTTAAATAACAGAACTAGGGAGGCAAGGCCGGAGAATTTTGTCAGAAACCGGGAAAGATATTATATGAAGAAAAGTTCAAAAAGAGGTATGAAAATCGCCTTATGGCAAAAACATCATTCTAAATCTAATTTTTTTCATTATATTTTTACTTATTAATCTTAGGTGATAAGTCATAATTTTAGGAAAGGTTGCTCACTCAAGAAAGAACGAAAGAAGGAACATACTTTCCTGTTGCTTTAATAGAATAGGCACGCTAGAGTGATATCCCAACCATCTTCATTGTTATTTTGGGGGGAGAAAAGTGGGAGCACTAAAGCGACACCGAGCGAAACGAGACCCGTACTTAACACAACTCATGACTTTAAAACAAAATTCTATGGTAAAGATAATCGAACGTTTCATGGCTGGTCTGTCTCATGGTATAGAATCCGGCTTATCGTATAAGCAACAACCTCTCTCAGTCTAAACTTTCCAAACTTACGTAAACAAATCAGACCCAACACCATTGGGTTCTTGTCGCTCATCGAACTAAAGCTTAAAACTTTTTACAAGTGTTTCTTGAATAAAATTTTGACATAAACGCATACTGCTGTATCTGTGTAGATACCCTTGGTTGGAGTCGCGACCGACCTGCCTATTCTTGTAAACACATCCTGAACTCTGGGAATCACAAAGGAGACGGGGAGTACTGGATCGATCCTGAGAAGAGTGGGATTCCTTTTAAAGCCTACTGTGACATGACAACTGGCGGTGGTGAGTGATGGAAAATATGGTCAGATCTTATTGAAAAGGGCTCTGGCTTGGCCGTACCTATCAACATTAACTATTGTTAAGTTACCGTGGAGGATCATTTTTCTAAAAAGTTGCCAAGTCTGACTCATAACAAGCAAGATTTGTTCTAATATCTCAAAATTGCCATTTAATTGCCAGTTAAGTTTTAAAAGTTGTAGTGTAACAATTAGCGAAAAGTTAAGTTTTAAAAGTTGTAATGTAACAACTGTAGCGTAACAACGTACTATCTGATGATGCCTAGAGGCCACATGGCGTGAGAAATAATATTGACAAGAAAACAAAACAAACAAAACGAAGAAAAAGTGAAATAAACCACATCACAAACACCAACAAATACACCAAATGCCTCCTTATCTTTTCAAAAATGCATCACAAGTGTCCAGGTACTAATTTTGCTGTCATTTTTTTTTCTACGCGATGACCAATCATAATTTCAGGAGGTTGGCTTGTTGTCTGCAATGTTGTTTTCGACGGCTCCTCTGATATCTCAGCAACGTCATCATACCGCGAAATTCAAAACTATGACAATCACAGTAAGATGTGTCTTGGTAAAGAAGCCATGAAACAATTCCAAACCATCTTGTCGTTCACTCAGCTGAGGTTCTACTGCAGAAAGCAAAATACTGGGCGTACTTTTCACGTGGTCACGGCGGCTAACAGCAGTGGTCAAGCTGTGGTTCGGTACTTCAGCGATCTGACTGATGCGATGCCCAATGCCTGTGGCTCGTTCGTAAGAATGGATGATGACGACTCGTTGCTAGCCGAAAACTGCCACAAATGGGGGGAAGAGAATGGAACTTACAGGGTAGGCAAATGGGGACATAGTAACGTCATGCAAAGATTGTATAATCACGCCGCTTTCATTAAGGGCCGTCATCACTGGTTGATACAATCGAGTAGATGGGAATGCGATGATTTCCGGGGTAACGTCTCCATCGGTGATTTTTGGAAAATCTTTGTTCGTTAGAAGCTGAACAGCTGATATTTTCTAAATGAGAAGTCCTGATCGACTTTCTAGGAGCAATTCCTAACTGCGCATTAAAAGAATAACTCTGTAAGTTTTGTAAATTTTACCAGGTCACTTTCCTCTTTTTCCTTGGTCTGTCAGTACATTGTTCAAACGTGAAGAAATTAGATTTTCTATTGTTTTGCTGGACCGAGCGTACCTATCTCTCGGTTTCCATACTTGCTGGTAGCTGGTGTTACGTTTTATTTACCATATTTATAAGTTTCTCACTCGGCTAACTTCAGTGCAAAGGCAGTGACCTATTTTCATAGTCTTGTAGTAGCAGTCTCTAAGTCCAGTTATGATGAAATTCCCACGTGCCCTCCCGATATTATTGGGGCGGGTATTAGGGTAAACGTCTTGGGTAAATATCGGATCGAGGCGTTAGGAGGCTTTTAATAAGCACCAATACACCCATGTTTTTTTTTTAACTGAAAGTTACTCTCGCTACCTTTTTCAAGATAAGACTAAAAATTTAAGGAGTCATAGAAGTCAGTTACAATAATTACTCGCTTTGCTCTTCTGAAAGTTCTTAGAAGGTTTCTGGCATATCTGAACAAATTATCAGTAGGAAAAAACAAGTGGGATAAGAAAATAAAAAGCAGAATGTTAATTACAAGTGATGTATAGTTTAGCGCTCATGGAACCTTAAACAAAATTCACCGACTTCTTAGCATACTAGTAATGTCTAAATTCAAAGTTTATGATTCTCACTCCAACCGTTTCCAATTTGTTTTATAATCATATCACTTACCGGGGAGCAAACTGACTAAATAAGAACAAAATATGAAAAAAAGAAACAGACATGACGCAGTTTCTGATTACGATTAAACATGTATATGTCACGTTCAAAGTCAGTAAATTGTATAATTTTTAGCCTAAAAAAGAGTCAGTAGAGTGGTATTTAAACTAAAAAGTTTCTGTATGTGGTATGTTGTATATCATTCGTACCGAAAACATTCAGTCTGTTGTAGGAAAAAATGAAAGTTTAAACGTTTAAACTGACATATGGGGTTAAGAAAGATGTTTTTTCGCCTTGTCACGAACGTGGGACAAAGAAAAATTTCTGAGTTCCCATGAGGAATCGAACCTCGGACCTTCGGATTTGCGCTCCGATGCTCTACCACTGAGCCACAAAGACTCTTCGGTGAGCGGAAGCTTACCATCTCTACATTTCTGATATATGGGGTTTTTCTCATTTTTTTACATGGTCTCATAAATTAGCTGTGATCTTGAGCGTTCATGTTTATTGCAAGCAAAGTAATAAATGCAGCATAAATTATTGATGGGCTTAAAAATCTCTTTTTACGATCACAAAAAATAAATTGCGACCACAAAAGGATAATGTTGTTTATCGTTTTTCAGACCCTTGGTTTCTAATTTTGTGTTTTGGGGGTTGGAGGGTTAAACATTTCCATTATACCTTTCGATATTTAATTGTTGGATCAGATCAAAATCAAAATTTAAAATTAAAATCAGCTTTTTTAGTACAGTAAAGGGGAAGTGGAAAAACGTGGTCGAAACACCAAAGCCAGTGTTACGACTATATCCTCTACACGGTATGTTACCATTAAATGTCGGAGGTGAGGGGCGGGAAGGAATTAGCTATCGAGCACACCACGCCCGGCGAAAGGCACCAGGATTCTCGAACTGTCTTTCCTGCTTTCTGTTTTTATACGATTCTCCAGTACGCAATTCCTCCCACATCCAAGCTTGTTTCATTATGTGTAACTCTGGTTAATCTCTAAGGCTCTCACACTTTGATTCTCACTGGATAATACTTCTTAAATTGCGGAATTCTGACTCTACTCTGCTGCACGCTGTCTACGTTCTTTAAGTGTTCCCTTCTCTCTCTTATTTCCACTCTCATTTCTTTTTCTTTCTACTTCTTCTGAGTAAACTCTAAAGAACATACTTCACTACTGATAGATACGGGTGGGTATGTTAGCTGGCTGACCTTAGGAGATTAAACATTTGTTGTTAGAACGCGAAACCACGAGACCTACGATCTTGACAACAGAGTAGTGAGTCGACTACTGACTGCGTTAGTTAGGCAGAAAATTATTCGGTGCAATTTCAGAAGAATATAAACTTGCGAAAATTGAAAAAAGTCAAAAAATGATGATTCGGTTAGTGCTAGGCGGAATCGTTAATAAAATGACGAGTTGTTTTATAAATTTCTACCTAAGAGGCTCAAAACAGCTCGTGGAATCTTAGATTAAGGTAATTCAAGCTTCATGCTGAATCCAATCTGTTTAGTTCTCATTTGTTTTAAAGATTTTCTCACATAGTTCGGGTGAAGAAACCCCTTATCTTTATTCACTTTGAACCGCTACATAAACTAGTCAAAGATCGAAAAAAGTGAACGTAGATCAAGTCAGAAAAGATAGATTCATGATTATTCACTAGATGCTAACGGAAGAATATTGGCTTTCTAAACCTTAGGGTGCTGACTAAAACTATCTACAAATCTTGTTTCCTCTGACGTTATGGAGAGGCAATGAGGCTAAAATAGGGCAAGTCTTCATCTCCTATAACAAGATAAAACGACTTTCTTTTTCAACAGCGGCACAATTCTATTCCTCCATAGATCGCTACGTTGCTGTCAAACACCCTCTGTGGTACCACACCCTTATCACAAAGGAAACGTTACTGATAGACAAACTTTTGGCATGGACATTTGAAACAATGATTACATTTCTTAAAATTGCATTGGCATTTAAGTGTGAAAAAAGACGCTCCAACCTGATTGGGTACGGAATAGGGGTCTCTATTTGCATTATTTGCTTCTTAATTCTGACCTACATCGAAATACTGCGCTAGAAGAATCGAATTCAAATCGAACAAGTGCCGCGAGAAGAGATTAAAATAATAAAAACTGACCTAAAAGCTGCAATAATTATAATTTTGATTGCTTTATTACTCGTCTGCGTTCTGGGCCTTTTGTTTTAATTTTGCTTGTCTTAACACCGAGGTCTAACGTTTTGATTCTAGTTGTTTATTTGTATTCAAATTTTATGATGTTATAAGGTTTTCTTGTTAACCCTATCATTTAATGTTAGCGAAGTAAGTAGCTTCTCACGTATTTCTCGAAATTCAGCATTTCAAAGAGGCCGAAAGCAGCTCACAAAAACTGATTTACTAGATTTTTTTTTTAGTTGTGAAGAGCTAACGAAATACAAAGTCGTCTTTCCAATCGAGAGTTGCTCGATTGGAAAGACGACTTGGGGGAAATCCAGTTTGTCAGTCATTTTAACTAACTCCTTATCGGTAATCTTTTTCATTCTCTAATAGCTTCTCTGAATCCTACACTAATGCCTTAGTACAGTGGCAATAACACAGAAAGTTTGACAATTGCTCTTCAGAACAGACGTTGCGATCCTATAAGGTTTTAGGTTTCAGGTTTTTTAATGTTTTTTGCTCATTATTTTGCTTGAGTTGAGGTTTATAGAATTCACCTGGAAATTGCAAGTGCTTGCTGGAAATGCCAGAAATTTATAAAAAATGGCCGATTAGTTCCGAGTAGATGGTAAATTTTTGACTCTGATGAGTGCTTCAGCTAGAGTTGTCGAAAATCAGTCGAAATTAATTTTCAGTAACTTATTAATGGAACGATTAAACTTGACGATCATAATTACTCCTGAGGGGTTTAAAGACATCTGCTATAGAGTCGATTTGGTATCATTTTGTTCCAATGTTCTCGAAATGAGCAGTTCTAGACTTCTATCTCACCTTTCTTGAGCTTGTCTTTATCCACTTGCATTGCAAAAGTTGACCACAGATAAGAAAGCTAGAGATCTAATCTGTCTAATTATCTACAATGTATTCTTAGGGACAAGACGATTTTTTTTACCTACTTTTATGTTGATCCTTCTCAATCTGAGGAAGCTGGCTTCGAGTATGCAACCTGGTCTTCGACAGTTACTATAATTTTTCAGCTGAAAAAACATTTTGCGGGCTCGCCACTAACCCAAACAAGATGTTTCTCACGAAAAGTGCCATGACAGAGCTGAAAAAAAAATGTCCTTTAATCAACTTAGATTCCGCTTCAGTAAGCGACAAGGACGAATGTTCCACGTTTCCACAGTCCCTAAGAGCATCGGTGAAGCTGCAGTCCAGTATTCATGAGGCGAGACGGATGTATAGTCCGAAGCCTGTGGCTCATTTGTGAGGATGGTTGATGAAAACTAGTTTTTGGTGGGAGTTTGTTCCAATTGGGGAAAAGAAAATGGTAATTAAAACGTTGGTAAATGAGGGCAAAGCCATGATCAAAATAGATTTTACGATTACCCTGCTTTTGAATTCGAAGTAGCCTACCAATGGAATCTGTGGCCGGATACAACAAGATAGGATTGTGATGATTAGAAAGGCCCTATAGCTCTTCGGGATATCTGGAAAGTTTGTCCGCTGAAAATCTGTTGAATTGGATCATTTCTTTTATTTTTTCCTCTCGGACTAAAGAGAAGCAACTGCTCTGTTCTCATTAAACCTCCCTCTTGGTCCCGAGACAACTTATCATTCCCAATCCCATTCCGCACCGACGCACTGTCCAGTGATCAATACGTAATTCATCCATAAATGATGGAAGTAATAGACTTATTTTTTCATCCTTACGCATTGACAATCTACGACCTCCGCACTTTGAACGAAATGTTACACAAAGGCAAGTGCTATGATTAGGAAAGAAAAGCAACGACAGGAAATCGTAATAGTGACGAAATCAATGAAGTTCTATTCGAATGCAAAGGGGAAGTACTTTTAGCTTATAACGGGTTTTTTCAGCAATAACGATTGTTGAGTCATAATTGGCTGAGACAAAATACATTTCTTTGTAATCTCAAGGGCACCTATGGTGGTAAAGATGGCGTTTGTAGCACACTTGTTATCAGGCACTATCATTTTAACTTTCCTGGTTTCTTGGCTAAGACTTCTAAGAAAGATTGAATCCTTTTTTTCTGCCAATCCTCTTGCGCTAATAAGTAATAATTCATTACCAACGGTGTTAGATGGTTACTAAAGAAACTATGGTGCTGCGTCGATGGGAGAGTATAACAAGGTAACTTGATATTATCAAATGAGTTGATAATGTAAATTGGCAACCATAAAAACAATTCAAAGCTGACGTTTTCAGCGTCAGGCTTTCGTCTGAGCAAGAGGAGGAATTGTGGGAGAATAAAAATGGAACTACGCTACTACGCTATGGGAATATTTTTTGTTCTTGAGTTTAGCGGCTTTCCGAACTCGTCATATTTTGGGAAAGGCTGTAAACTTCCATTTGCTGTGTAGAATTAATGGTATGCGGCCCTTAATTTTCCTACATCTAGATGGTTCGGAAATCCGCCGAACTCTAGAACCAAAATCGGCACTCTCAATCCCCACGGTATCAACGAACACTTTTCCTTCAACTAATTTTTTCTTGTTTTTCTCGTTACCATGTTTCTACTATGGTGTAGCTCCATTTTCTGCATATAAACACACACACAACCCACAATTCCTCCTTTCGCTCTGAGGAAGGGCTGACGTTCAACACGTCAGCTTTGGAACTCTTCACGTTGGCCAATTTACGTTATCAACTTAATGAATAATACCAAATTACCTTGTTTTATTCTCACAATGACATATCATTCTGCCTGTGTAACTTTTCGTCAGTTTAATCAGTAGTGTAATATTAGATGATATAGAACCTAAAGTTTTCCACTCTCAAATTCTTATCCTCATCAACATTGTCTTCATATTTCTCATGACGATAGTTTTGATAATTTCCTCCTCTATCGAACAATGTCTGTATCTTCTTTATAAGTTCGTACATTAACCGTCTGCTTCATGATAATGGGAGGAGAAATTATTCATTCGTCTTTCATGGGAATGAAAGGCTGTCACGCCTGGCTGTGTGCTGAGTTTTAATTAATGACCAGAACATTTTCGCGATTGTTCGGGGTACCTTTGAGAGACAATTGCACCGCAAGGTGGTATTATGGTACTTGGGAAAAAAAGAGGTAACTCCTAATATTAAGAGGTGTGCTCTCTTAACTTTATTATAATTACTATAAATAAAATAAGAATGACGGTAAGTTTGTCACCAATGGAAAAAAGAAGCTTTTTTCTTCTTGTCAAAACATCTTTAATTTTACTGTTGTTTCGAAGAAACTGAAACTTTTTGGGACTTTATTCATGCAATTAAAGGTCAAGATTGTACAACTTTTTCTAACGACTGACACGTATAGTTCATAGCCAGCCTTAACCGTATGTCTCGCTGTGGCAAGGATTTAAAATTCCAGATTTAAATGAAAAAATCTTTTGTGTTAGTGTTTGTGCAAGTTTTCAGTGACGCTCTCTATCGCTTTTGTCTTGCCTTGAATGTTTTAATCGCTTATTGCCAACGGGTTTCAAATTTTTTTCTTCCTATTCTGATCCAATATTATCCACAACAACGAATATTTGAAATTTAACTGTCTTGGAAAAATATTCATTTGATCCGGCACCATTGGACTTATAACTATAATAACATAAACTTGTTGGAGATATTTCTGATGTTTGGAACGTTGTATATGAAAGAAGCCGACAACACATTGAATGATAAAAACATCTCTTTTCTAATCAAACACTTTATACAAGATGAATGATTAAACACATTATGTTATAGTATATTAGACAATACATTGTTCGTATTTAACATATAACCGAATCTTCTCGAAGTTTTTGTCCTAGTTTTCTTGAAACGCATAGATCTGAACCCGATGGCCTGGCAAACCTCATATATCACAGTCGTGATAATAATTTCACGAGTGTTCTACATTACTAACCATGAGTGCGGAACCGATGTTTATTCCTTTTATCAAATGATGCTCAAAGGCCACACTTTTAAGTAATTCCCAGTTCGACCAGGTTCGCTGGATTGCAGAGAAGCTTGCCGCGCTGACAGTAGATGCCAAAGTTATAACGTAGTGTTCAAAGGCATTTGTGAGTTAAATAACAGTACTAGGGAGGCAAGGCCGGATAATTTGTCAGGAACCAGGAAAGATATTATATGAAGAAAAGTTCAAACAGAAGTATGACATTCGCCCATGGCAAGAATATCATTCTAAATACAATTTTTTCCAGAATCGTTTTCAATAATCAATCTTAGGCGATAAGTCATACTTTGAGGAAAGGTTTCTCAATGAAGAAAGAACGAGAGAAGGGACATCTAAGGACTAGATCATTGAGATCAGAAAAACCTAATTAATATTTCATTTGACTCCAGTTTCTCTTGGCTCCATTCCCGAGCTTTCAGCTGTTTCATTTTCCAGAGGTAAATATTGGTTGGACCACACAAGGACTGTGACATTAAGGCAAAGGGCTAAATAAAATGCTTCTGGAAAGTTCTGTGCATTGATCTTTTTTAGTTCTTCAGTGCTTCAATTCTAGTGAAAGACATGGTAGACGTACAGGCCAAATGGTCAGTGCGATGTCCCACTTTGTCTCGGCATAAGAGGGATAGTTGTCGCTCTTTATCGTGAAAGTAACAGACTGCTTTCAGATTCTGAGGGTCGAAAGATCCGAATTTGAGCCTCAGCCGCCCGAATTATTACATTACAGTCTTGAGCTATACGCTTTCCGCTCGCAACGCCTCTCTCCGCCAATTTGACAAGTAAGAAAAGGGGGTAAGTTTCTAAAGAAACTGTGGAGCTGCGTCGGTAGGAGAGTATAGTAGTGTAATTTAGTATTATCAACTGAGTTGATAACGTAAATTGGCCACCGTAAATAGTTTAAAATCGTTTAAAATAGTTTTAAGAGCAAACTCGCGAGAGCAGACCTCTACGTCGTTTTTAAAGTACGTTTAAAGAGACATCTGATTGCTCTGTTACTTGGTCGATCAGTGAAATGACTATTTGCCGCTGGTTTTCCCCTTCCATTTTCTTACTGTTAATTTTCGTAACACCAATGATTCTTTGAAATCTAATATTTACCTAACGATATCGTTTTACCCCTTATGATCAGATGTTGATGAATGCCAAGAAGGTCTTCATGGTTGTCATAGCAATGCTACGTGTTACAACACGGAAGGTTCCTAGATCTGCATTTGCAAAGTCGGATTTAGTGGGGACGGAAGAAACAGCTGTAAATGTGAGTCATCTTTCGGTTTACAATTTTAGCAATTGGGCTACTAGGATGAGATCTGGCATGGTGGCACACGAATGGGCTAAGCAAATCGTGTTTAAAATCTACCTAAATTTAACTTCTGCAGGTACATTGTAGGGAGTAGGCACGTTAGAGTGATATCACAACCATCTTGATCATTATTTTTGGGGAAAAAGTATGAGCACTAAGTAGCATAGCTGTCAAGGTGTGGCATGCTTGTGAAAATGTCATGTACTTGCCAAATAGTTGTGACAATGTAATTACGTATGGTAATGTCGAGATGATATTTAAGGCGAGGCGTGCACCGAATACGGGGTTTGTGTGTGTAGGTTACATGTCGTAGGTTGTCTTGTAATTTTGTGGATATTAAATTTGCTTGTTTGGATACCACATTTTGGCGACTGGGATGGGATCTTAAATGGCTTGAAATCAACTGCCACAGCCTGCTCCGTTCCCTGCGATTCCTGGCTATCCGCCGGTTCCTTGGCATCGCTGCTTCCAAAGTTTTCAAACGTACTTGATGGCATATGGGTTTGACGACAAATCCGTTTCTGACGCCCGTCGACGAGAAATTCTTTTACATTGCCTTGGCACTGAGGGTCAGCGCGTATTTTCATCGTTCGATGCGAGCTCTGATTCGCACGAAGGATCTACAGCCACCCAAAACCGAAATTCCGGGCCCAAACATAGTATAATCGTGTCTCGGTATAAGTTTCACTAAAGAAGTCAACAAGCTGGCGAATCGGTGATACAGTTCGTCGCGGCGTTAAGGGAACTCTCAACGCTCTGCAATTTTGGAGGCCTATGTGAGGAAATGATACGGGATAAATTGATTGAGAAGACAAGCGTGAACCGGATACGAGAACGTCAGCCTTTGGAGCCGGATTCCAAGTGGAAATGGCTGTGTTGTTAGCTCGCACATTGCAACCGTCCCAAGTTCAACACGTCTCGCGGAAACCTCTCCGTGCTCACCAAGAGGCTCGAAACACCCTCCCCCTCTGGCAGCTCGGCCATCTTCAGCGCGTAATGGCCGCTCTTCGAGAAAATGGTGCACAAATTGTGGTTCTAGTTCTGTTTCCCAGTATAATACGCACTGAGCAGAGATGCAGAGAGGCAGTCTGGTGGCCGAAGATGAACACTCACGTGGAGCATTTGGTCCTCGAGTGTGAAGCCTACGTATGAAGCGGAAAGTCAGTCAAGCCTGTGCAACCTACCTTGTAACCCATTCCATGGCCCGCTCGTCCATGGCAACATCTTGGAATAGATATCGCAGGAGCATTCGTTCCCGCTCCGCTGTCGCATAAGTATATGATTGTTGTCCGTGATCTTCATTCTAATTGGTCTGTAGTGTCCTGCAATAGTTCCGTCACTTCTGGTACGATTACAAATTGTTCACCAGGTGGGGATTACCAGAAGCTGTCACCACTAACAATGGATCCCGATTCACATCTGTTGAGGTCACTGAATTCTTGCGCTGTCAAGGGATTGAACATCGCGTTACGTCTCTCTACAATCCTCAAAGCAACGGTGGTGTAGAACGGTTCAACAGGACCATGAAGGAGGGAATCCAGGCATCCATGGCAGAAGGAAAATCGTTCGCCGAAGCGGTTCGAACCACACTCTGCAACTATCGTGCTACTCAACATGCACTCACAGGAACATCTCCAGCGGAGTTAATGATTGGCCGAAAGCTTATCTTATCGTTGGATAATTTGAAGCCCCTCAAACTCTTCAACATGCGGCTGCCCCTTCGGAGGTCGAATACGTTGCCACTAAGCAGAAAGCATTGAAATCGTTCGCGGATATTAAACGCAAATCCAAGCTTCCTAAGTTCGATGCTGGTCCTTGGGTTAGAGTGAAAAACCAGTTCCCGGTTACAAGTTGATGCCCTTCCTAACTGAACCATTAGAAATCGTGAAGTGCATTGGTCCCTCAACCTTTCAGCTACGAGATGGTACCAAATGGAATGCTCGTAGGTTGGTTCATGTGTTCAAGGCTTCGGCCCCGAGTCCCGACACCAGCAGTTTCATCCATGACGCTCAAATTAAAATCGAGCTTAATCAGAATCTGAATCGACCTCAGACGAACCATGATTTTACTCGTCTGTCCCTACCTGATCTGGAGCTGAAAAATTCATGTGCTGTTGTTACGCGTCCCCAGCGTGACCGACGTCATCTTGTTAGACTTAAGGATTATGAACTCAATTTCTAAGTACTTAATGCAGGAGCTTAGCTTTTCTCGTGAGGAGGGAAAATGTAGTATAGCTGTCAGTGTGGCATTCTCGTGTAAATGTCATGTACTTGTCAAATAGTTCAATTTAATTACGTATGTTTATGTCGATACGATATTTAAGACGAGGCGTGTACCGAATACGGGACTTGTGAGTGTAGGTTATATGTCGTAGGGTTGTCTTGTAATTTTGTGGATATTAAATTTGCTTGTTTGGATACCACACGCTACAGCAACACCGAGCGAAACGAGACCTTAATACGTACTTAACAGAACTCATTGTCATAACTTTAAAACAATATTTTGTTATATAGATAATCAAAAGTCTCATCGCTGGTTTGTCTTATGGTATAGAATCCGGCTTCACTTATCCGTATAACCACGATGAACAACAGCAACCTCTCTCATTTTACATTTTCCAGACTTAAACAAATCAGACCAACACCAATGGGTTCGTGTCGCTTATCGAACTTTTAAGTTTTAAAAGACGTTTTACAGGTGTATCTTGAATAACTGAAAATTTTGACATGAATGCATACTTCTGCATCTGTTTAGATACACTTGGTTGAAGTCCCGACCGACCCGCCAATTCTTGAAAAAACACATGCTGGACTCTGGGAATCACAAAGGAGATGGGGAGTACTGGATCGATCCTGTCAAGAGTGGGAATCCTCTTAAAGTCTATTGTGACATGACAACTGACGGTGGTGATTGATGGAAAATAAGGTCAGATTTTATTAAAAGGGGCTCTAGTCTGGCCATACCTATCAACGTTAACTGTTGTTATGTCATCGCGGAAGATCATTTTTCTGAAAAAGTTGCAGTCTGACTCGTAACGAGCGAGATTTGTTCTAATATCTAAAAATTGCCGTCAGCGAAGAGTTAAGTTTTAAAAGTTGAAGTGTAACAACTGTAGCCTACCAACGCACTATCTAAGGATGCCTAGAGGCCAGATGGCATACGAAATAATACTGATAAAAAAAAAACAAACAAAAACAAAAACAAAACAAAAGTGACAAAATTCAGGTGAAACAAACTAAGTGACAAACTCTAAAAAATAAACAAAAACGCTTCCTCATCTTTTTAAAAGTGCATCATAAGTATCCAGCTACTACTTTTCCAGCTTACTGTAATTTTTTCTTCTGCCCGATGAACCTTGTTCCATCTACTAATTTTGCAGCTTTCTGTCATTTTTTTTCTTCGACCCGACGACCCTTCTTCCAATTACAATTTCAGGAGGTTGGCTCGTTGTCTGCAATGTTGTTTTCGACGGCTTCTACAATATATCAGCGACGTCATTATACCGCGGAATTCAAAACTATGTCGATCACAGTAAGATGTGTCTTAACAAAGAAGCTATGAAAAAATTCCAAGCTATCTTGTCATTTACTCAGTTGAGGTTCTACTTTAAAAAGCAAATTCCTGGGCGAACGTTTCACGTGGTCACGGCCGCTAACAGCAGTGGTCAAGCTGTGTATCAGTACTTCAGCGATCTGACGGATGCGCTGCCCAAAGCCTGTGGCTCGTTCGTAAGAATGGATAATGACGACTCGTGGCTAGCTGAAAAGTGCCACGAATGGGGGGCAGAGGAAAATGATATTGAGGTCGGCAAGTGGGGACTTGGTGGCGTCACAGAGAGATTGAATGATCACGCCGCTTTTATTTTGAGCCATTATCACTGGGTGATACTATCCGATAGGTGGGAATGCGACGACTTCCAGGGTAACGTCACCATTGGTGATTTTTGGAAAATCTTTGTTCGTTAGAAGCTGAGAAGCTTACATCTTTTCAATGAGAAGCCCTGATCGACCTTTTAAGAGCAATTCTTAACTGTGCATTAAAAGAAAAACTCTCTGAGCTTTGTAAATTTTACCAGGTCACTTTCCTGTCTTTACTGGGTCACTTACATTGTTCAAAATTCAACAAATTAGATTTTCTTTTGTTTTGCTTGACCAAGCGTACCTATCTCTCGGTTTCCATACTTACTGGTTGCTAATGTTACGTTGTACTTACCATGTTTAGATAAAAGTACTTCACTCAGCGGACTTCAATGTAATAGCAGTGACCTATTTTCAAAGTTTTGTTGTAAGAGTCTCACAGGCCCGCACTTCATTTATGGTGAAATTCCCACGTGCCCTCTTGATTTTTATTGGGGCAGGTATTAGGTTGCACCTTGACAGTAGTTCTTGGGTAAATATCGCATGTAGGCGTTTGGAGGCTTTTAATAAGCACCATTGGAGCCATGTTTTATTTTTAAATTGAAAGTGATATTTGTTACTCTCGCTACCTTTTCACAGATAAGAATAAAACATTAAAGGATTCATAGAAGTCAGTTGTAATAATTCGAACGTCCGGCGAAAGGCACCAAGACAGTCGAACTGTCTTTTTCTGGTTTCTTTAATTATACGGTTCTCCAGTATGCAATTCTACTTAAATCCAAGCTTATTTTATTCTGTGTAACTCTGGTTAATCTCATAGGCTCTCACGCTCTCATTGGATACTTCTTCTTCAACTGCGGAATTCTGACTCTACTCTGCTGCACACTATCTACATTGTTCTCGTCTTCTCTTCTCTCCCTTCTCTCTACTCTCTTTTCTCTCTTCTCTCCACTCTATCTTCTGAGAAAATTCTAAAGAACATGCCTTTATATTCACTACTGACAAATACGGGTGGGTATGCCAGCTGGCTGACCTTGGGAGATCAAACGTTTGTTGTTGGAACGCTGAACCAAACAATTTCACAAGACTTTCGATCTTAACAACAAAGTACTTAATCATAATGCTTCCAATCAACTGAGTCAACTACTAACTGCGTTAGTCAAAATAAGACCTTTCGCGTGGGTCCAAAGCAAGGTCAGTAAACAAGCCAAGCACGTCCACCTGAAGGAAGTTAGAAAAGGCTGTCACATTTCGGAAACTCATCTTGTGAAACCTAAATAACTTTGGAATTCGAGTTCATCCAATAAATACTTTCTACATATAAACGAAAAATTCAATAGTAATGAACTTACTAACTAACAGACTTGCTATTTGTAACCCTACTTAATGCTACATAACACCCGTACAGTAACGAGCACGTTTGTGGAAAATTTTTTTTTTGAATTCTTTACGGTGAAAAAATAAACTTAGGAGAAAAATTTCTAGTAGAGACAATGTCTAAATTAAAAAATTCCTCCATTTTGGAAATTTCCCCTTTTTTTCAGGATAGTGGTTGTTGCTATGGCTATTGCGATCAATTCTGTGATTGGTGTATTTAGCTGAGTGGACTTAGTATGTTGGCTCCTTCAACTGTCAGACCTCATTACAGCCTACTGTAAACTGTCATCTGTACGACTTCCGCCGTACAGATTCATTAGTGAAAAATAAAGTAGCCAATGCACCAATCACAGTTGAGGAAAATTGTAAGGATTATTATTAATTGCATTGTCGGATAAAAATGACATAGGATGAAAACAGGGAAACAAATCTTAATGTGGCCAAACGCTTCATGAAGATTCAGGCATTAATCAGAAATCTCAGTTCTTTGAAATAGCCAGGGCTCTTGCGTTTTTATCTGTTTTCTCCAAAAAAGGCCAGATTTTGCAAAATTTTTGGCTGGCAGCAAAACCATTCCAATGTTTCGTATAAAGAAAGCAATGCAACATTATTACGCAGTTCGGAAAACCACATAGGCATAAGACTCGAAAGCGAAAACTCAACCATTTATTTACAGGTATTCCAATGAAAATTCCACGAATGTTCAAGTAATCAAGCCGAGTAAACATCCAGTTAGGCAATAAGGCAGGTTTTCTACGAACAGAAATTACACCTGCAGCAAGCGAAATCACAATGCATACGGAATGCGATAGAACTTACCAACTGTTTCGAGTTTAGAGTGACCATGACTCAACAATTTTGGTCAGCACAATATGCCAGTGCAAACACGGCGACTAGTTCTTTTGCGACAAAGTACATGGCCGATGTTCCGGATGTTGACGTCAAAATGCAAGCACGCAATGGGAGCTACAAACATGGAAGTAATATACTCGAATGAACCACAGGAGTAATGAAAAAGCAAATGAGAAAATGAGCAGATAGATAAATTGATAAGCTTTCTACTTTTAACCTCGCGCAGCCTTTCCTTTGCTACTTTTCACAAAAACCACATGCATGCTCTCTTTTGATATATGTATCCTCAATTTTCTTTTCAAGTTTCCTCTCAACAGTTACAGAGGGCTGCCTGCATGCAATGAAATCATTATAAATAAAATCTACTTTTTTAGTTTTTTTGAGGGGGCTTTTCAACATTAGTCTTTCTTTTTCCATTGTTTGGTTTTGTTTTTTGTTCTTCTGTTTCTTTTTGTTTTGATTTTGAATGATTGTTTGTCTGTTTTCTCAAGTTCTCGAGACTTGAGGGTAAACGAGACAGCCAATGGACCGTACAAATTTTTATTACATTTTGGTGTTGTGTTGTACGTCTCCCATGATCTGTGAGATTATCAGCCAACGGTGTGGAGCCGACATTCACTCCACCAATCAAATGATGCCTAAAGGACACACCTTTAATAGGTTAAAATTCACCCAGCCTCGTTCGATTGCAGACAAGCCTGCCCCTGTCAAAGATATCAAAGGTCAAAGCTCAGACGTGATCATATCTAAAAGCATCTGTTAGCTGAATAACAGAACTAAGGAGGCCAAACCAGAAGACTTTATTAAAGAAAAGGGCAGATGTTATATGCAGAAAGGTCCAGGAAGAGGTAAAATAATGAAAGATCCACAATATTTAACTTTTCTGCTTTAGAGGCTTCCTGTTTTCCGTGTATGAGATACTAATCAACTTTTAATGTGTCTAATGACTTAATAGCAATCACCAGTGATTCTAGTTCCTGTCGGCTCTATGCCGGAGCTGCCTGCTGATTCTTGTAAAGAGTTAAAAGCGAGTGAAGGAAGACAAGCAGTCAGCGGTAATAATTAGTTGGATCCAATGATATCTGGAAACCCTATGATAGCTCGTTGCAACATGACTACAGAAAGCAAGAACAAAAGCTATTTTCGTACGTCAACATTTTCACTAACTTAACTGTTAGCATTTCATATTTTACCACAGTTGCCGACTTTTGCAAAAAACATCGTTGTAAAATCAATTCAACGTTTGTGGACAATGAAGTGAACTACACATGTGAATGCAATTCATCCGAATAGTCTGGGAGCTATTGTGGAAAAGGTAAAAGACAAAAGTGATTAATTTTGCAAATGCTATTTTTGATTCCCGCGGCAACTATAAGTGATATGAAAAGTCTGATAAATAGCCAAACTTGCAATTTCGTTTCATGTTGCCGCGTCAGTTCATTATCGTTTCGGCCACTTAGCTAAAAGAGGAAATGAGCACACACAGACCGGTTTCATATAACGGACATAATTACTTTTCTGGCCTCTACATCTAAAAATTTATGATATAATAGCAATAAGGTCCACCAGAGGTCTCTGGATGGAAATCTTCCGCATACAACTTACATGTAAGAAAAACTGCCTAGTTTTCGTGACATGAAAGGGCCAAATCGCTAAATTCCCCAAATGCTTGGTATTCCAATAAATTTCCGATGTTAATTTTCAATCAAGCTTTCACAGGTTTGTAGTTTTGCATCTTCCCTGGACAAACGGAAACAAGTAGTCTGATTTAGGTATTTTCGAGATATTTTTATTCTTTGCTTTTTCCTGGTGTAGGGACAAAAAATCACGGTTATTAGTTCAGTACTACCGAAATTAGTCATCAGTCGGAAGTAATGCCCAGCCGTAAGTTCCGAACATAGATTAAAGAAACAAAATGTTGTCGACCAAGTAATTAGACTAAATTTGGTAAAGCTGCACCTATTGACAACCGAGATGTCCCCCTTATAAGCCTGGTGGGTTCTTAGAGGTCTATTTTCCCTTCCATGCTGTTGAATTTCACAGATATTTCTTCTCAGTGGCTAGTAAATGATCATGATGATGATGATGATGATGACGACGAATCACGTGCTAGAAAAAAAATAAATGCAGCCAAACGACTCAAATCATAGACTAGTGATAATTATCCTTCAAAAAATCAGCCACAAAAAATAAGAGATTTTTCTACCTAGGTTTCGACGTATGAAAATCCTTCCTTTGTCAGTAACCTCTCCCATCCATCAGGTGAGTTTTCAAAAAATGAGCAGTACATGAACTTACATACCATCGTGTATTCCCATCTGATTTGCGACCATGACAGCAATATCCATGCTAAGGTTTACTCGCGAACACTTGGCATTCGATTGGAGAACACTTCGCACTGGACCCCAAAAGTGTCACCCCCACGTAGTGTTTACTTCCGTGCCTAGTCCTCTAAAGGACAAAATGGACAAAAGAGATAGTATTCCAGCAACTCTTCCCCTAAGATATTACAAAATTGAAAATAGACTGAGCTATTGACCAAACTTAAAAATAATCAATCTTAGAGACCAAACAAGTCATAACTCTGGTAGTGTTCCATTAAAAATAAAATAATAAAAAAAAAAAAACAACAAAAAACAGTGCTTTTATAGAATGAACAAAAAATTATGCTTGTTTTTCCAAATTTTACTTGCAAAATCGATAAAGGCCTACTCGCAAGTGTCGTTAAGATAGAGCAGGCGCGGTAGCAAAGCCGCAAGTTTTCAAACATCAAATATGTGGCCGAGCAAAATTGAGCACGGATTCTGAGAAAGTAAATTTGCCCGATTTAAGCTAGAAAAAGTTTGGTGTAAGTAAACCAGAAGTGGGTGATTTGACGATGGCAATGGAATTTTACTAATCACGACATTTTCAGTAGCTTCAAGTAAATAGATTCAGTTTGATGAGGTGGGCATGGCGTATTCAGAGTAACTTGTGATGTGTGAAATTCTTGTGTAAATCGATTTGCTGTTGAACTAGACATAGGCAGTCGACGTACAGATGTGTTTAATGGGTTAATGACCAAAATAAACTGATGAATCAGAAACTATTAAATTCGTTATGCGTCTGTGACAATGGCATTTCGACAAGGAACTCAGTGTCATTTCTTCAATTGACAGTCAGTCATTGACAGTCTAATTAGTGAAAATGATAATCAACAACACTCACCTAAAATTTGTTTTGAAAACTAGTTCGATTTCTTCTCCCCATCTGTGCCTTCTTTTCTAAGTTATCTATTTTTATCTTTATTTTTACTCGACTGCTTATTTACTTATTTGTCACTTTTCTTTTTTTTTTATGGGGGAGGGGGGTAGCTAACGGTTTCATGTGCGCTTTGAAGCGTTGACTGACAGCCGCGAGGGTCTCGAGACTAAAAAGTTATTTCCTTACAGGGAACATATTTTTAGACACACTTACCGGGAGTGGCGCCGCATATCAAAGGATGAAGCAGGCCTGAAGGCAAAATATTCTTTCACCCGACCGCATTCAACTCCTCTTTCTTCGAATAAGGTAGGATTTTGTACGGAGTTATTTCTTGGCGATTAAGGGACAGCATTGTGCAAGTTTCCTATGTAAATGTTAATTCGAGACAGATTGCTCATTCATCGATAACACGTCCAAATGAACCAGTCGTTCCAAAGAACACACGTCAAAGTAACAATTTCATTTTTGTTGACCATACTACTTACTCAGTGGTACGATTTTATTCAATTATAAAGAAATCTTGATTCGGCTTCCTACAAGTCATCTTGGATTTCATTACAGTTGATATCAATTTACGCAACACGGTATTGTCATTAGCAGAATGAATAATTGCCATATCTCCTTTCGCATCACTTATCTGTTGGCAGGAACAATAAATTCGCCTTCAGTCATAAAACAGAGAACGCAGCAATTGACGTCTCTGGAATTTGGAATCTTCTGTGAAAATGTGTCTTGTTCTGAGACGCTCACTCGGAAGCATTGCTTGTCTTATTAATAAACATGGGAGTTTCCCAATTGTTCGTCGGCTGATCAGCACGTATTCTTAGAATGATTCTCTCTCTATTAACGTTCGCTAAAACTTAGCCTCCCTATATAACTAAATCTAAGTATGGAATTAACAGTGCAATACAAGGAATACAGTGCGGTATGGTTAATTCATTCGGTATCCTGTTAATTCAAAATAGACCTATTTTGTGATGCTCCGGAATGTTCGGGTGTGATAATTTGACTTTTCTAGATATGTTGTGAGTAATCATGTAATTTGTCATCTATGGCTAGTATTGACATAGTAAGGTCACAGTTTACGAGATGTCTCAGGTTTTTAGACTTTAACGGCTCTATACGAATTTAAACAGAATAGAAACTTCAAAACAGAAACGCTGCTAACTGTTAAACAATAGAGGCTGCGTACAATGAACTTTATGCTAAATTTTCACAACTATTGCGGAGGTTACACAAATAATCTTATAATGTTTGGATATTAACTGCGACAACTGCAAACAGGCATTAGAACTGATGACTTGATTGGATATTCACAGCCGTTTAAGAACTAATTGGGCAGAGAGTTCAGGAAGATATCAGTGTTTCATTAATCCTTTGTAGTTGAGAATACAATTATTGTGCAAGTTTTGTTTTCACTATTTCTCTCTTAGTGTGTACCGTAGATAATCGCTCTTAAAGGCGTTGTTATTCACAAATATACAAAATTCTCTGGAAAATAGCGTGAACAATATCATTCACATGGGGATGAGAAAATATCCACCATCCTATAAATTTTCCGATTGAAAGACCTTTCGCAGTTTACCATAATATCTCACAATTACTCCGCGAGAACCGCTCTAACTCTGCGAGAACTCAATAGAAACGCGTATGATAGGAAAATGTAAGTAACTAAAGATATCGATATGGAAGAGGCCCGAGAGAAACGAAAAACAGTCACTTAGACGGTGACACAATACAGTTTGGCAACTTAATATCTTTGAAGGAATGGAAAGAACATTGTTCAGAGTCCATATGCGGAAAGTATGTTAATTACATTTATTTCAAGTGCCCTGCTGGTCGACCGCTTCCTTGGTAAAAAAATTGATTTCTCTCTCCAGCCTTCCGCTGCCATTAAAATCAAAGATGGCGGCCATAATTTCCGTTATGAAATCCCTGAGCACTCGCTCGCCAAAATTACGCCTGCTCTACAGGCTAGGAAGAAGGTGGTATTTCTTAAGAGTCTGAAGATTCTGTAGGTTGCTATGGATTGTATTTTTTTATAAAAGCAAAATCATTTATTCCATATTGTCTATTTATGATTCTTTGTGTCATCTATGGTTACTTTTTTGTGATTACAAGTGAAGCTAGCTAGTTGCTACTTAAGCATGGTTCTGCAATATCATAAATCCTCTAATTTTTGAAAATTACCAAGCCGCACCTTGAAGAACAATAAAAGGCATAACTTTAGTTGCAATGAAGATAATTGGACAGAATGATAAAGTGTTTGGTTCATGAAATAATCTACTTTTGCTTAATACAAAAGTTATGCTCACAAGTATGTATAAATGCCTTGTCTTAGTAGGGCAGGAAAAAGAACCCTTCAAACATTTTGTTATGCTCGGCTTTCCTTGCACCAAATAGACCTTTTTACAGTTCCCAGCGCCATATTGGAAATGTAACTGCGCACACGTGAGAACGAGGCTGGGGTTGACTCGTGTTAAATCTCTGTGAGCGCTTTTGGTGAAATTCATACTTAGCAGTAAAATTGTCCGATTTTTAAGGAAAATGGATGATCCTAGCCGAAATCTCGATAAAGCTAATTTTTCGCCCAAAAAGAAAGGAGAGTATTGTGCCGCTTTTGGTTGTTCAAATACATTTTATAGCCCCAATGGTTTACCTACGAGCTTTCACTTCAGGTTTACGCACGGAGGCATGTATTTTTGCTAAGTAGTTATCGTTCTATACTTATTTTATTCTCTGTGAATTATGGATGAGGGTGACTATTGTTGCAAAGTTAGTA